GGCAGGGGTTCATCGATACAGTGTATGATACCGAGTTGAAGAGGTTTATGGCAGAGGTGAAGAACAGTATTCTCGAGGAGGATAATGTACTAATCTATAACAGCAAACTTTCGGGAAGGTGGAAAATGAAAAACGGTGTCCGGAAAATGTTGTGGCCTGCCAACTCGCCAGATCTCAACCCCATCGAGCACATCTGGTCGATCCTCAAAGACCTTCTCAATAAACGCCCCAGAAAACCGACCAGCAAGGAGGAGATGATAGATGCCATCAAAGAGGAATGGGAAAAAGTACCTCCACACATTATAACCACCCTTGTTGGATCCATGAATGCAAGATTACAAGCGGTTCTGGAGGCACAAGGAGGCTCCACGCGCTTTTAAACCCTCAAATGAATTGGATTTCTATTGTAAAATCAAGAGTTCGGTACATTTTGGGCCGTGACTGTACGGGTTTTCCCTTTTCATTTCTATCGTGACTGCACAAATGAGAACTCTCTCTCTCTCTGTCTCACTCTCTCTTCCCTCTTTACGACCTTCTATCTCTCTCTCTCCCTCTTTGTTCAACATTCTCCTTCATCTCTCACACGAACAACTTTTATCACTCTCACTTGTCCAACTCGACCTCAACAACACCAGCAACAAAAGATGTCAAAGTACAACGACGACGGGTGTGATGATACCGACACGTACGAGCTCAACCGGATGCAGGACGGCGGCGAAAGCAACCACCACGACATCCTGACGGATGCATCTCAAGACGGTCTCAAGCGAGACCTTCGGGTCCGCCACATGATCATGCTCGCCATCGCTGGTACTATCGGTACCGGTCTCTTCCTCACTTCTGGTTTAGCCATTGCCACTGCTGGTCCCGGCGGTGCTCTTCTTGCTTATGTTCTCATCGGTATCTGGCTCATCTTTGTCATGCAAGCCATCGGTGAGATCGCCACCCTCCTCCCTCTCCCCGGTGCCTTCAACGCCTGGGGTGGCCGTGTCTTTGACGAGGCCTTCTCCTTCCAGATGACTTGGATGTATTGTATCAACTGGGCATTGACGATTCCCGCACAGTTGTCCGCTTCCGCGCTGATCGTATCGTTCTGGTTGCCCGAGGACACGGCGTTCCCTCCATGGGTTGTGCCTCTGATCATTATCATCTTGATGCTCTTTATCAACATTGCTGGTGTCAAGACCTATGGTGAGCTCGCGTACTGGCTCTCGGTTCCCAAGGTTGTCACCATCATCTTCTTTATCGCCTGCGGTATCCTTGTCGATGCTGGTGCTATTGGTGGCCACACCTACGGATTCGAGAACTGGAGGATCGAGGGTGCTCCCTTCAAGGGCGGCTTCACGAGCTTCATCAACACCCTGATCTCGGTCGCTTATGCCTATGATGGAGTCGAAGTGACCGGTATCACCGCTGCAGAGTCCCGCAACCCCCACAAGCACGTCCCCAGGGCTATCAATACCGTGTCGATCCGCATCACCTTCTTCTACATCGCCTCGATCTTCTTGCTCGGATCCATTGTTGCCAACGACGACCCCTTGTTGGTCAACACCGGCCGTTCCGCTACCCGGGCTCCCTTCACCATCGTTTTTGCCAAGGCTGGTATCAGAGGTGCTGCCAACTACATGAACGCCATCGTCTTCACTTCGGTCTTCTCAGCCATCAACGTTGATTTCTATGTTTCCACTCGTATGTTGCTGTCGCTCGCCCGTAATGGCTGGGTCCACAAGTCGATCGGCTACATCAACTCGCGCGGTGTGCCCGTGGCTGCCGTCGCCCTTGTCACTGCCTGCTCCTGCCTGTCGTTGATCACCATCTTTGTTGGTTCTGGTGTCGTCTACCATTGGTTCATTTCGATCATTGGTTCGATTACCTTCCAGTACTGGCTCTATATCCTGCTCCTCCACTTCCGCTTCCGCTACTGCTGGAAGGCCCAGGGCCGCACCGTCACCGACCTGCCCTATGTCGCCTGGGGCTACCCCTATGGCAACATCCTTGGCGTCGTCATTGGCTGCTTCTGCATCGTTTGCAACTGGTACCTGTCGGTCATCAACCCTCCTAAGCACCCTGGTGCCGGTGCCTCGGAGGAGCTTATGGATGCGTACCGCAGCAGACGCGACGCGTATATCCAGGGTATCCTGGGTGCTTGGTTCCCCTGGTTCATGTCTGCGCTCCTGTACTTCGCTTACAAGTACATTTACGGCACCAAGTTCATCAAGGCCGTTGATGCCGATCTCGACACTGGTCGCTTCATTCCGTCCGACTCTGACAAGGAGGACTTGATACCCCACGGCCCTCGCTGGAAGCGCATCCTCAAGTTATTTGTCTAAAAAACAGACCGCGATAATAATCACCACTTGTACAACATAATTAAATTCTCAAACCTCTATTTGTATGTGCGCTCTTCTTCACTTATCGCAAAATCTCTAATCTCTCTAATTAACAAAATCTTCTCGCTCTCTCCCTCTTACTCTCTTCTCTCTCTTCTTCCCACTCTGTAAAATCTCTCTCTATAACATCTCTCTATCTCTCCTCTTTTCTCTCTTCTCTCTCTATAAAACAAAACGGTTGCGCTCTACACGCGACTTATTTCGCATTACACTTTGCTAAGTTACATGGTGCAAAAGACTATCCACCCATCTCATCCATTCCAAAAAAAAAAGTTTCTTATATTGGGATCAAGCTGATACTGCGGTGTGTTCTATACTACTGCACTGTACTGTAAGTCTCCGTACATCAAAGGAAGGTGGTGAGAGAATAAGGCAGGGAGAAATAGAGACAGTGAAGGAATGAATGGTGCCAGTTTTTTTTTTTTTGGCAAGGACGTGGGAAATTCGATAGCCACCATGTGTGACCAGAGAAACGAAAAAATTGGCGTTAGTGCATCGCGCCATGCGAAGAATCCTTGGGCGCTTGCTCAATGGATGGCTCAACGGCGTTGGTAATTATTCAGCGTGGAGTAAAGAATGATGTCTTTTGTTTTTGTTTTTGTTTTGTGACACGCCAATTGAATATCATTTCCTGTGGTGAGAGGGAGACAAATCCTTGATTTCCGCTTTTGCTTCTATTTCGCATATCCGCCGGATCGGTGAAGTCGCTCGAGACGGACCTTGAATGATTATTTTAGAGTGGAGCTGATAACCATATGTGACACGTTTCCTACCAACGCATTACTCAGCAGGACGCCAGAGAACGTGTCACATTGGAACTATATAGCAACGGACACTCTCGCCTCGTTTTTTTTTGTTCTTCATTCCCATCATCCACTTCTTCCTCTTCACTCTCTCCTACACTCTCCACTTTCCTCTACACTCTAAACCCACAACAATAACATCAAAAAAATCAAGACCAAGATGCCTTCTTCCCAGTCCACCGCCGCCGCCCCAGTCAACTCGATCTACGAGCCAATCGCATCCTCCAAGAACAGACCCATCTACCCTCAAGAGAACTACTACATCGAACAACCCGCCACCCCAGGAGCCTACCTCGGTCCCATTGACGCCTCCCTCCCCAATGCTCCCTCTGCCGACAACATCCCCCTCCTCTTCCAACCCTTCACCATCAAGGACCTCACCATCCCCAATCGCATCGTCGTCGCCCCCATGTGCATGTACTCTTCCTTGGATGGATTCTTCACCAACTTTCATCTCGCCAGTATTGGATCCTTTGCAATCAATGGAGCTGGACTGATTATCCAGGAGGCCACTGCTGTGTTGCCTAATGGACGGATTACTCCTGGGTGTGCGGGTCTGTGGGATGATGCACAAGTGTACAAGTTGAAGGAGATTGTGGACTTTGTGCATGTCCAGGGAGGCAAGGTTGGCATTCAGCTTGCCCATGCCGGCCGCAAGGTAACTTTTCTATTTCTTTGATAGATGATATGCTCCTCTATTTTGTGGCCATCGCTTTAAACAATGACACTAACACTGTCACTCTTACTCTCTTTATATGATACTTCCAACAGGCGTCCGCTGGAGCACCATACACAAAGTATCCTGAATCAGCCTTCTGGCCCGAAGACGTGATCGCCCCCTCAGGCGGCGCACACCTCCAATGGGACAAGCACCATCGCGTCCCCCGCGAATTGTCCCTCGCCGAGATTCAACAGGTCATTGATGCTTTTGGTGCCGCTGCCGCTCGTGCCTCCCGCGCAGGAATGGACACTGTCGAGATCCATGGTGCACACGGATACCTTATCCATAACTTCTTGTCCCCTCTCACCAACCAGCGTACAGACCATTATGGTGGCTCTCTTGAGAACCGTGCTCGGTTCTTGTTGGAGGTTGTCAAGGCTGTGAGGGCCAACTTCCCAGCTGAGAAGCCCATCTTCTTGAGAATCTCGGCTTCGGATTTGGTGGAGGAGGTTGAGGGGATTGAGGACTCGTGGGAGATTGAGCAGACGATTCAGATTGCCAAGTGGGTCCGTGACGCTGGTGTTGATGTCCTTCACGTCTCGTCGGGTGGCAACACTTCCCAGCAAAAGATCCTCACCTCCCCCGGGTACCAGGTTCCTTTCGCCGAGCAGATCAAGCGTGCGGTCCCAGGGTTGGCAGTTGTTGCTGTCGGGATTATTTTGGATGGTCTACAGGCCGAGGAGGTGTTGAAGAGTGAGAAAGCAGATCTTGTGGCTGCTGGAAGGACATTCTTGAGACACCCCAACTTTGCGCTGAATGCTGCCAGGGAGTTGAATGTCAAGGCAGCGTTTTCGCAGCAGTACTCTCGTGGTCGCACCATCCACAGTTAAATACCCACCTCTCCTCTTTTTCTACTTCCTTATTCATATCATCTTTGTCCCATCTTCGTCTCATTTGCAGTTCGCAGTTGGCGTCCACTTTTACATAGAGCCACTTTCCTCAAATAACAACCTAAAGAATTGCACACACAACCAAAACAAAAAAATATTATGCTTGTTTACTCTAATGATGCAAATTCAAAAATGTTCTTTGTACCGGTACTTCTACTCCTCGGCCTTCATCCTGCTCCCTGCGCCTCACCACCATTTACTTGGAAGAGACAGAGACATTGGGTCCGATGGTCATGTTACCACCTTGCATACCATCCTCCGAAAAGTGCTGAACAGCTGCAACCTCGGGCTGGTAGTGCTTACCCTCGACGTGACAGTTTTCCTTGCATGAGTAGACCAAGACCGTTCCAAAATCCAATGCATCTGCAGCGGAATGGTCGATTCCCAAATAGTTCAGCATCTGTGGCAAGATCTATTGGTTGTAGGAGTCCGAGAAAGAAGGGATATGGGTGTTAGCGTAATTAAAGTTTGATTGTGAGTTACAATTCTAAAGATATAGGACCGAAGAAGAAGGAAGATGTACCTGGAATTCAAAGGTGCGCTGTTGGCCACAGTCGGGGCATGGTGGGATGTCATCAGCCTTGGGGATGCCAATGTCGCTGACATAGAGAGGTTCAGGGGTGGTGAGCTCATACTCCATGCGTGCATATCTACAGGTACAGGAAAGGGTGATTCAAATTAGTATCTGTGTAACACCACTCGTTGCCAACTGCTATCAAATCTATGCGTAAAAGCAACATGTGGCCCAATCGTCTTATTTACCTGAGAACTTGGTCAGGGTAGAGGGCGATGCGCTTCTGGAAGGTCAGGAAGGCAGAGTCGATGTCGGTCTTGGTGTTCTCATAGATCTCATCACCAACAGGGACCAATGCGTTCATTGACGACTCTGCAGTCTCCAACGACTTGCTGACACCGCCATTCTTCTTGGCCAGGAGAGCAGCCTTCTTCTCCCGCTTGAGCTTCAAAGCTGCAGCCTTCTCCTCCCAACCTTCCTCAGCTTCCTGCTCATCACCCGAACTCTCATCTGCCAGTCCTTCTTCAAGGGCCTCCTGATCAAAGATCTCAGCCTCACTGATGATCTCGAGTTCTGGGAACCGGTTCATGCGCTCGACCAGCTTGTAGTCGATATCCAGCTTGTTGGCGTAGTCCTGCTGCTCCTTTGTCAATGTCTGGGTGAGAGCCTTCTTTTTCTTCTCAATGACATTGCCATCCTCGTCGTACTCCTCCTCCTCTTCGCTCTCGTCCTTGGATTCCTTGTTGTCAGATATTGAGAGCTCGGAGAGGTTGGCGGGGGTAGGTGGTGGTTGGGTCCCGCAGAGCTGCTTGTGAAGTCCCTTTGTCCAGTGGATCGACTGATGTTCTGCGCTGCAGTACGAGACCTTATGGCACCGTGAGCAGACCTTGGGTCCGTACATTCCGCACACAAAGCATGTCTTTGCTATTATTTAGAAACAACATCACGAAAGCAAATCAGTACTGTGTGGTTACGACTAGCGATGCGTGACACGGCATGAGTTCCCCATTGGGGTGTTGAATGTGTCGAGCGTGAGTTATGTTTTACCATGCTTGCTGGTTTCCAATGGCTCCCATCCTTCGTTCTCCTCTGCGGCATCCTCATCATCGTTGGAGACAGGGGTGTAGTAGGGATTGTATTGTCCAAGCTGACTCCTGACCACCTTGAAGCTAAATCACAAATGCGGATCAAATCGAAGCTTCGTTAGTTCTTGAAGACATAGTTTAAAAAAAACCCCCTCCACGAATGCGAGCCCAAGATGTCAGTGATAAAAGAATTTATCTAGTGATGCATACCATCCCTGAGGCGACTTCTTGTGACAGGCACCGTTCTTACAGCAGAACACGTAGATCACACGGTGGAACGCCTCGGCAGGGTGATCTTCAGGGGAGTACAGCTAGATAAAAAGGTATGATCGGCTTTAGTTGAACGTTTCCTCTTTTTTTTTGGTTATAGTTTGGTGTTGCTTGTGAACCAATGGTCCTATGTGAAGAAAGAGTCGAATGTCACTCACCTGAAGCAAGAATGTCATTGGCTTGTGGCATTGGTCACAAGACATGTCCTTGATATCTAGAACGTGCTCAGGGTTCAACCAGATCTAGAAGCAAAGTTGAACATGCACGTCCTACTTGTTAGCCATGGCTCCTTTGTTTCCTTGCTTAAGATTGTATTCCAATTTTCCTGCGACAATAAAGAGCAGGAGCAACAGCTTACAGGCAAGCCACCCATCTTTGAGCAAAAGTCCTCTGCGAGCAATGGGCCATGCTCTTCGAGATCGACGGGCTCTGCGAATCCGAGCATGACCTGGGCCTCCTCAAGAGCATTGTCGTGGTCCTGGTCCATGTGATTGTCGTTGTCTGCCATGGAAGTTTGAGTTTTTGATCCTGAGGAGTGAATGACACAGAGGTGGTTCGACGGTCAAGAAGGCAGAAAGAAAAAAAAATGCGCTGGGCGAAGGAAAATATCACGTGCCGATATGTACCGTCACAAAGCACGGCAACAACAACGCTTTCTTTTTTTTTTTTTTTTGGTTGTTTCAGTGCGTTCTGCTTCTCTCATTTCGTCAACCTCCAACCAACGAAGTCAACGACATCAACCGACTAAGTAATCACACAAGCAAGCCATGGACAAGTTCTACGTGCCAATGAACTTGAGTGGCCACAAGGGCCAGACCACCCCTGCTCAACAACCAGGACAACAGCAGCACGGTTACACCCCTCAGCAGCCAAACCAAAACCAACCGCAACAACAATACCAGAACCAGTACCAACAGACTGCTCAGGATGCATACCACCAGCAGTACCAGCAGTACCAGCAGTACCAGCAATACCAGCAATACTACCAACAACCTCAGCAGCAATTCCAATCAACACCCAACGCTGCTTCTACTGCTGCTGCCGCTGCAGCTCCCGTGCCTTCGATCCTCCCACCTTCCTATAGCACCCCCTTGCCACCATCCTACAATACGCCTCTGCCTCCATCAAAGTCGAACCAGAACCAAAATGGAAACAGGCGTCAACCCAACAACAACCAACACAACCGTGGAAACAACCAGAGCCAGATCAACAATAATGCAGGATACAACCCACTCTCACAATATCAAGCCCAATACCAGTCTTCGACACAAATGGGTGCTGCTGCCGCCTCTGCAGCCGCCGCGGCTCTTTCTGCGTTTGTGTACAACCCCCCCGGATCGACTGCGGGACCCTCTGCAACCACGACGACGCCATCTGCACCAGTTGGCAACAATATGAACGGAGTCATGCCATTTCAACAACCGACAGCAGTTACTACGCCTCTTACCAACGTGCCAAGTGCATCTCAAGCAGATTGGTTCTCGAACTACCAGGCTCCGACTATTCAGCAGAGGATGGCTGTCACAATGGCGACTAATGCGGCGAACTTGACTGGTGGCGGAATGGGTGGTGGACAGCCACATCACTACGGAAACACTAATGGGCAACCAACACGGGGCAACTTTCAACGGGGCGGACACCAACAACAGCAACAACGAGGTGGGCGGAATCAGCGGGGGAAAAAACAACAGCAGCAAGGAGGGATGCCCAGACAAAATCAGAACCCTAACCAGAACCAACAAAACAAGCAACATCAACAAAACAAGGGATCGGGGGCAACAGGGTCCTCAACAGCCAGCAGAGACGCGGAGATGGAGTCTTCTGGATTCCACTGCGATTCCTGTGATGTGACGTTCCACGAGGAGGCGAAACTCAAGACCCATATCGCTGCACATAGATCCTGTCCAGATTGTCAGTACAAGGCGTCACCAAGTCTCGTGAGCGAACATCGGAAAGTTACCCATGGAGCAACAGGATCTTCAGAACCTGCGACATTGTCGAGTATGATGTCGTCGTCATCATCCCCGGCTTCAGGATGGACCGCCTCTGCTGGGGCAGGAGCCGGTGCGGAGCAGGGCAAGCCTCAAAAGTCCAAACCTGCGGCTGTGGACCATGATCTCCTCCACCCTCTTGCACCAACTTTGAATACCCCCGAGGACATTGCTGCATGGATCGCTCAGCGCCGAAAGGCATGGCCCACCCAATCCAACATCCAAAAGAAGGTACGTCCTCACCCACCTTATCTCGCGCGTACTACGGAGCGTCATGGAAAATTATATTATAGATTTGCTGATGTTAATCTCCAATTGCATTTTTTAATGCCGTTTTAGGAACAAGAGAGACAGGAGATGATTGCGAAGGGTCAGATCGTGGAAGATACATCTAGCAAAGACAAGTACGGCAAGGATCGACGAGGAAACAACAACAACAATAAGCGTGGCCAGGGCAAGGGTGCAGCTGCACAAGATCGTCAAGGAAAGCGACCCAAGGCTGAACACGCCAGCTCTGCAGCAAACGTGCCTGGATCGACAGAACCCAGTGAGGAAGATGATGACGACGATGTTATGGACCCTGTGAAGGACGCAGTGACCTCCAAGGACCCTCGGGCAGGCAATAGGAGCAACCGTGCTCACGACGAAAACTTGGCCCAAACGGTGCGGGCAAAGACCTCCTGCCGGTACTTTATCCGCGGCACATGTAACCGTGGCGATAAGTGCCCTTACATCCATGACACTGCCCAAGCGGTAAGCTACCAAACTCGCGCGGGTTGCTAATGATGCACATTCATTGACTGTTTTCTGGATCAAGTCACTCATATCCGGACGTTATGTTATTTTTTTTTCGGTAGGCCAAAGCACAGAAGAACAACCAGGCATCCAACAAGAAAGACGAATTCCGGAACAGGCCTTCACTGTTGAAAATGGTAAGTGCCACGTTCTTTTGATATATGATCTGCTTTACATGTGTCTTTCATTCACTTCGTTTGCTGACATGTTCTTTTGAACCTTATCCATTTTCGCTAGTTACTGTCTGGAGAGATTAAGAACGAAAAGAACAAGTTGTTGGAGGCCATGAGATACATCATTGGAAACAACTTTTTCGATAAACAGGAGCCCTCAGGTGCCCTGGTTGAGGAGGTTGCTATGGAGTCATGAGACTCCCGACCTTCTCTGTCGCCTTCTCTTCCTGTCGCTCACCAGTCCTTATTTAGTCACACAAACTTGTATCATAAAACAAACGCATAGCATAGAGATATGGGTGAAGGCGGGTGTTATTTTGTACATGTGTTCGTTTAGTTGTGCTGCTGTCTACGCCTGTCCTGCTCTCCTTGACTATATGACAATGATCAGAATCAACAAGATGATAAGGACCATGATCAGAATCCCGATGCAACAAGACGCCTTTGTTTCTAAAAGGTTCAAAAAACAGAAATTGGATGAGTGCCAGCCCCCTTCCGTTCCCATTCCGGCTACAAAAATATGAGATCCATCAATGTTGTACCTTCGTTCTGCTTGACGAAGTGGTTCATACGCCTCATGGCCTTTTGGAGACTTCCTGCAGTCCGGTCGACATGATCGTCTAGGTCGTCGAGGAGCATAGACTGGTCTGCCAGCTCGTCGTTCATTGTACTTGCAATCTCGCGCATATTCAGCACTGTGTGCATTACGCCGTCCAGTTGCTGGTCCTGCTCCTGCATCAACATCTATTAGTCCCAGGACGTAATGGAGGGATATGATGTAGTGATAAGTAACGTGTCCCGTTATTATTTTTTTGATATCTTCCATGGTTGATATGTCCTGTGCCAAGTTGCGTTTTGTGCAAAGGTCACAGAGATAGAGGGCAGGGCTAGTTACCTGTTGCTGTTGGGCTTCCTGTTCGACGAATTTGGTATTGCTGTACATCATGTTCTCTCTCCTTGTAGGTTTCTGGTACCCTCTCGGGCTCGAACTTCCTCCTGTCGTGTCCTCCAGCAATGCCAGCCTGTCTAGTTGTGCACTCCCGATTTTGATTGGTTGCTCTAGCTTTGTTTTCATGTCCTATTGTCACATATGCGAAAGTATAGCCAGTCAGTTAGGCATTGTTTTATAATAGAACAGGGAATACAACGAACCCAGCGAGATCAACATACCTGGACTTTACGCCGAGTCTGGTCGACAAACTGTTTCCGGGCGTTGGATTCCCTTGTAGTAAGATTGAACCTTGAAGGGTTATCGATAACAGCCTGGACAGCATCGTCCAAATCCTCGAGGTCCTGTTCGATGTTTGCGAGGATCTGGAGAAGTTCTTCCTTTGTCTTGAGGAGTTCTTCGTTCTGGGCGGAAGTGACTGTTAGTAGGATGCGTTTCCAGGATTCGAAGAGTGTTGATGCGTTGCTGAGTGATGATAGCACATCACTATTGAATGTAGAGAGGAGGGAGAAGTAGGTGGTGAGTTAATGGTGTTGCTGGATGCGCTGTCGTTGGTGGTGTTGGGAGGTGCATGTTCATAGCAGCGGCTGTTTCTTATGATGTGTGTCTGCTAAAGCGTACTTTTTGATGAGGATGAAAGGGTCTTCCATGGCTGGTAGTTGTGTGTCGTGAGTAGTGATGTGATCTTGTCTTGAGAGGTGAATCTGTTATGCCCGCTGTGTCCTGTATGACTTGAAGTTGTTCGGGAGTTATTGTTGATGTTGATGTGTCCTCCTTGTTCTTGACTTGCGCGTGAAAAAGGGATGAGCAGAAGGGGTGGAGTGTAAAGAAAGAAAGGTGTCTGTGGAGGGACAAAGGAACAACCCCAAGGAACATTCAGCCACGTTGAGCCAACTCATTAGGACTGCTTCTTTTTTCCATTTAGTCTTTTGGGCGCGTTCTCCATGTGCCACGAATCTGCAGGGGAAGTGTGGAGGAAATGCTTATCAGCCCAGGTTGTGAAGACTCACCGCCTTTCCTTCTTTTCGCCAGTCAATACAGCACCAGCTTGATTCCTCTCCCTGAACGTTCTACTCACATGCATCCAGGGACAATTGTCCCTGTTGCGAGGGTAACCTCACTGGTTGATCAGCCTCGCTCAGAATGTCACCTGCCACCCTCGTTCCTTTCCCATTCCTTTTCTTCCTTATCACTTACAGGAAACAAAAGGCCTGCACCGATACAAGTTTTGACCACGTTCATTTAGCTTGCTAGGTCGGAGAGAATGAACTGCATCTCCACGAGAGAGGGAATGAGATAGACCTGGGCGTAGCACAAGAAAGTCGTATTTACTGACAAATGCGACCTTTGTGCGCGTCCAAAAACAAGGGCATGTCCATGTCACTTGCATGCTCAAGGGTCCTCCTGTTGCTCTGATCCCATCACCAAACCTTTGGCCCCATGGCCCACCAAAAAAAAATGTTCGTCTCGTGCCCCATGCGTTCGTGCCTCTTTAAACCAATGCTCGTTCTCTTTTTCGCGATTTCTTCTTTCCTTCTTCCCTACTCGACTCACCTGTACAAAGCACAAACGCCACTCCATACTTCACCAATATCCATTTTTCTTCTTTAGTTTCTGTGAAAAAATAAACGAGAACGTTTACGAAAAGCGAAGAGAGACCGCCAAGCACCAATCCAACACGTCATTCCAGTGGCATCACTAGATAAAAAGGACAAATCGGCTAAAAAATAAGCGACTAGAGCACACAACCACAATGATGTGTCTCAAACATGAAGAAAAGATTGACGATGCCGTATCGTGTATCAACTCTATTTTATTTTTTTTGGGTCAAGTGTCAACATCGCGATCTTTTTTCGATGGTCGATGACTGTTCACAAAGCTCAGTCGTTGACATTGCAGTCTGTAGTCGTCGATCTTACCAAGACCTTTACGCCTGACCAAGCCTATGTTGCGTTGTCAAGAGTCCGTTCCTTTCGAGGTGTGTCGGTTATTGGTTGCCTATCCCTTCTCATTTATAACAACCAAGAGAGGAGACTCAAAATCCTCGTGCTCAGATTCGATTATGAGAAAAACGGAATGGTGAATGTTCGCCAGCGGAACATCACCCCTCCAGCAAGAAAATGGTTGGCGGTTGGAATGCATGATAAAGGTTATTCAGAATCCTAGCAGACAACCCTTGCACAACAAATGAGTCAAATGAACGGCGCTGGCGCTTCAGTATATATTGTTTTTCGTTTTTCAATAGAGTCGTTTCATGAAAGAGTGCATCGCCATGTGTACGCGTAAAAAGGGATGTGATAAGAGTAGACAAACGAAAAGAAAAAAACCCTGATCTGAATCGTTCTCGGGCGTTGTTCATTCTCTATCTTGTCCGTCCAAAAGGACCTCCAATGATGTTTCTGTGTTCAAAAAATACAGTTCTAAACTTGACCCATCGTCGTACTCTGTATGTCCCCCACAAGAGCCACCCACTCCTTTACAATATTCAAGGACGTGCTTCTAAACTTTGACCATTATCCACCTGGCTTCTCTAAAGCTCACTCTCTATTCATCGGTGACACTTGTCTTTCAACATAAGGAAAAAAAATCAATGAAAGTTTGACGCCATTTCAGAAGCCTAAAGCAGCAAAATCAAAGAGGACAAGGTGGATCGTCCGTGCGAGGTGCAATGAACATGGTTGAGCTTCTAAACCTCTGGAATCCACCTGATAAAAATAAAATAGCATTTTGGATAGCTCTACCGTCCTGCTATGTGTGCCAATAAAAAATCCTCCGCAGTGTTTCAATATCCTGAAGAGCGTACCACCCATGCGTGTGGAATAAAACAATGAATGAAAGATATTCGAAACGAGTGGGTCAGATAATACAAGATCGATGGATATCGATGAGAAGAACTTCTAAACTTGAGCGATCGCCCTCATAAGTGTCACTCACCCTGAAAAAAAAAGTGCGAAATGAACGTTTACACCTACTCAACTGTTCTCAAAGGTGGTATTTCTAGACTCAGGGCATCGACGCCGTGTGAATGCGTTGTACACAGAAAGAAAAAAGAAGCCATTAAAGGAATAAACAAAAATCGATCAGGTCATTCTCTATGATCTTCTTAACGTCGAAATATCGCAGAGATAAACTTCTAAACATGGTCTTCCTTCCAGTCTCCGAATGATCAAAGCTAACCTACGGCAGTTGTTCCTGAGCTCAAAAAACCAAAACTTTAACTACAAAGATCGTCTAAATGCGCGCGTTATAAGAGCACAAAAGAAAGGAATGCACAAAAGCAACGGTGGTGTGAACCTCAAAAGTGACCGTCATGGTACAAACAAGTCAACGATGTCCTGGCAGCATCATCATCTTACATGTACATGTATTGTGGGAGGTGATATTGAAGTAACCTTTTTTCCGCCTTACACCTGTGTTTGTGAGGTCAAACAATCGACAAAGCGAAACATGCAACGACACATTCATGGCAGCACGGACAGATGCCCATGTTCAAACATTGAGAGGATTTTGAGACTTGAGCTCCAATCAGGAAATACATTTGAAAGCAAGAAGTTTTCTTTTAAAATGCTCTCTGCTTCAACCACGGTACATTACATAATGTTTGGAAAAGGCTCAAAGTTATGACTTGCAAGTAATGTTAAAACCCCTATAAATGCCATACCTCGTCTCATTGCTTTTCATTTGCATTTTAGTCTCCAGCTATCGCAGCCTCCTTAGCATCCTCTGCTTCCTCTGCTTCTCCTACCTCACCTACTTTTCCAACTTCCTCTACTTCTCCTGCTTTTCCTGCTTCTCCTGCTTCTCCTGCACCCTACAGCACCAATTCGCAGGATCAATATCAGTCCATCATGTCTCGTTTGGAGACTACGCCTGCCAATCCCACCCATGGGCCTCCGCGCAGAGGAGCCGGTGAACCCAGAGCGGTTGCCTACAAAGTCCCATCCAGATACAAGGTTTCCGTCGAGACGTTTGCTGATGCGGCCGCCAAAAGCCTCTCCACGGCGATCAACCCACCGACGGGCCACCAATCGCTAAGCCCTTCCTCAGCGCCATCCGCCACCCAGGGGCGGAGTTCGATCGCATGGAAATTGTGTACCATGAAACCCTTGACGAATTCAAGGTATCTACTATTAGTATCATATTCAAAAAGACTGCATACCCGCCTCTCACTTCCACCATCGACTCACGGTTACCAAGATCACGTTCTCGGAGTACCAGTTCCGTACCTCGGCAGATGCAAGCGACAGTCTTTGTGCCTGGGTCAAAGAACTGCTTGAACTTAATAAACCAATGGGCAAGGTGACCTTGATTGAGATTCCGACGCGCTCTTCACCCGATGGCTTTCAACTGCCTAATCACCAGGTCTTTGTCTACGTCAAGGGAGACATTACCCCCGAAGCCACTGGACTTGGCCGTCAACATTCTCTTCCTCACCACCAACGAAACCCGGTCAGGGTCCACTGGACAGCTCACGGAGATCCCAACTTCTGCAACTACTGCAAGAGCGAAGGCCACGTCTTGGGTAAATGTGCTCTACGCTTATCGAAGATCTGTTCTACATGCAAGGTTGCTGGTCATCTTCAGGCTCAATGTGATCGTTTTCCTGAAAGAGACCTCAAAACTGCTAAGGGTAATGAGTCAGAGAGAAACCCTTCTTCTTCTGGTGGATCTTCTTTTACTTCCAACTCAGCTGGGGCCGCCTCTTCTTCCTCAGCTCCTTCTTCCCCCCACGCCACTGCAGCTGTTCTTCCCCTCTCTCCCCCAATAACCCCAGCTGCAGACGCCTCTTCTTCTTCACTTGTGACACCCTCCTCAGCCCCAGCTGCCTTTGCGTCTCTCTTGGAGGCTGCTAAATTTACAACCACAACGAACAACAACAAAAACAACAACAGCAATAGCCTCGAAAAGAAAACAATACATTTAATGGTTATTTGTAATGTACTCAGAGTTCTCGGTTTGAAAGAGAAAAGGCTATGGTGAGTGTTGATTGGAACAACGAAACTAGCAGGTCCTACGCGTCTGATCCTTCTCCTTCATGGGCCAAAGAACTGTCGACGGCACCGCGCTGGACTAGCAGCTTCTGGTTCATCGGGCTCAGATCTGTCGCGTCCATGGAAATAAGACCCTTGACATGGAGGATTCCAATGTTAAGCCCCCAAAGCATCCTCACAACCACGCTTTCGCCATCAATCGACATTCGCCACACTTGGACAGACTGACCATTGCAACGCGTGACAAACTCCATGGGGATAATTGGATTCCATAAAATATCGAAAACAGTGTCGAGAAATGAACGGACCACGCCTGCACTCTTCCAACTCTCCGACTCGCCTTCTTGCCATCGACGCCACAATCGAACCGTCCTGTCGCCGCTGCCGGAAGCGATCCACTGACCGCAAGGTGAATAGGCAATGGAGGAAATTCCCGCACTGTGCCCATCCAGCTTGATACTCGGATCCTGCGATTGATCGTCCCAGAGATATATCGAGCTGCCGCCGCCGATAGCCAGTTGCTGACCGATCGGAGAATATGCCAGCGCGCAGACGGCTTCTTGCTCCAGCTGCAAGGACGACAAAAGGTTTCTTGACTGAGGCTCGAAAACACGAACGGTGCCATCGTCCAAGCTGATCGCAAGCTGGTGTCCGGCAGAGGAGAAGGTCACGGTACTACGGCCAAAGGCCATTCTACTCTCAAACTCAATGAGACCATGATGCTCCTTGGTGGTGGTGTCATGAAGATCCCACAGCCAAACAATGTACCCCCAGTTGAAAGTAACAGCGACCCAACGACCACAAGGCGAATAGACGACGTTGGAGAGATAGTAATCTTCAAGTTTGAAGACAGATCCTGCTGCATAGGTTCGAAGGTCCCATACTTGGACACCATCTTTAACGGCGGCCGCTATCTGATTGCCATCAGGTGAAAACTCCACATTACTCACCCAAACTGCTTCCGGAAAGTGAAACGCGTTCTGTAGAGATCGTCCTGTCATCGAGTCCCATTGTTGCACGCTGCGGTCACTGGCGGTGAGGATTGAGAGGCCGTTGGGAGAGTATGCTGTTTTCAACGACGTATCGACTCGATATCCCTCCAGCTCAACGCTCGACCTGCTAGAACTCAATTCCCACAGTCGAACTTTCGCGTCGTCGCCTCCCGATACAATGTGAAGACCATTTGGAGAGAAAGCAACGCATTTCACGAAATCGTCGTGACCAGGCAAAATGAGAATAGGGGTTCCTGTCGATGCATCCCAAAGTCTCACAGTCTTGTCCATGCTGGCAGAAGCGATCCATTGGCCGTTTGGAGAGAATGCGACTCCCTCGACGTTCATAGTGTGGCCCTGTAGGACTGGCCCTGGCTCATAGGAGACCGCATCCCAAAGCTGCAAAGAGCCGTCTGTGTGGCCGGAGGCAATCCACTTGCCATCAGGAGAATAGGCAAGGCTATCAGCGGCTCCCAACGAGGAGTCAAACTCACGCACCAGCTCTCCTGTCTTTGGATCCCAGAACCGAATATTCCCATCCGAACAGCTCGATACGAGCTGTCGGCCATCTGGGGAAAAGTTGACACTCGCGACACCGTTCGTATGATCCTTCAAGACAAGGAGACTCTCTCCAGTCTGCGAGCTCCACAACCGCACTGTGAAGTCGAGACTGGCCGATGCGATCAACTTGCCACAAGGTGAATAGTCCACCGACTGTATGAAATGGGTGTGCCCCTTCATAGCCAGCAATTCCTCGCCGCTCGTGACATCCCACACTCGTACAGTGACATCCGTGCCACCGAACGCAATTTGTTGGCTGTCAGGTGAGAATACAACGCTGCGAACTGACCCAACATTGTCTGGAATGTGCAGAGCTTTCGTCCATGAGGTGGTGCTGTAGACATCGACACCATTTATATGCCCCGCAGCAAGCATCGTCCCGTCGGGAGAATAGGCGCAGGAAGACACAATACTCCCCATCTCAAGATAGGGTAACTCCCCAAATCGAACGTCCTTCAGCTGCGCCCCGCTCAGATCCGCCTGCCGTAACCAGCTCCTCGATAAATCGGCTCCCGTCAGGTTGGCTCCTTGGAACTGCGTAAAGTCGAATTGTCCTCCGGAAAGATCGGCCCCAGGGATATTGACCCTGCGAAGGTCGGCACCGTTGAAAACCACGTCGGCTCGGACCAGGATCGTGATCGCGTTGGTGGCGGCGATGGCTGCACTTGCGTCGGTCTTGGACAGGTCGATAACGGCACGGAGTTGCTGTTCAAATTCAGGGTTCGACTCCACACGATCGCACAGGAACTGGATGATAGAGGGCTCAGTAAGTAGGTTTCGTCGGAACAAGGGACTCTTGACATCGAACAACGAAGGACTCGGACATTCGTCGGATTCGGCGTCATCTTCTTCATCATCCTCGTTGTCAGTCTTGACCGGGTTGTAGATGGCTCGAGAGAGAAAGTATTCGAGCATTGAGCGATGCACAAAGCGGAACTGGTTGCCTGCACGGGTCAATGGTGACGAATCCCGCAACAGTCGGATCTCTGGCTGTGGACCAAAGAACTCAGCTTTCCATGTGTTCTTGTCGCTCAAATGGACATACTTGACCACTGGCTTTCCGTCCTGCCGGTCAAAGATAGCTCGTGCCAGCTTGGTAGCGTAGTCGAGACCCAGAGAATTAAAACCCGCACTGACCAGTTGGTTTAGCATGTCGCGATCATTCATCGACAAGGCATTGTTCCTCTCAAACCGTCGTTTGTTAACATCGAGCCAATGGCTGACGAAGGTGTCATAGAGGTGAGCTCGCGTGATCTTGATCGTCGACAGATCCTGCTTGCCCTCGGTCACACCTGGCAGTGCCTCCAATGCAAGTGAGAGGAGGAAGGGGTTCCTGACCAGATCAAGTAGGTTGGGAATCGTGGTGAGCCTGTCCATGTAGTCCTTTGTGTCCCACGTCCTTGGCTCCAAGGGGACATACTGCTCAACATAGTTCTCGATTTGAGCCTTGGAGAACGGAGTGATCACAGCCTCTTGGAAAAGGTGAGGAGCAGGGCGGTCGTAGTGACCACCTTCACTTTGCGGCATAAAACGGCTGTGGTATTCTGGCCCAAGGAACTGGGTGCGGCAGCTGATGACCATCTTGGTATTCCACTGGCCAGGCTGGTTCAGAGAATTGGTCCGGTGGAGGTTGACCAACTGCTGGCTCTCGTCGTATCCGTCACAGATGAGAATGAGTTGGCGGTGCTGCTTGATCTCCATGATCTGATCGTCCGAAAAGCCATGGAACCTCAGTTGCTTGGTGACCAGGTCCTGGTCGGGTCGGTCAATGGAGGGGAGATTGATGAAGAGAGGGATAGGGTCGCCTGGTTTGTAGTCGGTCCAGAGACGATGCTCGAAATGGCGGTTGAAAGTCGACTTTCCAGCACCAGAGTCACCAAGTACCAGCATCACTTGTCGCTCACCAGCTAAGAACTCTTGCATCTTCTCCATCAGCAAGAATATGTCCTCGTCTTTGGCCTTCAGACTAGGCTTGGCCATAGGCGGGATGTAGACGTCTTGGTGGCTCTGCTCCAACCTCAACATGCGGAGCCGGTGCAAATCGTACTCGAGTGGTGGGATCTTCTGAACTTTGACGAGTGTTGGTGAGGACGTGGGCAAAGGAAGTCGGTTCCTCAGCGGGTAAGGAAGCTTGGTGGTGGCGGGTTGATCCTGCTGAAGTTCCTTCACCAAGGCAATAGCGCTGCTGCTGACAGCTGCGTCATCAACAGCACCGAGTTGGCCACTGATGTTCAACATCCAGGTCCTGACGCTCTCATCCTCACCCCACAATGGATCGTTCTGGAACAGATCACCAAGCAGCTCAACGGCTTGCTGGCGAACAGGGGAATCCCAGATATCATCAGACGCAATCTCACCCAGCAACTGGCAGATTCCCCATTGGAACAGAGGATCACGGCGACAAGGTGCCATACAGATCAGGCGGTTGAGATCATGTAACTGACCAGAGTGAGCAAGAGCATGAGCAGCACGGACAGCGGCATACCAAGGACGTTTCTTGCCAGATCCGTATCCCTCCTTCAGACTCTCAAACACACCTCGGCCACTCTCCATCAGCGAGCAAAACCCTTCGTACAAAGTACCTGCAATTTCGACCGTGCTGCCAATCGCCTCCTGCAGCTTGTCAAGTCCTTCAAGAACTGCGCCCACGTCCAGCTTCATCACTGCCGAAATCTTGACCAACCCACTTGCAACACCAATAGACTGTCGGAGAACCGCCTGGAGCACAGTCTCATCATCAGGCACATACTGCAGTGCCTGAAACGCATAGCAAGCCTGGTACATCAGGTAGGGGTCCGAGCTACCTGTCAAACTCGACAAGACTCCGGACAAGGGCTCGCGCTCCTCCACACGGCTCAGGTCCTTGACCTTGTGGTCCGCCATAACATCAAGTACCCTCGAGAGTGCCAACGTGAGATGGAAAGGGTGGACTGTCGACTGTTGGTGAGTGTCCTGCAGACGAAGCCGGAGTAGACGAAGAATCTTGACCAGGTCATCAGAGAGGAGGGATTCAGGGGGTGCAGACTGCACCAACTGCACGAGACCTTGGAGGAGATCGACACTCAGAATCACAGAATGGTCAAACGCTGCGATGATGCTGGAGAGTAACCCACGGTAATGTTCCATGTTCATAACAGGTCCAATGAGGACCATCTCGGCAATCTCGGTCGAGTCCTTGAAGGCGTCCTTGACAAACTCGTCAACCATACGAGTTCCTAGCCAAAAGAGGCGCTCTCGTTCAGTAGGATCCTGCTTCATAGCCTTGACCCAGGCCAGGCGAGCAGCAGTGTCGGATGGCAAGTCTTGAGAAGGATCCTCCTGCTGGTCAACGACGTCGTGAACTTTAGAAAGCAAGCCGATGCACAAGGCAAGCTGAGGGGTGGTGTCGATGCGAGCGCCAAATGCGGGTAAAGGGATGCGCACAGCAGGCGCATTGACGTTCTGTGTGAAGACGTCCAGGCGAGGTTTGGTCAGCAAGGTCGAGGAGTGAGCAATGAACGCAGTGCTCTTGACGGCGGTGGTGGCCACCGCTTGTTCAATATCAACACTCTCAGGGGTGCTGACAATAGAAAGGCGATGAGCAGACACTTCAGTGCTGGCAACCGAGGCCCCTTTGATAGAGGACTTTGGACTGGTAGAATCGGTATTCTTGGCCTTGCGCTCATGGTTGGACGATTTGAAGTAGGCAAAGAGCTTGTCACGCTTGCGGATTGGCTGGGAAGAAATAGAACTGTTGTCGTCATCGTGCCTAGTGTTGGGATAGCTTGGTGAGGCAGGTTGAGATAGTGGACCGGAAGGAGTGGAGTGCGAGTTCCTGGACATAGTTGGTGTGCTATGGCCATTATTATATTACCAATGGCAACGGAATGCGTCAGTGTTTGGTCTCCATTAACATTGCACACGAAGCCAGCTCACTGTATAGGCTGTTCTTTACCTTGATAAAAGTGGCTTATTGGTGTGGCAATGGTTGCTAGGCTTGGAGTTCTTGGTTGACGGACGGGAGGAGTTCGGGAAGAAATCTATATGCATGTTTGTAATTGACGATGGTAAGTAATTTCGTCCGCGGAGAAAAAGAGCGAGACCAGCGAGACCAATGTTACGCATGGCTATTGCACTTACTCGATATACGAGAGAGGGAAACAGTGGTTTGTTTGTGCTCTTGGTGTTTGTGCTTTGGTGCTTTTGTACTTGCGCGTTGTTTTGTTGCTTTTCTGCTTTGATATTGCTTTTGTGTTGTTTTGCTGTACTTGGTCAACACTTTTGTTTAGGGAGAGGGAGAGCAACGAATACTCGACTATGAGTAGAGAAAGTGACAGAACATGGACGAGTTCAATAAAAGGCACGAATTCGTCAGTTTTCGTTGTAGGCAGCTTGTCGTCAGCTTGTTGTCAACACACGCTCTCGTTGCCTATATACCTTGGCTGCCTTGGTATGAGCTTTTTTTTTGTCTGCTGTTTGGTGGCGAAGGGTCTGGTGCTGTAGTAGGTTCGCAGTTGTTGGGTTGTTGTGCTAGATGCAAAGTGATCAGTTGAGTTGGGTACAACTTTTGTCTGCTTGATGGTTGTTGCTGATGATGACTGTTGGATGTGCGATTGTAAGTAACTTGGACGAAATCAGAAGTTGGGTTGGTGAGTCGGGGTGATCACCAAAGTGACCTGGGGCTGGTGGATTCAGTGATGTGAGAAAGTAAAGGCGAGGAATGAAGGAAAGAGGAGCTGGGAGGTGGAGGGGTCTCGAAGGGAGAAGAGGGGGAGTAGTCAGGCTGAACAAGAGAAAGGAAAGAGGGAGAAGAGTAAGAGAGAGAGTGAAAAATCGAAGCCGATGGTGTCTTTTCCTTTGTAGCTCTACCCCTGGGTAAACAAAGGCGTAGTCCTTTTTTTTCTTTTTTCCCTTCTGCATGATGCAGCAAGAGAATGTGTCAGCCAACAAGCCAGCACCATGGTCAACCAATGCTAACTGCTGCAGACTAATGTGACAGCGAAACACGGTTTCAGATAAAGTTATCGTGGCACTCCGCAACGAAAGAGTACCTGTGAATTATTCATCTGGACCCCGTGATGCTTTAGAGAAAGGTACGAAGAGAAGAAGCCACAAAGGGAATGCAAGAGAAAAGAATGGGAGAAGAATAGGAGAAGAAAAGAAGAAGGCGACATGCAAAGTGGGTATTGGATACATGCCCTTGCGTGACTTCAAAGGGTACAACGGATGAAAGCGCTGGTCTACGTGATTCAGAATGCGCGAGATTGTGTTTTCGGCGCCAAGTTCCACTTCTTCATGGTGTGAGTAACATGTATTTTTTGTTCCTTTCGTTCTTCATCACCGGGCTGTCAGTTAAAGTAAAAGCAACTAAACAGGCCTTTTTTTTAGGATGGAGTATTCAGATTGTTGTTATTGTGGCAGATGAATGGTTATATGTAAAAGTAGACTCGCGAAGAAAAAAAGGGTGGGTATGTCAAAGATGCAGGAAAAAAGTAAAGATAGAAGCACGTCTTAACTGTGAATAGTGCGGCCACGAGAGTACTGCTGCGAGAACGCTGCCTTGACATTCAACTCCCTAGCAGCATTCAGAGCAAAGTTGGGATGTCTCAAGAATGTCCTTCCAGCAGCCACAAGATCTGCCTTCTCACTCTTCAACACCTCCTCGGCCTGTGGACCATCCAAAATAATCCCGACAGCAACAACTGCCAACCCTGGGACCGCACGCTTGATCTGCTCGGCGAAAGGAACCTGGTACCCGGGGGAGGTGAGGATCTTTTGCTGGGAAGTGTTGCCACCCGACGAGACGTGAAGGACATCAACACCAGCGTCACGGACCCACTTGGCAATCTGAATCGTCTGCTCAATCTCCCACGAGTCCTCAATCCCCTCAACCTCCTCCACCAAATCCGAAGCCGAGATTCTCAAGAAGATGGGCTTCTCAGCTGGGAAGTTGGCCCTCACAGCCTTGACAACCTCCAACAAGAACCGAGCACGGTTCTCAAGAGAGCCACCATAATGGTCTGTACGCTGGTTGGTGAGAGGGGACAAGAAGTTATGGATAAGGTATCCGTGTGCACCATGGATCTCGACAGTGTCCATTCCTGCGCGGGAGGCACGAGCGGCAGCGGCACCAAAAGCATCAATGACCTGTTGAATCTCGGCGAGGGACAATTCGCGGGGGACGCGATGGTGCTTGTCCCATTGGAGGTGTGCGCCGCCTGAGGGGGCGATCACGTCTTCGGGCCAGAAGGCTGATTCAGGATACTTTGTGTATGGTGCTCCAGCGGACGCCTGTTGGAAGTATCATATAAAGAGAGTAAGAGTGACAGTGTTAGTGTCATTGTTTAAAGCGATGGCCACAAAATAGAGGAGCATATCATCTATCAAAGAAATAAAAAAGTTACCTTGCGGCCGGCATGGGCAAGCTGAATGCCAACCTTGCCTCCCTGGACATGCACAAAGTCCACAATCTCCTTCAACTTGTACACTTGTGCATCATCCCACAGACCCGCACACCCAGGAGTAATCCGTCCATTAGGCAACACAGCAGTGGCCTCCTGGATAATCAGTCCAGCTCCATTGATTGCAAAGGATCCAATACTGGCGAGATGAAAGTTGGTGAAGAATCCATCCAAGGAAGAGTACATGCACATGGGGGCGACGACAATACGGTTGGGGATAGTGAGGTCCTTGATGGTGAAGGGTTGGAAGAGGAGGGGGATGTTGTCGGCAGAGGGAGCATTGGGGAGGGAGGCGTCAATGGGACCGAGGTAGGCTCCTGGGGTGGCGGGTTGTTCGATGTAGTAGTTCTCTTGAGGGTAGATGGGTCTGTTCTTGGAGGATGCGATTGGCTCGTAGATCGAGTTGACTGGGGCGGCGGCGGTGGACTGGGAAGAAGGCATCTTGGTCTTGATTTTTTTGATGTTATTGTTGTGGGTTTAGAGTGTAGAGGAAAGTGGAGAGTGTAGGAGAGAGTGAAGAGGAAGAAGTGGATGATGGGAATGAAGAACAAAAAAAAACGAGGCGAGAGTGTCCGTTGCTATATAGTTCCAATGTGACACGTTCTCTGGCGTCCTGCTGAGTAATGCGTTGGTAGGAAACGTGTCACATATGGTTATCAGCTCCACTCTAAAATAATCGTTCAAGGTCCGACTCCTCGCCTACTGGCTGGCTCGGCAAAGGGAAAAATAAGAATTCACTCCCTCTCACCCTACAACAGTGTCACAGAACAAAAACAAAAGATATCATTTCTTTACTCGACGCTGAATAATTACCAACGCCGTTGAGCCATCCATTAAGCAAACGCCGAAAGAATCTTCCCATGGCGTGATGCACTAAGTCCAATTATTTCTCTTCTCTAGGCAGTTGTTGTCTATCAATGTTATAAATTTCCCACATCTTGCTAAAAAAAAAATAGTGGAGCACAAAAGGGCTTACCCACGAAAGAGCAACAGTTCGCCCTGGAAACGATCGACAGTGGCTATTAATCGAGACGATGCATGCAAGACCTGGACCTGTTCGGCTCTTGTGGTCCTCTCCCGCTGGCCGTACCTACATTGCTTGTCGAGATAAAATAAGGTTGTGGGCCAATCGGACTTGAGAGGATTTGATACAGCGATATGTTGATATATATTTTTTTCTTCATCGCTGATGGTCAACGCTTCGTCTCATTTACATCTCTCAGTAACTTGAGCACTTATCTGTTCCAATCCATCTAGCCCTAAGTAATGCCATAGTTAAAACAGGCCGATAGGCCCTCAGCCCTTAGGATGAGTCTCATCATAGGCGAATGTTTACCCTCGGTTGCCCCACTGCCTCAGGTGGGCATAGTTTCAAAATAGCAAGATCACAATGGAACAGAGTGCCTCAGAACGACAGTCATCAACAGCACAAGAAAGCCCGCGACTCAATTGGCTCGGTGGCCATAGGTAAAAGAAAGGGCGACAAAATGGCGCACTTATAAGAAAGGCCGATAGAGTGCCATAGTTACAGGCTCACAGAAGGCCATAGAAAGCGACAGAATGCCATAGTGTAAAGAAAGGCCGACATGATGGCATAGTTGAAAAGAAAGGCCGAGTATGCCATAGTTAAAAGAAAAGTCCAAAAGTATCTCATTAGTGCGCCATCATTTTGGGTGCTGGCACAGTTTCCCCCAATCCCATTTTCCAGCCATCCACATCGTCTGTCGTGATCCCATAATATGTCGCGATCCCGTGAGAACGAACAGGTGAAGTCTATGCTAGACGACTACGCCCATTCTCCTAGTAGACCGGAGACCGAGGATGTGTGTGACCTTTTTAATTATGATCGAGAAAATAAATGGGAACTCTTTTTTTTCTCGCCCCTGGAACACATCCGGCAATACACTGAAGTTTCCATGGACGTTCAACATGACACAACCTCCCTCCCTCCCCTCCAACACTCAAGACCTCTACTCCCCTCATCCCGCTCTCTCGTCGCTGAGGTGCAAGACCTTAAACCCCACAGGGATCGAAACATCCCTTACTCCTATACAGAACCAGAGGCGCCACTACAGAAGCTTGTCTTTGACGAAAACTCGTGAAGCCTCTCTACCCTAACGGCGTCTCGGAAGCAGAAGGCTTTTACAAGCGAGCAGACTCCTCACCAACAGCCATCGCCGCAACCACAGCAGAGATATCCAAACGCCTTCCCACTCTTCCTCAGAACCCGCACCAGACCTACTCTGCCTCCCCCCTCTCCCCACTCTAGGGCAGTATCGACTTTCTTTTTGCGAGAATGATCAGGGAACTTCTCGAAAGCTGCGGAGGGGGGAGGCAGAGTAGGTCTGGTGCGGGTTCTGAGGAAGAGTGGGAAGGCGTTTGGATATCTCTGCTGTGGTTGCGGCGATGGCTGTTGGTGAGGAGTCTGCTCGCTTGTAAAAGCCTTCTGCTTCCGAGACGCCGTTAGGGTAGAGAGGCTTCACGAGTTTTCGTCAAAGACAAGCTTCTGTAGTGGCGCCTCTGGTTCTGTATAGGAGTAAGGGATGTTTCGATCCCTGTGGGGTTTAAGGTCTTGCACCTTAGCGACGAGAGAGCGGGATGAGGGGAGTAGAGGTCTTGAGTGTTGGAGGGGAGGGAGGGGGGTTGTGTCATGTTGAGCGTCCATGGAAAACTTCAGTGTATTGCCGGATGTGTTCCAGGGGTGAGAAAAAAAGAAGATAGGGGGATCCAGATCCGAACAGTTCTCTCCATTTTTGTTTTTCTTGATCATAATAAAAGGTCACACACAGCATCGTTACAACGGAGAATAAAGAATACCATCGAAGTCATTGCAGCCGATTCCTCAATCCCTTCAATTGCAGACTTTTGCAGTACAAAGAACAAAAAAGCAATCCACAGTCGTCAAGAACACTAGGGCAACAGAAAACCTGACCAGTACATAATATCCTTCAGGGAAACCAAAAAAAAATCCGTCTATTAAGCTGCCATTTTTTTTCTCTCTCTCCGTTACTATTGATAATAAAATTACACGACACGTCCAACACGGTTCATCCTCAGCACTCTTTCCCGAACAGACTCCATCGGCGTTCCTTCCGCCTCTCCACCATCCTCCATTTCTGTCTTCGCGCCGGGTGCAGCTGCTGTAGGTCCGGATGGCGTGGTCTGATGACGACGACGAGACCTCACCAATGGCTCATCCTCTTCCTCGTCCTCCTCATCCTGCTGTCTCTGTGGTGGCTGCTGTGTCATCTCCCGAGCGCGTTGAGAGGGTGACGTGTACTGGGAGTTGTTGTTTCCGGCACCAACGGCGGTAGTGCGACCATATGAAGAAGGCGCGGGGCTCGCGCGTCCATATCCGGCAGACGATACAGGCAAGCTCTCATTGGAGGCATAGTAAGGCGACGAAACGGGTGCTGCGGCTGCCGGTGCTGCTGTGACTGGTGTTTGGAACTGCATCAGGTCGTCATCCATATCGGCGCTAGGGAACTTTCTCTTGAACGCCTCCTCTTCTCCAGTCATGAGGGTTCCAGTTCCGTCCTTCATCCTGAACCGTGTAGGCTTGGGCAGCAACTCGGGTTTTTGACCAGGTGGGACGTTGCTGTTGAACGAGGTGCGGCGGGCAACCTTGAGAGGCGCAGTGCTAGCACCACCATTCACTCCTGTCCTGCGGGCAGACTTGACTGGCACCGTGGGGGTCGAAGCATCAGAGCCAGCGAGTGAACTCTGGTTAGACGACTGAGATGTTGGGGCCTTGTACCGCTCATGCTCATCCAGACTACTCCTGGGGAGAGAAGTAAAACGCTCAGCCAAGGAAGGCGTGCCGATCGCAGAAGAAGGTCCCGCATACGACTGCCTGTAGGCATTAGCAGAGGACGGTGTGCTGGTGCTACTGCTGTTGCTGTTGCTGTTGTTGCTGCCCACCGAATCTCCAACACTCGCCACAGCAGGGTGGAGGTATTGTTGCTGCTGTTGCTGCTGATGTTGTTGCTGTTGCCTCTGCTGAGTTTGGTGCTGCTGCTGAAGATCCTGCTGCTGCGTCAACTGTTTCTGTGACAACTGCTCCTGTTCTTTCAACATCCGGTTACGCTCCTGCCATTTCTCATGCTGAAGCTGAATCTGTTGCTGTTGCTGTTTCTGGAGTTGCTCCTGCTGCTGGCGGTGTTGACGTTGTTGCTCCTCCAATTGGACTCGCTGCAGCTGAATCAATTCTTGCTGCTGTCTCTCAAACTCTTTCTGCTGCAGCTGGATCAATTTGAGTTCGGCATCCATATCACGCTTGGCCAAGTTGCTGCGGTCCAGTGGAGCCAGCTCTGGGTTGGGCGATGTGATAGATGACGCCGACAACTGAGGGCGTGGTGCCAAGGGTGGAGCGACAACTGATCCTGCGCTTGACCCAGTCCATGACCCAGCATCCATTGACCGAAGACCATCCAGTGTCCTGTTAGGGTCCGACACACGCGCCTTACCCTGAGTGTTTTGGGCACTCAGCATTCCAGCGGGCTCAACACCAAACTGCCCCAGCTGATCCAGCCGCTGTCGTTGAAGAAGGTCCATACTCTCCATCTTTGTCGTCAATAAATCCACTCCTTGACCAGCAGTGCCGGAGGATCCCATACCACTAGTAGCCCGAGGAGGGACATTGGGCGATGTCATTCCAGAAAAGCCAGCTCGAGAGTTTCCTGTACCGTCCGAATGAACACTTCTGCTCAGGGGTGGGTTGGGCGACTGGTACGATTGATAGGGCTTGGGTGTAGTATTTTGACTGGGCAGACGAGATCCAAGAAGGGGCTTGGGGATTCCAGAAGATCCAATGTTGGACGTAGGCGACGAAAGTCCGACAGTGGTAGGCTGGGTGCTACTGAACGAGGCTGGCAAATCAGAGCGAGATCCCGAATCCATGTCCTCAAACTTGATACCGGCAGACGATCCAAAAAACAAGTCGTTGGCCGTTGGTTTGGCCTTTGGTGCAGCACTTGAAGGAGTTTTGGCAGCAAATCCTTGACTGTTTCCTGACAGCTGCGTGGGCATCTTGAAGCGATCGCTGACGGACTGAGGCTCTGGGTGGAGATGATCACCCGAGGTCGAAGGCAATTCAAATCCAAACTCGTCTGTGCCATTGGTTCCGTTTGCAGACTGGAAATCAAATGTCGAGCGCTTGGCTTGAGTGTTGCTACTGCTGTTGGCAGGCGATGATGATGAACCGCCAAAGTCGAAAGCGTCGCCTGTGGGAATGATCTTTGAGAACTGAGATGCCGGGTCCGACTGCGTAAACTGTCCAAAGGAGTCATCAAATCCTGCGCCGAAATCGCTAGGGTGGGCGGTTGTAGTCGATGGGAAGGTGTTTGTGTAGTTGTCGTTGGATGTCATCGCTGGCGTAGTGGGAACTGGTGACCGTGTGGGGCGACCACGACGCATGGGCTCAATCGAAGGAAGGACGTCCATAGGTCGCACAACGGCTTGATGGCTGAGAATGTTGGCAGTTGCACTTGTCTCCGGTGCTGACGGTGCCAACATTATATCAGGGTATTTCTAATAAGAGATGGATCAGCATAGAATCTGCTGTCAGTTGTCGTCGGCATAGGCATCCAGCATCGAACAGCGACGCCGAGATATGAAGACAGCTTACGTTTTGAATGGGGCAGGTCAACCCTCGCAAGGTAGAAGTCATCTTCGTGACTTGGTAGATGTTGGGCCGTTGCCTTGGATCCTCTTTGAGCATCGATTCTAAATGTGAACATGTAGTTGAGAGCAAAAGAGGGAGCTTTTTTGTCAATCCAAATTATCCTTACGACAAATTTACACCGCCATTAACATGACTTCCTGCTTTGTTCGCCTCTCAACGATAAAAGACAAAAAAAAAACTTACGAAAGAGACCGATGAGTGCTGGTGAAAAGACTGGGTGGTCGGGGATGGTGTACCGAGCGTTTAAGATGGCCAATTGACCTTGTTCCTCGAATGGCGTCGTGTAATAGCACAGCTTGTACAAAAGCACTCCCAAGGCCCAGATATCTATATGCGTCATTTTGAGAGCAGTTGAAACGTGTCAGTCGAATGTCTTTACAACGCTATACAAAAGCAACGAGCCACAACTGATTGCAACAACGACAACACAGGAGAAAATGCTGACAAGATATGACAACGTACCGATCTTCTCATCGATGCCCTTGCGCATGTAAAGATCCAGCATCTCCGGGGCACGGTATTGGAGGGTGGTGTGGTTGTTGATCTCCTCCTCGAGCAATTGGATGTCCTTGACGTTCCTGGGTATATTGTCACCTCGGAGGATGTTGGTGGTGGCCGATCCGAAATCACACAGCTTGTAGTCGTTGTTGGAGAGGAGGATGTTTTCGACTTTGATGTCCCGATGAAGAATGGGTGGGTCGCAGTAGTGGAGATACGCCACAGCCTAAAAATAATCGAACGAGAGAGGGCCATACGCGTGAGAAATGAGAAACTGGGTTCTGTTGTTCATTCGTCGTCTGTTTCCATGGGGTATGTTCTGCTAACTTCTGCTCGTTTTGGAGAGGGGTTCTCTTCCGTTGTTCCTGCAAATGTGTATCCTGTTCTTTTCAACTATCATTGTCCTGGGGGGTGAGCTGGCTCATTTTCGGCTCTCATCATTCAATTGCAACCCCACGATGCACGCAGCAGCATCTTGCACTTCCTGCTTTTCTTCCCGCCTCTGTTCTGACTTCTTGCAGCATATTGTCGTCTTCCTTCCCTTGGTTGTGGAGAGAGGAAAATTGAAATTACACCAACGGACTACTTGCATACGCTCCTCGTCCTTCTCCTCGTGTCCTGGTTGTGTCGGTTCCATATCCATGTCGTATTGTCCGACGTCGCTCTAATTAAAAAAAAATGATGGCGTTGTGGGCTTTACCTCGCAGACGTTCGAAAAAATCTTGAGAATCTCTGGCTCGGTCAGACGGTGTTGTAGTCTCCTATTCATGAGATCGATGACCGGTCCACCTGGGCGCAGAAAAAAAATCCCAGAAAGAAGGGGGGTTGGACCAATTGAGGTCATGTCAGTTGAGCTGAATCGAGGGCAGGCGACTAAACACAGAACTTTCGCCTGACACGACATAGTCAAGGGCGCAAGAGGAAGAGAAGCCATCGCTGTGGTCGTCGAGATTGTATGGCCTCAATAGGCTGGCTGTTTGTTACCTCCACAGTACTCCATGAGAATAAGGACCTCGTATCCTCCATGCTCCAGCTTTCCCATGCACGAATCCATGTACTCGACAATATTCTTGTGCTTCCCAAGACGTTTCTACTCCCACAGTCAAAAGTAAAAAAAAAGAGTGTATATGTAAAGTTTCAATTGAACAAAACGAAGCACGTTAGTCTTCAACCACGGAAAAAGCAGAGTCTGACTAAAACTCTTTGCTCCTACTCTCAAAAAACGACAATGATACCCAAGCACTAGCAACAACAAGGTAATACTCTCACGACATCAAAAAAGCCAAAGCCAACACATTCAAAACTCCTCCATTCGCTCGCCCACCAGCAAAAACCACCAATGCATTACCATAGTCTCAATCTCCGAGTTTACAACCGCAAGGCGCTCCTTGTCTGCAACAGCGATCCGTTTAATAACAACTGGAAACCCAGAGACGATGACGCCATTGTTGAGGATGGAGCCGACGTAGACGTGGGCGAACCCTCCTTCGGCGATGTACTTGTCGACGACAACGGTGAACCTTCCGAGTTGGATGGTCGTCCCTGGTAGGATTGTGCCCTGAGGGGCAGGGGGCATGTGGAGGCCAACTGCGTTCATCGAGTGAGTTGTGTAAGTTGGAAGGGGAATGTGAGTTGGAAGGTGGGCGAAGGAGTCGAACGGAGGTAGAGGCGGCAGAGAAGAAAGGAAGGAGGAAGGGTGCGAGTGGTGACGAGAGGGCGGTGAGTGTTGTTGCCGTGGTCTTGTCCTGTCCTCCGGAGAGACGAAAAAAGTATAAGAGAGAGAGAGGAGGGAAGAGGGAGACAGAAAGGGGAGAGTGATGAAGATGACGAAGGGAAGATGATGACAGTTGTAGAAGAAAGAAGAAAGGAGAGACAGAGACTAGTCCTATCATGTCACCACCTTCGACTTTGGATCGAATCGAACCCTTCCTTGTCCAATCAAGAGTCCTCCTCTCTTTGGATCCAACAGCCGGAAAATGAATGCTCAGGGGACAACTTCATAACACCCAATAATGTACTAAAAGCTAAAGGACTTGCGCACATATTTGTTCCGATCCATCCCACCCTCCTTCCCCTGCAATTGCCTCTCTCTCTCTCTCTCTCTCTCTCTCTCTCTCTCTCTCTCTCAATTGCCCTTCACCAGGGAGTCCATTGAGCTGCTAGTAGCGAAAGAGAGAGAGAGAGAGAGAGGGAAGAGACTGTGATTGTTTTTCGTTTTTCCTTCCACGGCGACCGTTATTTAATTTAAATAACAGCGGTGCCTGGACGTTCTTCCTGTTGACCGTCAAGAGCGAAAATAAGGCCAAGTGATATTAGTACAAAGCAAGAAAATGCAATCATCAATCATCAATCATCATGTACAAAACCCTCTATTTTTTTGAACACTTTACGATCGTCAAAGGAACACCGCGCGTGTTTGTGGAGGTTCTTTTCTTCCCTCTTCGTTCCCAATAGAACTCATAGGTGTGCGGGGCTGTAGTAGAACCCCGCGAGACGGCTAGTTACTTCATTTGAGATTTTATTTACACGTTGTACAACTCAACCTCCAACCATCCGCCCCCTCCCCAAGTAACTTAAAACTTCTTCCACATCTCAAGGACCTGTTTATCATGGGCCTTGCGAACCTCGCGTCTCTTGACCTTGCTGCTCGAGGTCATAAACCCATTCGTCGTCCAGTCACTATCATCCACAATCACGCCCTGCACAGTCTCAGACTTGGACAACCCAGACGTCTTGGCCTGGTTCTTCAACACCTCCAGAATCTCCTTGTCCGTCGCACCATGATGACTAGGCTCGACAACTGCCAACAAAACAGGGCATCCGCTATCGGCCACAATACAGATACTCTTGATCTCCTTTGCATCTCTGTACACGGCCTCACACTTTTCCAACGCAACGTACTCTCCGTGCGACAACTTGACCAAGTTCTTGACACGGTCCTTGATCGAGATTGTGCCGTCGGGGTTCACAGATCCGATATCGCCAGTCTTGAACCATCCGTCGCCAGTCATCACCTGCTTGGTCTCCTCCTCCTGCTGGAAGTAGCCCTTCATCACCGCAGGGCCACGGAACCAGATCTCGCCCGATCCGTTGTCGCCAGTGTACTCGGTGTCAGGCACATTCACCAACTTCAGCTCCAAACCAGGTGCCTATTCATCAAATGAAAAGAAATGTGAAAGAGTTGGTCAATTGATTCAGAAAAGGGCGGCATCACAACGACACAATCAAATCAATTGAGCAGCGCAAAGCAAAAAAAACATACAGGTGGGCCGACGGTGCGGAGACGGTGTCCCATACGAGGCATGGTAACAGCAGCAACACCACAGACCTCCGTGAGACCATATCCCGAGATCACATAGCACATCACCATGCTCAGGAAACGATGGGTCTCGTCACTGATACCAGCGCCTCCAGTCAATGTCAGACGAAGACGACCACCGACCAACTCTCTAGCCTTGGCAAAGACAACATTGTCGATCATGTTGGTGACAAAGTTCTCCGAGCCAGTCGCCTGGACGATCGCCCACTTTGTGTTGAGTGCAGCAAAGAAGAGGGTTCTGACGGGGAACGACTGCTTGTTGACCTCTGCCAACATGCCCTTGCGGATACGCTCCCAGATCGTAGGCACACCAGCTAAGGATAAACAATAGAGAAGAAAGAGGAGATATGTTAGACCTCAATAAGGTTCGCCAAGCAACAAAGACGTCACTGCAAACAAATGTCATCATCGTCCCAAAAGGAGTAATGGTTGCACAAGACATTTTTGAACGTCGTCAACATGCGGCTAGAGAACATCCACTTACCCATCAAGGTGGGACGAAGGGCCTTCAAATCTCCAAGGCCCTTGGAACGACCACTACCAGCAGTAGGAGCCACAGCATCATCCATCAGTGTCCTGGCACGAGCGAATCCAAGACGGCAGCCCTATTAGCAAAACAGCAAGTGCATAAGCAGAAGAGTCAGAGGAGATTCATTGTGTGGTGAGAGTAGACACAATCGCGAAACAAAGGGACAATGGAGTAAGGACGCACCATGGAGACGATAAAGTGAGAAATGACAAACTCAAGGACGTGGGCCAAGGGCAGGTAAGAGATAACCACATCCTCGTCCTGGTTCAAAAGGTCACCCTCCATTGCCGCGGCACTTCCGATCGACGACATCAAGTTGCCGTGGGTCAATTGAGCTCCCTTGGGGGTGCCAGTCGATCCCGAGGTGTACATAATACAGGCGAGATCGTCAGCCTCGGGGTAGACAGTCTCAATATTGCTAGCCTCGCCCTCGACCTCTTCATCCTCCTCGTCAGCCTTTGCCTTTCCCTTGCCGGGGGCATCAACACCCTTGTTCCGCTTGAGCTCATCGATATGAACCAACTTGAAGCCACGGTCCTTGACACCCTCGAGCTTCTTGATGTTATCAGACACCTCCCAGTCCTGGCCCGTGTAGATGACAGCCTTGATGCCGGTGTTGCCTTTTTGCAACAGCTTGGCGACGACGGGGAGGGTGGTCGAGTCGGCAAAGATAGCCTTTGGCTGTGATTGGTCGAGGATGAACTGGATAGACTTGTCATCCATGGAGTCGTATGCTGTGACGATAGTGATCGACTGCGAGAAGCATCCTAAGTACCACAGGTGGGAAATGACATAATGAGTGAGTAAGCAAGCATTACTGTCGGAGTAAAGAATGAGGTCCAACTAGGTTCCTTTTTTCCCTTGTGAGTGGATTAAACGCTATTCAGTTTCTCATAGCTAATCAAAGATTCCCAACTCAGCAGGTTGGAGCATGGTCCCGTTCTTTGTTCCTCTTCCTGTCCATTTTCATATGCGTCCAACCAGGCCCCCTCTTTTCTGTTGATGGCCATATGCCCCATGTGCATAATCTTCCTGAAGGCATTCGCATGTCGCGTTCTCCTGTGGTCAGTCTTATGTCATCCTGATTACACCTTGCATTTGTTTATTCCCAGCCCTCCATTTTTTGACAAAGATAACGCGCGATAATGAAATCAGAGAGCCATCATCAATTGAACCCTTACCGTGAGCCGCAAGGAACCACTCTGGGCTATTATTATCCGGCGCATGTGAAAGCAACGCGAGCAAGACATATATTGAAGCGTCCAGGAAGTCGAGAGATAAGAGAAAGAGGAATTGTCAGCATATATGGCAACTCAAGTCATCGCGATCCCGCTGGAACTCTCACATCCGAAACAAGCAAATGCACCCACTCCTCCTCCTCAATCAGCAATCGAAGAAAAACAAATAGCAACAAGAACAAGCAAGAGTGCGTTACCAAGTGCTGGAAAAGATCATGACAAAGTCGCCCTTGTTGACACCAAGGTTCTTGATGCCGAGACCGACACGATCGGCATAGGTCTTGGCCTTGCGGTACGACATCCAGTTGTAGTCCGTGAGCTCGTACGTGATCCATGTCTTGGGCTTGTCACCTGCGTTGGCGGCTTTCTTTTCGACTTTGTGGACCTGTTTTGATAGTAAAATTGGACCCAACAATGCAAATGAACGAAAGGAAAAAAGGGGGGTGTGTTAATGAGGAATGAATCAAGGCAGCGCGAAAAAAATAATGCGGCGAGATGCATCATTGGTGGGAAAGGCGTGGGGGGAATCATTTATTTGAACAACCATGGGATACGTAACATCGATCCCTCTTGTCAAACACTGGCAAATCTCAAACCACGCTCTCTTTTTTTTTCCTTCGTCAAACACCAAAAAGCTCATTCGGCATGTTTACCTTGATCACATCGCGCCAGCCCATAGCGTCCTTGTCCTCGTACTTGTCAGCCATGAATTCAAAGAGGTGAGCCATCGAACCTCCTTTGATATCGTAGTAAGGTGGCATGGGCTTCTTGAGGAGTCCGCCTGTGGACATGACGTTGCGGTAGATATGGTCGACTTCGTCGTACTCGACCGCGTATTTGCCGTTGACAACATGTTCCATTTTGTGTTTTTGGTGAGAGAGGGAAGGGGAATCAAACAAATGTGTAGAAGGGTGTGTGTGTGAATGAACGAAAGAATGAGAATGTAAATGAGTTCAGGCAAGTGAATGGAGAAAAGGAGAAAGTAAGGAGTGTGAGAAAAAAGGAAGGAGAGGGCACAGGGCCACTTTAAATACACATAAGCCTCGCGCTGCGACCAACTCCACCAATGAGATCATCTTGCGAAAGACATCATCGGTGGCTGTTCTCCTGTTCTCTGGCCATGGCTCAATTTACACCCGCCCGCCGATTCGAGCTACCTGTGAGCTTCAACCCATGTGAAGTAAATATTGTCTGAACAACGGACCCCGTCATCACCCCTGCAACAGCACGTCCTGACTTCATCTGAGAGATAACCACCGGGGTCTAATGAGAAAGAGCAATTCATGTCTCTCGATCGTCCAATTTTTTGCAATCCATCTCCGAACACACGATCTTGCTATCAACTTTTTAATTTTGGAGAAAATAGAAAGATGAAAGGCTATGGTGGTACATCGATAAGCATGTGGGTTTGCTCATCGTTGTTGTTTTTGTGTGTGTGGCCGTGAAACAATATTGGTGTTCGATCCGACAGGGGAAAGAAGACCAAAAAGGCGCCCATTCTCTTTCTTACCCTCGCCTACGCATCTTCTCGAGCTGCTCATAGCGAGACGAGTTGCCACTGCCGACAAAAACACCATAGTCGTCCTTGGGAGAACTGTAAAGCTGAGAGAGCTGGATCGAGTCGTTGCCCGAGCGGATGTTCTGCGGGTTCCTGTGGGCTCCAACACTTGACGACGATATAAACTTGCCATCCTGCTTGTCATTGTCATCATCGTCAGTTGCACCGTACTCGTCTTGAGCCTCCCGCATCATGTCATCAAAGTACTTGTTCGCTGGGTCATCTTCATCATCGTCCGATTCATCCAGCTCAAAGCAGTCTTGATCCCCATCTGATTCTTGAACGTGGTAAAAGTCGAGATCCGCATCAGATCCTGAGGTACCGCTGCTGTTCCCAATCGCCCTTGGTGTCGCCAATCCCTGACCTGGACCCTGATTGTCCTTGGAGCGACTAATCAACCAGGGCAACGCCTCTTCTACCTTGGCCATTTTAATTCGGTCCATTGATCGTAGGCGATCCGACACAGCAGAGTTGGACCACTCCACCAATTGCTCCCGGTCCTCTGGACCCAGCACGGTACCTTCTTGATGCTCGACCTGGCGCACACCAAAGTGGGCTTGCCGCGCCATCAGCTCCGAGTATTGTGGTAGGAAAGCAGTCAGCTGTTGAGCGTCGGTCGGATCCATCGCGTCGAATAGTTCCATGACCCGCTGAGAAATCACCTGAAGCCCAACGGCCTGTGACTCAAGACTGCCAACATGCTGCTGTTGAGAGGCTGTGGCAACGGTTCCCCAATCCATGGTGTTTGTCTCGCCAGTCTCACCTTGATCCTGTTTGGCCGCCTCTTGCCTCACGAGCGCCACAGTCTGTATCCGGTCCTTCCGGATTGTCTCCAGCAGCTTCGCCATCTGGGCATTCCACTTCTTCACCGTCTCAGCCGTCACCGATTTGATTGTATTGTCCGTCACGGGTCTCTTATTTGACTTCTTTGACGGCGGCACTCCTGTCTTCGCTGCCGATAAGACGGCGCTGAGCACGTCGATCTCGGCGATGATGAACTCGTATTCTGCTCCGCTCAACAATGGCCTCGGCGGTTCCAGATAGGTTGCCACGTCCACCAACTCTTGCTCGAACGAAGCTGCAAATCCCTTGATGGTCGTCAGGCTGGCCATTTGAGGAAAATGGCGTCGACAGGCTGCAAGTATAGCATCCTCGGCCGCCTTGCTTAGTCCACGGTCAATCAACAGCATATCTTTGTCGTCGTGATCCTGTCCAGGTTCCCGCGCCAACTCGCCAAACCTTTGCTGGAAATACCCTTCGTGGTAAATGGCGCGGATCTCGCTCCTATTCGTCTCTGTTTGACTCGGCAGCCGAAATACCCTCTCGATCATCGAATGCTGGTGGCTGATAGTCTTGGAGGACATGGAGATTGTTGGCTGTCTCAGAGTTGGTCGTGGATGTCGATCGAGTTCCCTTTGCTGGCGGCAAATAGCGGACGTCAATTCCTGAAAAGCAAGTTCAAAAGATTCTCTAATCAAGGCCATCCTTTTCGTTCCCTTGGCTACGTTCTGGCTCTCGACTGGGCTCACGAGGGTGAGATTGAGTCGCTTACGCCGTGGTTTGTCGCTGCCACTTTTGTAAGCGTAAGATCCTCCACGTGTGACCGAGATTAAGACGTTGTTGTAGTTGAAACAGAGACCGTATAACTCGAAGAACTCGATAAGCAGCACGCCGAGGTTGGCAAGAGGATCGATCCTGCGTGCCTGGACCAAGGGATGCATCTGTAGGAAACTCATCACCAGCAGCGTTACCGAGAACGAGCCGAGGCCACCATGGAAGACTTCGCAGAAGGACTATTATGGATAAATTGGAAAGGTACATGAAAAGGTTAGTACATCTGCATCTCCAATGCAATGACGGCGAAACATGGACAAGGAAAATGCTCTATTGACAAGATTGATTGCACTTACGGCTGGCCTGCTCTTCAGGAACTGCTTGATCAGCATGGTCATAGGCTGGAGGACGGGCATCTGCTTCAGGAACTGTTGAACAACATTTCCTGTCTTGAAACCATCCTTCTGGTTCAAGGATATATCCACGTGAATCCCTGTCCGCCGCTCCTGGAACTTGACGATCGGCACTTTTGTCTCTAGGAGGGCCTCGACATTGATGCCGAATCTTGTAGACCCGATCCTCTCCGCCAGAGCCCTCAACACTTCTGATTCTGATTTCTCCGTCTTCATCATCATCACTATATCGATATCACTGATTGTTTGATCAGATACCCAAAAAGATGTTAGAATATTTGCATTTTTGTTGTCGCCGCTCGTAACTGATGTGTTTCAAGTAAGGCCGTCGTAAATCACCTTCCAGGGAGATAGAGCTGGGTGTTGAAGGAGCCAAAGGCATACACCTTGGCCTTGCTCCACAGGCCAGTAATAAGCTCCTCCACCGCCTTGAACACGTACATCCTGATCGCGCGTTCCTCGAGCGTGGGCTTCAAGTACTCGGCAAAGTCCTGGATTTCCTGTGTGAACATTTCGATCGCCGTCAATTGCTGTGAATAGTCGTGTCGCATCCAAGGGTATTCGTTCTCTACTTGAACCCGTCTTCGCGCTCGACGCGGATACTGGTTATTGTCGTCGTCATTGTTGCCAAAGGCCTCAAAGTCGCCCCACTCATCTCGTTTCCGCTTCAGGCTCTCCAGGCTCTCCTGTTGCTCTTGACGAAAGATGGCCATTTTTCCTCGTTCGATTCGCCGTGTGATGATCCTGTTTGCTCGATTCTGAGAATGCCTCTTCTTTTCTTCTTGTGATGTAGGTCCTCGCTTCCCCTTTCTTTTCGGCTTCGCGATTGTGCTGTTCTCCTCGACGTATATGTTATTGTTCTCCTCAAGGTGGTTGTCGATGAGGTTGACATAGTCGAGATTCCTCGCTAGAGCGTTGGGAGGTGCCTCTTTCCTGTGGTAGGTCATGCTGGACAGACTTGTGAACGATGGGGTTTGGTCAGGTTTACAAAGTCAAAAGGGTACAGTTCCCTACTCCGCCCCTTTTTATTCCCTGTGGGAAAAAGGTACCCTTAACAACACAACAGCAGGACCGCTTTTTTTTTTTTGTATTTGAGATCATGGTTTGCTGAAACGCGAAAAAGGATCAATAGATTGTAGGAGGGTAAGAAGGACCTTGTTTTCAATTGTGAAGGACGTGGGTAACAGCTATGTTGGTTGACCGATCTAATGGTAGCAACTAGCACTGACACCCAAGATCCCAGCAAAGATGCCGGATAAAGTGTTTGTTATTTGTTATGCTCGTTGCGATCAGTTCTATGCTTACTTTGAAAACACCTTCACATGCTGGTCGAAGAAAGGAACTGATAAAGAAGACAAGCGACAGTTGCTATGCATAAGGAAGGGATAAGGAATTACGGGTCTATTCTGACAATGCGACAAAAAAAAAAAAACGTTTGTAAGTGGAAGATACTTTAGGCTGCCAAGCCCAGTAATTGCTTCCTTCTCTCGGCGTACACAAGGGCTCTTTATGGGCAGGGTGTGTCTCTATCTTGTGGGAGTGGGGGTTAGATATGCAATGCAAGCGAGCGGATATGGAAGTGGATGCCAAGGTGGATTGTGTGCTTGTGCTTGTGAAGGGTACACAAAGGGATGCCAACGGACGGGGATGAATGAACCTTGACAAAGATAAAAAAGGCCACAGCGGTTTGGGAAGGGCAGTCGCATTGTCGATTTGTCAGTAGAAATGATTTTTATTACTAAAATGATATCGCTACAGGGGGATAGCACGCAAAGGGAATTTCTGTGGGGTGGGAGGAGGGATCATATCGACTTGTCAGCGTCATTCCTTTTATGGCGATTGCTCTGTTGTCCAATGGAACAACCCTATTATTTCTGTTATTTCTGTACAGCTGCATCACTTCTATCACTTCTCCACTGTCTTACTTGTCCTTGCGCTACTTGAACAGTGGGGGCACAATTGCCCCTCCCTCTGCCTATTGTAACTGTACGCTATCGCTGATACATCCGATCTCCGGAGGTCCGAACTGAACCCTTCTTCCTTGGCACAGGGACCACTTACAAACAACACCAACAACAACAACATCAACCACAGACCACTCTCCGTTCACTTCATTATCATATCACCATCATCATCATTCTTCGCTTGCCGCCCAACGTTTTTTTTTTACTCAACAAAAAACATCCATCGACGCAATATAAAGCCTGACCGCTTTCCTTCTCGTTTTTGTTTTCCTTTACCTTTTCTCTCTCTCTCTTCTCTTCATCCAACCACTCCTCACCTCTCCCTCTTCCCTACTCTTCATAACCCCCCCTCCTCCTTCCTTTCTTATTCTGTTTAGTCTTCACTCGGATCACCTTTTGCCCACAGGATACGATCACAACCTCTATCCATAACAACAGCAACTTTTAACGATCACACCCTTACACACATAAAAACATGGCCACCCCTCTCCCCCCTACATTCGTGGTCCCCGCAACCCAGACCGAGACCCGTCGTCAACCCCTCGAGCATGATGTGCTCCCTCCTCTCTTCCCCGAGAAGATCACGATCACCAACATCTGGAGGTACCTCGACTACAAGCATGTCCTTGGACTCGGTCTGACTCCCTTGATTGCCTTGTATGGTCTTTTGACGACTGAGGTCCAGACAAAGACTCTCATCTGGTCTATTATTTATTACTATGCCACTGGTCTTGGTATCACTGCAGGCAAGTTCTCTCTCTGTTTGGGTCTTTCTTTGGGCAAAGCTGATTTTTTTTATTGTCGTTGTGCGGAGTGGGTATTGTGAGCAGAGGCCGCATTTAATTGTTGGGGTGGTCCATTCCCCCCCTTCCCTGCGATATCTGATTAGATAATTATATTTCTCCTTAAACAACAGACAAACTAACCATATCCCTATCTTTTTTCATATCCACAACAACAAACACCAAACCCACCCGACCCACCAACAACTCCAACAACCAAACCATCAAACCCCCAACAATAACAAACCAACAGGATACCACCGTCTCTGGGCACATCGTGCATACAGTGCAGGACCTGCAATGAGCTTCGTGCTCGCCCTCCTCGGCGCTGGAGCCGTTGAGGGTTCCATCAAGTGGTGGTCCCGTGGCCACCGCGCCCACCACCGCTGGACTGACACCGAAAAGGACCCTTACTCTGCCCACCGTGGACTCTTCTTCTCCCACGTCGGCTGGATGTTGATCAAGCGCCCCGGATGGAAGATTGGTCACGCCGACGTTGACGACCTTAACAAGAACAAGCTCGTTCAGTGGCAGCATAAGCATTACCTCCCCCTCGTCCTCACTATGGGTGTCATCTTCCCTACCCTTGTTGCAGGTCTTGGATGGGGTGACTGGCGTGGAGGTTACTTCTATGCGGCCATCTTGCGTCTCGTCTTTGTCCACCATGCTACCTTCTGTGTCAACTCGCTTGCTCACTGGCTCGGTGAGGGACCCTTCGACGACCGTCACTCCCCCCGCGACCACTTCATCACCGCCTTCATGACCCTCGGAGAGGGATACCACAACTTCCACCACCAGTTCCCTCAGGATTACCGTAACGCCATTCGCTTCTACCAGTACGACCCCACCAAATGGGTCATCGCCCTCTGCGCCTTCTTCGGCCTCGCCACTCACCTCAAGACCTTCCCCGAGAACGAGGTTCGCAAGGGTCAGCTCCAGATGATCGAGAAGAAGGTCCTCGAGAAGAAGACAAAGCTCCAGTGGGGCACCCCTATCGCCGACCTCCCAGTCTTGAGCTTTGAGGATTACCAGCACGCCTGCAAGAACGATGGCAAGAAGTGGATTCTTTTGGAGGGTGTTGTCTACGATGTTGCCGAGTTTATGCACGAGCACCCTGGTGGAGAGAAGTACATCAAGATGGGTCTTGGCAAGGATATGACTGCCGCCTTTAACGGAGGCATGTACGATCACAGCAATGCTGCTCGCAACTTGCTTAGCTTGATGCGTGTCGCTATTGTTGAGTTTGGTGGTGAGGTCGAGGCCCAGAAGAAGAACCCCTCTGTACCTGTGTATGGTGATGACCACCACTCCAAGTCCGAGTAATCTCTTCGTGCTCGGTCTTTTCGTTTCCCCCCCCCCCCCCCTTTCTCTACTATAGACTTTTTACTTACTTTCACTATACCACTCATACTTCCCCACTCCTAACCCCCACCTCGTCTTCCTTGCGCGTGTCCTCATGAACGGCCACCGCAGATTCCTTGTACCATTTTCATACTGCCCGCCCCCCTCCTCTCCTTTCTGCATTTCAAACAAGTTTACCACAATACATTCACCCTGAACAAAAAAAAAAAATGCCTCGCCTTGTGCAAATGCCATCCATGCTATGACTTTTTTTTTTGTTTTTCTCCTTGTTTGCGCCTTGTTTGTGCCTTGCTTTGCTTTGCGTTGTGGCGAGCCTTGGACCAACCAGCGCGTCAACCTCCCACCAGCACCCACCCACCATTTTACTGTTGACCCAAAAAAAAAAAAAAAAAAAAAAAAAAAAAAAAAAGTCCGCTCTTCGCATTCATTGGTGGCGTCCTTTGGTTGGGGGGAAGGGGGGAAGGGGGGGAAGGATGCAACCCTTATTACATTATTTTTTCTTCATTTCCTAGATGGTCGGCAAAGTCAGCCGCTTCCCTTTCTCCTTTATTCCTTACTGTGTCACCCTGACTGTCAAGACGGCATCAGGTATAACGCCGACCCCGGAGGTAGAAAGGAGTAATAGAACCACAAAGTACTACCAAGAAAGAAGCAGATGATGATCCAAACCCAATATCCCCTCAAATCCCAAGCAGTTGGTAAAAAAAAAAAAAAAAAAAAAAAGGTATACCCTCGACCTTTTTTATTCAATTACGTGGTCTTTATCCTAGTATTCCTGACCGCTCTACAGTAGCCCTTTCCAGCATACTCTCACTGTGCGAATTTCATCCGCAATTAATTGGATCCGTCGTTCTGAGGCTTGTGTATCCCACTAAGGGGTCGGACAAGTTGTCCGTCGCTATTCCTTGAAGAAGATAAGAAGAGGAGGAAGGGGGGAAGCACTGGTAGTGACAAGAACAAATCATAAATGGGGAATCAAAGGACGGTGGGAAAGAAAGAAAGAGTGGTTCATCCCAAAACAGCTCCCCACAACAAATCAAAGGGATGGGGAGAAACGCCAAAAAAAAAAGATACACAGAAAGAAAGGGGGGCTTCAAAAAGAGCAAAAGAGAGAGGTTGAGAACAAGGGCGATGCGGAAAAGGTGAACGGCATGCTGAAAAGACAACAAAAGAGCATGTAATGAAAGAAAAATCGAGGGAAGCAAGAAAACGACCAGGGGATGCTGGAAATGTATCAGAAGATACGGCGAAGAGCAGGAGACTGAAAGAATCAAGCGACCCGGAAGATCAAAGGACCCGGAAGATCAAGGGATCCAGAGCGAGGGATAGGAATAGATTATGAGATGCTAGAATGGCTGAAAAGATTAAGGGAGTAAAAAGAGGAAAGCTATCGTTTCCTTGTAACATCGAGACATGCCCGAGTGACGGAGTCTAGATGTCATCTCGCATCTCACATCGACAACGCCTTCTGGATGCGCTTAAAAAGCGCCAAAGAAATAAAGTCCACCGTGCCACATTTGGGAACAAGAAACAGGAAGTGTCCCTGTGAGCGGTATGCGGTGTCCTTGATAAGTTTCTTCAGCTGCATCGATTTGAAGAGTCGGTTGAAGACAAACTGCCCTAAGATTCGCTCCGTGAATGTCGGTTTGCGAAGAGCGGTAAAAAGAACAAAGTAATCAATGGGGATAGAATTCCAGCCATACATGTTCAACAAATGAAGAGAGATGTACATGCGCCTGGAGGTCAGCCTACGTATTCGTAGATGAGCTGGGTACCTTTGTACGACTGATGGCATTGTTTCTTGATAGCATCGAATCTCTCCTCCTTGTAATCGCTCAATGCGGGTTTATGATTTCGTGGGTGGTTGCGGATATGTCGTAGATGTGGTTGGCGAGAAGGACGGCGTCTTGCATCGCATTTACAGCGCCAGCGCCATTGCTTGGGAGGAGCTAAGAAAAGAAGACGAGGATATGGACGTTCCCATTCTTACTTTGTAGGTGGTTATATAGGAGGGGAAACCGGGATCCAAGTAAAGAAGGTGTTAGTCCAAAAGCGTCGCAAGTGTAAGTCGTCGCACTGTGAACCAAGAAGAAAGTAAATTTGATCCTGCTATGCTGTGAACATTATCAGCGCCGACGAGGATATCTCCGTGGGCATTAGTGCCATCGCTAAAGGAAAAGCTGACATAGCTATCGTCCTGCTGCGAGGAAACAATCTTCTTGTCCATGTGAACTTTGTGCGAGGGAGTTTTCTTAAAAAATATGTCGTACAAGTCGGGTGGGGCAAACAATATGCGATCGTATCCGACACTAATCCAATTGTTAGAAAGAAAGATAAAAGTTCGGTTATACATGGAACGTGAATCGAGAAACAAGAAAAAAAAAGGTGGACGATTGACTACATGTCAGCAGAGGCTGCAGCAGTGGTGTCAATGACCTCGAGTTTGTCGGTGTAAAGATACCGAGCCGAGCAGGTTTTGAGAATAACATGAGTTCTTCCACGAGTTCGAGCTGCTCAAATGCTGGGATGGATGTTCGGGGACTAAAGTCATCCTTAAGTTGTGGACTGGGCGTGTCTACCACCGTACCAAACAAATGATGGATCCTACAGAGTGAAACAAAAAAGCAGGGGTATCAATTATCGATTCCATCCATACTAAAAAGCGCACGTTGTTGAAGGAATCGATTCGCATTCGAAAAAGACGATCCTCACCATGGGGCTTGATCTCAGCAGTGCGCTCATAGATATCGAAGGGGATTCCAGCCCTCTCCGGTAGGATACCAAGGAACAGGCCAGCCAGACCAGCTCCAGCAGTCAGGACAAGGGGCGGCGAGTCGTTATTCGAAAAAGAAAATACGAGTGAACGAGCAAGATGCAAATCAGAAGAATGACAGATGTGTCCAAGAACGGGTGGGTAGAACCTCTCGCTCCAATGGTTACACAATCAATTGGACAAGTCAAACGAGTTTTGGGCAGAGAAGGAGGATGTTGGACCATTGCACACCCCCACCGGTACGTTCTAGATGCAAGCACAGCTTAGGCTGTGTCCCACTGACTGCGCAAAGGTAAATGCATGCAAGTGGTCTATGTATGTACATTACAGTACATGAGCCATGATAATAAACGCGTATGCCTTGTGCTTTTCGTTCTAGCTCTCTGAAAGAGAAAAGGCAAAGTCTCAAACACATCGGCAAGCAAACAAAAGGACGGACGAAGATGTGGTTTTATTGTACAGGTGAAACAGAAAAAGGACGACGCCAACCACTAGTAGTAGTCAGCTTTGGAATGATGAAGAGGACCTCTGAGCAAGGTAACAGCGACTTCAATGATAACAAAGAAGCCAGTGACAATAGGCAAGAAAATATAACTCTGCATGATGGCACAAATCGACAACGAGTCCTCCTTCAAGCCATCACACGAGAAGGGGTTGGTCCTAACCATGAAGTAATCCCCCGTTAGATTCTCGTTCGTCATCTTGGCGCTCTCGATCTGCACATGGATAGACCGAAACATGATGCCGAGGAGGAACAGTGCCGGGAACAACATCAGGAAAGCGCGCTCGAATCGGTGGTGGAAAAGATGTTTCTTGCCAACGATGGAGTAGATGTAGGAGATGAAGAGGATGGCTGAGAAGGCGATGACTCCGTAGTCTGACCAGTTGTAGGTGTACCGTGGTTTGTCGAGCCTATCTTGGCGAGCGTTGGACATGGTGCCGATGACCCAGCCGTAGTATGTGCTGACGATAACGAGGTTGACCAGGCAGATGAATGCCAACCAGATCCTTAGCCCGAAGATAGCACGCGCCATGGTTGACTATGAAATGTAAGGGTAGTGTGCGAGAAAAGGGTACAGAGAGAGAGGGAGAGTGGGACAGAGTAAGAGAGAGAGAGAGGGTGGAGGAGGAGTGAGGGATGCAGATGATGGAAAGGGTTCGTAAGGAGGGCAAAGAAAAAGGAGCAGAGGAAGGATTCGTTAAAGATAGGGAAGAAAGTGAGCAGAGAAAGAAAGGGAAAAAAGGTGTTTTCGTTGGAAGGACGAAATAAGGATCTGGATGGGGGGAGGGGTTCCTCTCATCTTTATACTTAGTGGCTTCCTCATCCCTGTTTGCTTGTCCTCCAATCGCTCGTCAGTGAGCATAGAACGCCGTTCTCCCGCCAAAGCAGCAAAGAAGAAAAAAGGGGTGATAGAGGACAGTGCTCACAACCTGAGTGTACATGAAAAGCCAAACTACCCAACGATCGAAAGGAAAAAATTCTCGTGATGGATGAGCCATTACTACACCTAAACCTTCTTTCTCTTTTCCCTCCTTTATTTTATGTTTTGACAGAGACGCACCGCCCTCTGCTTCTGAACAGAAGGCGGTGAAAAGCTGAACGTAGAACACTAGCAGGTGGGTAAGGAGCGCTGTTCTCGCCATTGCAAAAGAAAAGAAAGGATGCACTCTGACTAATGTTTGACGCGGTCTCAATTGGTCATCTCCATAGTCGGGGTTCATGACGCACGGTTGCCCCATGTAATAATTAATATTCTTCATGCCTTGTCGAATTACTTTCTGCTTTTTTTTTTTTGGTTTCCTTCCGAATCGTGTTGATTTTGAAGAAAAACAACAAGAAAAAAGGCAAAGCAAATTAGTGTTTCGTACGAACCCTCTTTTTTGATTTACATATTTTGTTGATTTATCGATGAGACACAGTGAGACAATTAAACTCCATGGGTGTAAGAGAGGGAATTGACCAAAAATGACTGAACATGACCCTCAGATACCCATGCACCGTTGAATCGGATACATTCCTGGGTCCGTTAACGGCTACGTACAAAACACCTCGAAAAAAGGGGGGATACATTAATTTTCGGCGGCAAAAGAAAAAAACATAAATGAGAAGTAAAAAAAACGTGATTGAGAGAGTGCACTCCTTCAGCCAGAGCCCCTTCTTTTGATTGTGTATATTCTGCTCTCCGTTTTGTGAATCAATTTCAAGAGTAGACAATCAGGCGTCTTCTTCTTTCTTGTCTTGAATGTGCTCGAAGAGAGATTTGCCAGTCGTCCCTTGTTTTTTCTCGTTGTTGAAGAGACCAAAAAAAATAGATACTTAGGCAGCAGGGGAAGCGTGTTCGAAAATAAATAAAAAGGAGTGGTTCAAATGGCACCGAACGGCTTGAGCAAGAACAGTCGCATGTTGTTTATTTTGTGTCTTTGTATTAAAACAGAGGTACAGGGGGGCATTCATGGTAAAGAATAGAGGAACGAGGGTGCGATCAGCTCCCGAAGGAGGAACGAGACCTTGAACAATGTCAACACGAGAGATCATTAAGACCTCTCGCACTTGTAATCGTCTCTGTTAAAGGTGGTGACACCCGGGGGTGATATGACACAGATCGACGCATGCACTGCATTAGGGACTGTGCCTCGTCCTCGGGGTCGATAGTCGACATGTACAAAAGTACGGACATAGTTGGGGGTGCAAAGGTTGGACGTGTTTGATTCGTTGCAGTTCTTGTGTACACAAGTCTCGTAACACATCTGCTTGTAATCGCTGTCGGTGGCACTGGCGGCGGCGGCGAGGAAGAAGAGAGAAAGGACGACGGGGAGTTTCATGGTGGTTGTGGTGATAGTGAGTGTTGATGGTGGTAGTGTTGGTAGTTCTTGAATCTTGAAGAACTGGTTGATTGTTGCTATGCCACTGGCGCCAGTGATCCCTAATTGCCAAGTTCACCCAGAAAAGGTCCACTGACTCAATAGGGTCTCAGGTAGGTAACTGAATGTTTTCTCACGGTTTTTCTCATTCGCCCAATTCGGTTTCACCTCCGGGGGGTTTTTTTATCTTGTTTTATCGTGACAGTTGCCCTTGGCCATGAGGTACCCAATGCGATCCAGAGATTAAAAAAAAAAAAATAACAGGTAAATGGACGCCAGAGCTAGGGTTTCGTGGCTAGGCGAATTCAACGTCTCAGATTGGGACCAAGAGATAATAGAGCGAACGGAAATCAAATTCATGAACATTGTTACGAACAAGAAATTGGTACGGAAGCGAGTTTTATTATACAATGTTGAAACTGAAAAAGGATTTAGCTGAGTTAATAGTACCCGGGCTTGGTAGGGTGGAGAGGACCTCTGAGTAAGGTAACAAGTACCTCGATAATGACAAAGAAGCCAACCACAATAGGAAAAGAAACATAGCACTTCAAGACAGTGCAAGGTCCATGTGTATTTCCAAAGCCAATGCACGTAAAGGGATCAATCCTAACCGTAAAGTTATCATTCGACGACTTGTCGCTGGACAACTTGAGGCTCTCGATCAGGTGATGGACGGCGCGGACCATGACGCCGAGAAGAAAACCACCGGGGATCAGCATCAGGACAGCACGAACGATGCGGTTGCCGAAGCAGAAGAGGGCTTTTTTGACCCAGATGGAGTAGATGTAGGCAAAGAAGAGGATGGCTGAGCAGCCGATGATCCCGTAGTCTGCCCAGTTGTAGATGTATGGTTTCTTCCCGAAGATGGCTTGGCGTGTATTGGTTGTATTAGCGACGACCCAGCCGTAGTATGTGCCGACAGCCGCGAGATTGGCGAAACAGACGAGTGCCAGCAGGATCCTTAGTTTGAAGACAGCGGGGGCCATTGCTGATTGTGATATGTGAGAGAGTGTGAGGAAAGGAGAGTGAGGGACAGAAGTAGAAAGGGAGGGATGATTTGTATAAGAGACAGAGAGGGAAAACAGGCGAAGTATAAGTCAACGACTAAAGGAGATGGAGTGCAGAGAGGGGAAAAGTCGTTTTGGTCGAGGAAATTGGGATAATGGAGGGGGGGAGAGATTCGTCTTTTATATGCCCTCGATCGTTATCCCTCTCTCCATGTCATTACGATCCCTCCCGCTAAAGGAGTGAACAAAAAAGCAAAAAGGGGGCTTCTGGCACAGGAAATGAAAGGGGCGCTCACAACTTGGGCATGCATGGAAAGTCTAACGAGTAACGACCAAAAGGCTTTGAAACAAAGCCACAGCCCCTGACCTTTTTCCTTTCTTTTTTTTTTTTTTTTTTAGTGGACATTAGGGCACAGCGGCCCTGCTTAGTACCGAGGTGTCAAAAAAAGTATTTTTTCGGCGGCTATCCAAAGGGGTCCTTCCTTCTCTTGCCACTATCAACAAGTGTTTGACACACTCTCTGCCATTATGCACGGCACACACGTAATAATTTATTCATGCCTTGTTGAAATGCTTTTGCTTTGCTTTGACATAATCATCGGAGAAATTTGATTCCCCTGTTCTATGTTGCATTCGAGAATAGAGTTGGGAGATAAAGGCAGAAAGTAATTTGTGCATTTTAATGAAAGTGAGGATCGTTGATCGATAATGAAACGCTCTGAGAAGGATACAAACCCAGGGGCTGGCTGACCAAGTATGAAGGGGCAAGGCTATGTTTGGTGACAAATAAGCAAACAATGATCGTGAGGGCGCACCCTTGTGCACGCCTCTTTCTCCACCTACGTTTTTTTTCGCTTCCTCATTCACAGTCATTTACCTTGTGAGTGACCACCAAAAAAAAATTGAGCACAAGAGCCAGGGCTTTTTGTACAGGGTAGCTATTTTCCAGAACACGTCGCTGTGAAAGTGAGACTATTAAGCAACTGATCAGCGATTCATATGTGTTGGACCAAAAGTGTTCATGTACAGTGCATATGTGATTGTGTCAACTCGGGTCAAAGGGCATGGTGTAAATCAAAGTGTGCACGACGAAGGAACACTATTGTCATTTTGGGTCTCGTTGGTTGTGGAGGGCGTTGTGTTATTTGGGACCGAGACATGGGGGATGGAGTTGAGAGGAATCAGGATGAATGGAAATGTGATTTGGATGAGGACGAGGATGAGAATGAGAGTTGGAATGGGAATGGAAGAATAAAAAGAGCAATGAGGAAGAAGAAAACAAAGCGAACTGGACCTGTTTATGTCGTTGCGTTCGTTGTGCGTTACATAGGTCTTCTTGTTGTCAGAGTGATAACTTAATGCGACTGATGCGCTGAAGGAAAACAATCAAAACGAATCTGAATTGACCATGAAGAGAAGAGAACCAAGTGGTTGAGTGGAAAGTGAGAACTCTGGTATATTAACTGTTACAAAATGGAGCAAGAAGGTAGTTCACCGACCTGAAAGAATCTCAATAAGGAAAGAGGCAAGAATGACTGGCACAAAGAAATAGCCCTGCATGACAGCATGACAACGTAATGTCTCGTCATTTCGACACAGCCATTTTTTTTTATTCAAGAATGCAAATGGTTTAACCTATCGCGTGTTTTTTCCTGGTCGGGCATGCAAAATAGCAAACTGACAAATAGCCGCTTTTTGCCATTATCGTCTCGCCAATCTTGGCAGCTGTACAGTTGATGGCAAAGAATGTGTCTTCTCTATTATTTTCCTGCCATGGTCATTTCGTTGATAGATGTGATTTCGCAGAGAACTCTTAAAAAACGGGCTAGCAACGTAGTGTCCCATCTGCGCCTTCGTTTATTTCACGCGTCAACAGGGCATCTATGCCTGATTGCTCAAATGTGACGAACTGGAACAATTAACCTCGAGAGACAATGGAAACAATCGCCTCCCGCGACATGACATAGCAAAATGATAATCGTGACCGTGGGCAGCTGATACTTTCTTTGCATATATATTTCTTGAAGCCGAACGGCCAGGTTTATTGAAGGCACCCAGAGGTCGCTCATATGTGCAGAAGAAATGGTGCAAATGTATAAGGAAATGGTAGTAGATAAAGATTGACGAAAGGGATACCTGTCACCAAAGGCTATGCGAGTAAGAAATGCCCTAAGAAGAAGGGGACATGAGCAGGGTCTAATAGGTAACACCCTGAGATAGCTGGCAGTTGAAGTTGGCCCTGTTAAATGTGCGCTCAGCCAGAGGGGCCATCACACAGATAGACGCATGGACCGCATCATTAGCGTCGTTGCGAGGTCGGTAGTTGACATGGACGTATGTTCCGGCATAGGTAACCTCGCAAGGGGTGTTGACATTCGTGCCCTGGCAAGTCGTGTGAACACAGGTTTCGTAGCACATCTGCTTGTAGACGTTATCGGCAGCGTTGACAATAGCGGCGAGGAAGAGAAACGAGGAAATGAGGGAGAGCTTCATGGTGATGGTGGTGATGCTTGAGGTGGTGGTACTTGAGTCTTGAGGCGGGTTGCTTGTTGCTTGTTTTTGATAAAAATTTGATGATGGCGCCATCCTCCTTTTATATGTACTCGTCGAGAAAAACAGGGACCATGCTCTAACAGATGCTATGGTTGACATAGCAAACAAAAAAGGCGGGGTCTGGGTCTGTTCGAGTGATCCCTACGGCCAAGGTTGTCCAGACATGGCACCACCGACTCAACAAGCACCCAGGTCTGATGCTTTGTTTTGTATTTTCCATCCCTTGATCTTTCTTTATCCCTTCCACCGTTTTCACGCCCCCTGAATTTTTGTCGCGTATCTGTTCCTGCCATGAGTATTATTTCCTGGTTTTCTCCATCCTCCTTCTTGATATTTTGTATTTTTACCATTGCTTGCGTATCCCCGATATAGTTGCCCTTGATTTTTTGGTATTTTGCGCTTTCTTCATGAGCTCCCCTTGATCCCGGCAATTCATCTTTCCAATGGGTTTCCGGGAACTCGTCCCTTTGCCCCCTTTAGTTTTGAGTAACCCCTTCTTCGCCCTCTTCGTTTTGTCCGCCTTCTCATTGGCACCCCCATGTTTTTTGTCTGGCCCATGCTTAAAATTTTCCTCTTCCTCATTGGTTCTGTTTTCGACGCGGTCCTAGTTGTTGATGCTTTTTGTTGTCTCATTCCTCCCCTGATCACAGACATCATGATTACCTTCTCCTATCCCACAGCATTTGCAACACTCCCTTGCAGGAACAAAACAAGAACTCGAACCACGGAAGCCTTGCAACCACAATGACAACCACATCTTGTGAGCTATCCAAACACCTTTTTTTGGGACCTGGCAAAAAGGGAGTTAAAACGGGTAATCATGTTTTAGAAGGGTGGATGAAATACACAAGCGAAGGACGGGTTTGATGCATGCTACATGGTGTAAAGGAGGGGAAGATTCGCGAAAACCAAAGAGCTTCTCCAGGGGACAGCAAAAATATGATTACAGGTGTGAGCACATACTCCTTATTTTCTGTTCTCGACAACAGAAAATGACATCCAACGCTCAGCATGTTATCCATGTTTTATAATATTTTTGCGTGCATCTATCAAGTAAAAGAGAGCATAGAAGCTTTCCATTCTTATCAAGCGCAAACAGCTCCCAATGAACGGAGGGAGGAAGGAAAGGCAAGTTGATCAATCAGTCCCTTGAAAGGCGCACTTGGACAAGTACCTTACCTTTCGAACCAACCTGCACTGCACGAAAGCAAGGATGTTGCGTCCTTGTCTGCTCTTTTTTTTTTTTTTTTTTTTTTTTACGTGTTTGACATTGTGTGCTATCGTCTCCACAACTGCCCTGAAAAAAAGGAGGGAGAGTGTTAGGACGCATCTCTTGAAAAATCTACGAGCATGCATATCAACCCGTCCCCCTTGACTCATCAAGGTGCATCTTTTTGTCCCCTAATGCAAGAAATCCCCATTCCTGGACTGCACAAAGCTCTCAAGAAATGCCTCACAGTTACAACATCATCAGTCTTTATTTGCTTTTTTTTTCGTATGGGTGTGCTGAGGCAAGAAAAAAACCCCGGGGGGAGAGGGGAGCCTGACATTTTGAAAGTATGGTGTGGTGCGTGTTTTTTTTGTTGATCTAAGAGTTCAGAGTAAGGGGAGACAGAAAAAAGAACTGTTGCGGTGATGTGCCTTGCAAGCGTTGTTGTGGATGCCGAAAAGGGGAGGAAGAATTGAGAGGCACGTCGGCTCTTTGTTCGCAACGGAGATGTGTGGGGCTGTTTACATCAATATCTCGATCCGTGTCCATGTCGATAGGAAGATACCAAGATGGGACAAGACAAAAAAAAAAGGATTAGAGAGGGACAGGCAAACTAAGGGGTAGACAAAATATCAAAGGGATAGCGAAAACAAAAGATGGGATGGGTCCGTCAAAACCAAGGGGCGCAGAATGAGTTACCGGAATCAAGGGAAGTAAGAGATGAAGGACAAAACACCAAGGCGATGGTAACTTAGCCGGTGCTGAGTGAACAAAAAAAACAAAGTAAAAAAAGACAAACATCAGGGGGTGAGAGACAAAGAGAGCAAGCCAGGAATGAAAACAAATGGAAGAATGGAACAAAGATCAAGGGGTGAGAGTGAACTTACCGGCACGAAAAGGAAAGTAGGCAGTTGCCTGGGGCCTATTGAATAGGTGGAGCATTTCTGGGGAAACGCGACATCAAGGATCACTGGAGCGGACCCAGACCCCGCCTTTTTTGTTTGCTATGTCAACCATAGCATCTGTTAGAGCATGGTCCCTGTTCTTCTCGACGAGTACATATAAAAGGAGGATGGCGCCATCATCAAATTTTCATCAAAAACAAGCAACAAGCAACCCGCCTCAAGACTCAAGTACCACCACCTCAAGCATCACCACCATCACCATGAAGCTCTCCCTCATTTCCTCGTTTCTCTTCCTCGCCGCTATTGTCAACGCTGCCGATAACGACTACAGGCAGATGTGCTACAAGACCTGTGTTCACAAGCTCTGCCAGGGCACGAATGTCAACACCCTTTGTCTGCCCATCTTTCTGGGATCATACGTCCACATCGACTACCGACGAGATAGCAGAGTTCCTGACGCAGGCTATGCGTCCATCTGCAGTATGGCGCCTTTGGATGTAACCAATTATATCGAGAGTGACTACTACTGCGAGCTTTCTTAGAGCTTTATCGACACTGCTCATTGCTCAGGACCTCTTCCTCCTTTCCTTCTTGAAAGCGGTGGTTGTATTAGTTCCCATTCGCCCCCAAAGTGAAGAGCCACCCTCTTGTCTATCCTCATTATTTCATTATCTACATTTATTTTTAAGTACGTCTGTGTACTCCAATAAATTTGCTGCTCGGCGCAAAAAAAAAGGGGGAACAACTGTTTGAGTGGCGATCCATCAGTTACTTGGTGGGAAAACAGTTTGTGGCTCTCAGTCCAGTTGGCTCCTCTTTACGCATTTGCAATTTCCTCTCACATTCCGAGAATCAGGTACGGCCACCTTAATCAATTACTGATCAATGGCTTACTCCTCGCACTTTGACATGTCTCGAGAGAATAAATTAGCCTATATCGATTCTTGGCTCAAGGCTTCCTGTGCTTGTTTCTTTCTCCTAAAGCTCGCAGCAAACGCCTTGTGGAACATCTCCTTCCAGTTGTTGTAAGTTGATCGTATATGCTTTGTGCACGATATTTCCCCCCCACCTGTCATCTTTCGCCATCTGACACCACTCAATTCCATCACTTTTCAGCCCTGTCTCCTGTCCACCTCCTTTTTTTTAATCATTTATCTCATTTTCAGCCTTTCCTATCTTTGGTCTTCGCAGTCCCCAGCCCAGACATTTATACGCCATCTTCCATTGCCAGCAACGCAAATTATGAAAGCTACCCCGTGTTTTTCTTACATACGGTGTATGTCAAACCGAGAAATAACTTCGGAATTTTTTTAAAGGAGAGGGAGACGAGAAAGCATGGACATGCAGATCAAAGAGCCCTTCTGGTGTTAGCTCATCAAAATGATGCTTTTGATCCCTTAAACACACTCTGCACCTACTAGACCGTCCCTGGTTCCCCAAAAATTCCCTTCTGGTGCCCGTCATTGATCATTCTTTCAGGACTAGCAGTATTTGGACAGAGGTTTAGTGTACCAGATTCCCGGAAACAAAGACGAGGAATATAAAAGCGCAAAGGGAAGGAGATGGAATGAGTGAAGTCAGGATGGAGATGAATGTGTGATGATCACAACAGGTGTGTAGGCACATGGCTTTTAAACTGCGATAAAATAAAGAAATTATGATTTATTACAAGTGGAACAGAAAAAGGACGTCGCCAGGCTAGTGCTCGGGCTTGGAGGGGTAGAGAAGACCCATGAGGAGGGTAACTAGGACTTCAATGATGACAAAGACACCAGTAATAAAAGGCGCAAAGTTATAACTCTGCACAAGAAAACAAAGTCCAATTCCCGACCCTTCATATCCATAGAAATCACACGTGAAGGGGTTGTACGAGATGCCCTGGTTCTTTTGCAAGTATTCGTTGTAAAAATCGGCCATTGTGATCTGGAGATGAACCAAGTAACTCGAACAGCCGATAAGGGCCAGCGCGGGGATCAACATCAAAAGGGCGCGGATGTACTTGTTGCCGGCGAGAGGTTTCTTGTCCCAGATGGAGTAGAGGCACGATAAAAAGAGGAGGATCGAGGAGATAAGGATTCCATAGTCTGCCCCCCTACTCCCAAGGCCACCGCTCATGCCGTAGTAGGTGTTAACGACGGCGAAATTGAAAAGGCAAACGAATGCAAGCCAGATCCTCAGGACCAAGATAGCGCGGGGCATCGTTATTGTTATGTTTTGTGAGGAGGGAAAAGTCAGAGGAGAGGGCGCGTAAGAAATGGGTAGTGCCGTGGGGTAATAGAAGAAAGAAAACAATAGAGAGTAAGAAAACGATGTAGGGGAAGGATTGGTGCGATTACGATTCGAAAAGTGAGAGGGAGAGAAGGAGGTGCGTTGTGACAGGAGGAATAATAAAGGTGGAATGAGAAGGCGACGGGATGCGTAACCACTCTTTGTATCCTTAGTGCAAATCTGTGGACACGGCTAGCGCCCCCAACTGTTTATCGTTAAGCGCCAGGATAGAAAACTTAGGCATGAGCCACAATAGAAATCAGAGGACCAAAATCTGTGGAAATGAGGAAATGATCCAGACGTACACGTCCTTCACATTTTGTTTTTTTCTACTTTTTATCGCTCCACGAAGAAACACTGCCCTGTTTCAAGACGATTTTTTTTGATTTCTATCATGCAAAATGCTCCTTTTTTTGTTTGCCAGAATGTACAACCAATCTTGGGCCGTGAATACTTTCGTCCAATCATCCTTTCCCTGGTATCGATAGCAAAGCAGTGCAAACGCAGGTTCTAGTAGCTTATTTTAGATCATACCTTGGTAACAACATGCTTCTTTTCTGTTGTTGTCTACTTCTTCAGAGGCACTTTTTGTCTCCCTACTAGGCGCTATTCGAGGACAGATATGAGCAACAGAGCATGGCAAATCGACGTGTTTTATGTTGCACATCAAAAAGAAGATCTTCAACTGATTGATGGTATATGGCCGAGACCAATATACTCCAAGGTTTTGTTTGGTTGATCAATAGCGAAGGCAGATCCCCAGGTTCAACAAACCTAAAAAAAAAAAAGGGTTGGCAACTGTGGCCTGTGCTTGGAACAACAGCAATGGAAGACAGGCGGCGAATCATAAAAACGTAAGTTGTGAGACCACTTCCATATCTTTCAACTCCGTCGTCTCTTTCATACGTTCACTCTCGCTACAAGTCTGCCCAATGGCAGATGTTCAACAGTACAGCGTAAAAATGGGCAATAGAAGAAAATCTGGCACCATGTTCTATTTATACATACTCGTCAAGAATAGCACCAGTCATGCGTCGAACGGAACCTCTTGCAGAAATAGAAGTAAATAATGAAAGGCTAGCTTCCAGTTGATCCTACGACTTTCTAAGCGGTGATCTGCAGAAGCGACCAGGGTCCAGGCAACTGTCTGTTTCTCATGGTTGTTGGGTTGCTCTCCTTTATCCCGAATCTTTTTTTCCATTCTTTCGGATGTTGAGGCTCCTCGGGCTATGTCTTCAAATAGCACCCCCGTTGTTGGCGTGGACAGTCTCAGCCTGTTTTTTAAGGCCAACGTGCCGCCTTCTATGTTTTCTCAACTTCGCCATCCACAACGACTCTGTCACGAAAATAATAAACACCACCGCAACACTTTTTTGAACGTAGCATCTTGCAACAAACAATAATTGCATGCCGCACTTTGAGTCAAATTTATTTAGCTTCCCTATTGAGAAACTTCATCTTCCGCTTCCGGCTACCAGAAGCGACGTCAATCTGTGCAAGACGTTGTAGACTTCGATCATCCTGGGCTACCCAAACCCTCACATTGTCGGTTGGGTAACACAATACAACGTCAAGGGTATGCGTGGAAGAAGTTCGCATATGCCGCCTCTCCAAGTGCAAAGGATATAAAAAAGGATATAAAAAATATCCATAGCCCAAGGAAAGCATTGTAGACTTCCATAGCTGATATATCTCTCCAAAGTCCCCAAGAGAACTTAAGGTGAGATAGCAACAGACAGCACAAGGTTTTATGTAATCCCTCCCTGTATTTCACAGCAAAGATACAGTTGAGAGTACAAGTGCCTTATATGATAACGTACAAGAACACTCCTCTGAATCTTGCAGTGAGGAGTACAGTTTAATAGTAAATGGACACATTCAAGAAATTGGTGTGCGAAAAATAAGAAGACTTTGTTGTTTTGAGAATGTCATGGTGTTTAGTAGGATAATCACGCAAGTAACAGTGGCTATTTTACATGGTTGATATCATACACAGTTCTCTAATGGTAGCGGTGGATATCAGCAAGATCTGCAGAGATGTAACAAACACCACATGATAACTTGGAGTTGAAGGGTCTTCCAAGATGTGATCATGGTCTCGGTCTTGTCGATGGCAGTATCCCACTCAGCCTTCTCGAAAATGCCCTCGATAGCTGTCCGAATCTGCCGGTGAACCGCTTCTGTAACATCTCGACTGCAGCGGGAGGGATAAGAGAGTCCATCAATGTTTTCGACTCGTCATCCGGTAGCTGCTCCTTGGGGTGGTCGATATACGTTTTGTACCGAATCGGCACCCGTCCATCCTAGAAACTTGTTATATGGGAAGATGTTTGAGACATACTCTTTGATGCCGTCGCCGCCGCTCATAGCCCAATGGGGAGTTCTCATGCTCAATCCTCCCTCAGCTCTTCGAAAAACGTTAAGCACGGGGGACAACCTGGAAGTCTCAAAAATAACAAGTAAAATTTGTTATCCATCGCTTACACTCACAAAGTTGTGGCCGAGCAACTAATGATGTCGTTGGTTCGGTTTAAGGTTGACCAGAATTCCTCTTTTATTGTTGCTCTATATGGTCTCTCTTGTTTTATTTTTAGGTGCAACAGGGCGTAAAAAAAGAAAGGGGTCCTTGTGTTGCCAGACGCAAACACACGAATCCCCCCCCCCTCCACAAAAACATACACACAAAAACAAGCAAGCAAACGCAGGAGAGGGCGAGAAAGGACGTTTTTATTGTTCGATCAAAAAATGATGACGGACCCACCATCGCTATCATCATCATCCCGATCCTCATAATAATACTTCTCCTCTTTCTTCTCCTCCTTCACCACCAACGTCACCACAGCCTCCACCAACGCAAACAGACCAGTTATGATCGCAACAAACAAGTTGGCATTCGAGACATAACACATATCCCCTCCTCCTTGACACGAAAACGGACCCAACTTGGAAACATCCCCACCCTCATCGGGGGTGTTGTTATCCTTGATCTGGTCGACCATAAAGATAACCTGGACGACGATGAGGGCGATGGCGAGGGCGGACATAAGGACGACACGGAAGATCCGGTTGAGTTTGTAGAGGTTACAGCAGAGCGAGTAGAGGTAACCAAAGAAGAGGAAGGTTGCTAACGCGATCTCGAGGTAATGGATGGGTTCAAGGGGGAACATGCCGTTTCCGGAGGATGCTTTGCGGCCGAGGAGGTTGGAGATAAAAATGTAGGTTGCGATGGTAAGGCCGAGGTTGACGGTTGTGAGGAAGAGCACGAATGCTCGTACCTTGCGCACTATGGAGAGGGCCATTGTAGTGAGATTGGCGCTTGTAGTGATATGAGAAGAAGCCGAGAAGGGTAGAAGCTGGAGGGAGATAAAGGACAGGAGGGAATAAATAGTGGATGGAGGGTCGTTTTGAACAAAAGGGTGCACCAATGAAAAAGAGAAGAAAAGGGGTTAAAAAGGAGTCGTGTGAGTGCGCCCACCTTTATTTTAAAGTGTGTGTGAAAAGGGCGTGGTGTGACTGAGAGTCAATGCAACGCCACTCGCACCCTTGCTCAGTGCCCTCTTATGCCATCCGGATTTTGTTCCTTTCTCCTTTCCATCCCCTTTGCCACTCACAAGGCATTTACGCATGCAGAAGCTCACCGACAATTCCCTCAAGTCCAAAACGGCGCTGCTCAGCACCGCGCCCTCATTTTCCTTCATAAACAAGCCAATTGCATGGATTACCACGCTTTGATTGATAGGCAAGCGGATGGCCCTTGTTCAAAAGTCGACAACTAGCGATGTGCAGTATGTGTATGTTGTCCGTTTTTATGCTCAGCCTGGTTTCTGCTCTCAACTCTATCCTCCACCTCCTTTTCCTATTTCCCTTTATTTCTGTGCACAATGATAATGCTTAATTTTTACTTTCTTATTTCTCGGATGGAATGTTCTTTCTGTTCGTCGTCATTAAAAAAAGAGGAGGGAGTGTGAGCCATTGCTTCTTATTATCTTTGCGAGTGTTATCCGGGTTAATATCTGATCGAAAAGGGTGAACGTCCTTCACCCCTTCCCCAGAATTGGTGTAATATGATCCTGTGAGTGGAGGGTCACAGTAAAGCGAAATGGCGGATGTGCCTTCCCTTCGCTCAATAGGCCACGTCCTGACATTTCATCATCGCCATGGAGTTTGGAAGATGAATCCAAAGGGAAAGAAAGAATTGGGCTGTTGCATGCGCCCTTTCTTTTTTTTAGGGGTACAGTACAGAGGCAACTATTGCAATTCACTACCTCCAGTATTATTTCATTTCTCAATCATAATCATGATGGCCCCAACGTTGTTGTTGAAAGAGGCTGAACAAAGAGGGACGATAGGTTTATTGTACAGGGGTTAGTTGGTGTTGCTGGTGTAAGGGGTATGGTGTGTGTATGTGTATGTGTGATAGTGGTATTGGAGTTGGTTCCCGGAGGATGGGCATGCAGACAGTGGTTGGCGGAGAAGTAAATAAAAAGAGAAAAGAAAGAAAAATAAATATAAAAAAAAATTGTGTTTGTGAGCCCACTCTCACCATCTTCCCCCATTCATCATCCTCTCTCCTCCACTTTCCCAACGGACAGGGTAGGGCGACTTCAGGACGACTCTCGGTATTCGTTTAGTGGTACTCCTGTTTGGCCTCGAGGGGCTTGAAAGATAAAGTCCAAAAGACCTCAACGACCGAGAAGACTCCAGTGAGCAGCGCAATAATGATATTCGCCAGGATCAGGTTGCAAGAGGTCGTCTCGGTACCGACACAAGTAAAAGGCTTGTAGACCAACGACGAGCCCGAGGCAATAAAGATCGACGCAAACTTGATCTGTTCGTCAATATACTTAGCCGCAACTGTGATCAACAGCACGGCTAGGGCAAGGACATAGAATCCACGGATGAATCGGTTGATGAGACGCATGCCACGGAGAGAGTAGCCGTAGGAGAAGAAGATGAGAACAGTGGAGACGATGAGGACATAGTCGGTCCAGAAGAGGCGGAGTGTGTGGGTGTCTCCTGGGGTCATCGAGTCGTAGGGGTCGTTGGCTCTAGCGACTAGGGAGGCCAAGAAAGAATAGTCGGCGATCATCATGACCAGGTTGAGGGTCACCAGGAACATCAACCAGAGCCTGTACCGGTGGTGCGCGATTGCCGACATTATTTGTCTGTGTGGTTTGTTTGTCGGTGTTTGTGGGAGCAGGGAGTGAGGTGAGGGTGGTGGGAGAAAATGGCGAGTTGTTGTGTGGAGGAGGATGGGAGTTGAGTGAGGAGGGAAGAAAAGACGTTGACAGGTGAAAAGGAAGAAGATGAGAAGTAGGGTGAAGGAAGGAAGGAAGGAGTTGACGACAGAAGTGAAAGAAGGGAAAAGGAAGAGCGAGAAATAAAAGAATGGCAAGTACAATTGACAGACAACCGAGAAAGAGAGAAAGTGAGGCGGGGTTTGGTTGGGTTGGGCTGTCCTGTTGACAGAGCAGACAGACAAACACCTACCCGGCTCTCAACTCAACATTGATGGGGGAGCACCGGTGAGTGTAAGTAGGCAAGTAGGCAAGTAAAATAACTTAAAATTTTGGCTCTGTCCACTGATGGTGAACAGGTTAAAAAGGTCGTCAGGATGTGAAAAGGAGGGAATGGAACTCTGCCTCGGTAACCAACCAAACATTTCCCTTCAGCCAACTCCATACCTTCAAGGGGATGAGTGAAGGCACATGTAGATCTACCTGGGCTCCAATAGTGAAGTGATCCAATAGGTAATACCGACAGGGTTTTTGTTGGCACAATGACAACGTCAGAGTCAGGTTGTCCCCTTTGAATTGCCACTGGGCTGTTGCTGTTTGTTGACGAACACAAGGTTGAGGCTGTATTCCCCTCGCCTCCAACGATGATTGAGCATACCTATCTCGCGACTGTGTAGTAAACAACCAAGGCTCGAGGAAAGAGGAAGAGGAGGAAGCAAACAAAACAAGCAAAGACAAACACGTAAATTCACTAGGGTTGTGTCGACTTTATGTTGCCTATCACACTGCCGTAGAGACAACAAACAGCTTTATCTCAATTGCGCAGTTGTAAGGCATATTGTTAAACATCACGTCCCTTCTCGACAACATTCATCGCCACTTGAATCATGCACTGACCTTCATCCCTCACCTCATTTGTCTGCCTTAAACTACCATGCCACTATCCCTTTCCTTCGTACATCGTCTCTTCTACTTGATGCCCTCTGATATATAAAACCCCAACGCTCCTGTTAGAAAGAAGAAAAAACTCACGTCTCCTTATCCCGTTCGTCTTGTCCCTTCTACTTTCCTTCCTTCCTTCCTCCCTCCGCTTCGGTAACTGCCACTTCATTTTTTTCCATTATATGCACACATCCCCTCGCTTTCTCAACACTAACCCTCTATGCATTATGAACTCCTCCTCCTTTTCTCTCCACATGTCTTCTTCCTTTCCAGTATGACTGCCATGATGGTCACCGGCGCCGATCACTACTACACCACCGACCCGAAGGACATATCGGCGTCCGGATATCGCTTCGAAGGTATCACTGGATACCTCTACCCAGACAAATTTGCCCACACGATCGCCCTCCACCATTGGTTTAACCCAACCCTCGGCGACAATTTCTACACCGTCAATGAGCCACACCCACCCACTTCCGGAGACGGATATAATTACAAGGGCATTGTCGGCTATATCTACCAGAAAGCAACTCGAGGGACTGCTCCGCTGTTGCGGTGGTACCACAGGACTGGCGACCACTTCTATACAACAAACTCACAAGGTGAAATTGCGCCCAGGCTTGGTTATGTTTTTGAGGGTGTGGAAGGGTATTTGTTTCCTGAACCCGTTGATGGCACCATTCCTCTCTTCCGTTGGTTGAAAGGATAAATATTTTAGCTTTTTTCTTCTCGTGCCTTGCGTTCCTCATACCACGTCTGAGAATAAATGACCCTTTGAACTTCCCTGACTTTTTCTATTTCTATTGAGCACCCTAAGTCACGCCTTTCTGACTACCGAGCACATTGCCGCCAGATTTCACATCTCAAGGTTTGTTGGACATCTCGTGCTCAATTATCGCACGCTTGCAAAGCAAACACACCTCAACTGTCTCGCCTTTTCTCTATTCCTACCTCTTGCCTAGCAACTTCCCGACTCTATGCTCCTTTTCCTTCCTAAGCCCCGATGCTAGACGTCATCCACACTTGTGCTTTCCATACATCCTTTCCTTTTCTTTCCATGACCCTCAATTCCTCTCTCTCGTCTACCTTCTGACGCACATCCTTACTGTCCTTGCATTTAAAATTCACAGCTTGGTCTCCTTTCTCTTTTCTTCTTTACCTTTTTTCTCATTGCTTTCCTTCCTTACTTTTCTTTGTGTTGGTTACTATCGATCCCTGTACAGGTGTACATTAGCTCCATTCTCATCTTCTACCACGTTGTACCCATGCAAACACATCATTCGTCTGCCTCCTTCTTACTTTTTCTCGAACCCATATCTATTTTTATTCAGGCATCATCTGCCACAATGCTTTCCAACACTGACCACTACTAGACCACCAACCCAAACGACATATCGGCGTCCGGTTACCGCTTCGAAGGCATCTTCGGATACTTCTTTCTTCCCAAATCCGAGTCCGACCACAAAGTCACTTACCACCATTGGGCCATCCCGCACACCAACATCATCAACAGCGTCTACACTTTAAGTTTAAGCGCACACAGTGCAGACCCTGAAAGAGGGCACGAAAAAGAGTTTTGGTTAATTTGAGCACAAACAACAAGAGGCTACAATTGACATCAATGCCTCTTGCAAACAGCAGAAGCAGAAGTGATATTCCATTTGCTGACCTCAACTTGCACGGTGAGGGTGAAAGTTGCAAATGCGGATAAGGCTGAGGGTGAATGTGACATTGAATGGGAAGAAGAAGAGATCGGTGAGTGAAAACGTTGAAGAGAGAAAAGGGATAGGAGTAGTGGAAGAACTCAGAACGTAACAACGTACAGGTTACTCTCTCCGACATCCTTATGATGATATTTTCTCCTATTCCTTCCACAAGTTTGCTTTAAAAAGTGTTAGCGGAGGAATGTAATGAGTATGAGACCGGTAAGCAACGGCTGATCATTCTCAATGGAGAGTAATTGAAAAGTTTGATATTATTTTTGTTTGTCAATGCAGCAACAGTACGCCGTTCAAAGGGCGGCAGCAGCACGCTCCTTAGCCTCCTTCACCTCTTCCCCGTGTGCTTTGAAGGCCTCTGAGGAATGACATCCATTGTGCCACGCTTTGGCGCCAGAGGTAAAAAGTTAGCCTGGGGGCGGTAGGCAGAATCCTTAACTAACTGTTTGCGCTGGAACGACTTGGGGAGCCAGTTGAACACAAGTTGTCTGAGAACTCGCTCAGAAAAAGTCTATCCAGTTTAAAGAAAAGCATATATGCATTATCGATCAATGCGCCTTACTCACCAAACAGCATATGAATCCATTCTTCCAACTTACATGTCCGTAGATTAGTTTGGCGCTTATGTAGGACTGTGGGTATTGATCCTTAATTGCATAGAATCGTTCATTCCTGTAGTCACTTAGCGCGGTCTCGATGATCTTGAAGTTGGTGGGCCTAATGTCATAAAGACGGTTGGCGAGGAGAACAGCACCTTGCATGGCGTTCACCGCGCCAGCGCCACTGCTTGGAAGAAGCTACACAAGGACAAAGAGGGAGGATATTAAAAATTGCTGCAGCGATACAATTAAATCTGACCAACTTCCGCATCGAAGAGTAGTTCTTTTACCACATGGGCAGCTATGGAAGTAGGGGAAGTAATCAATTGACCATGTGTTACTTTGGAGTAGAACATCAAAAAATCAAAGCAAGAGGTGCAAGGGAAATGAAAAAGGGGACGTACCATCGCCGATAAGAACGGTTCGTCCGTGCGTCCAGGTCTCGAAGAGTTTGTCCTCGAAATAGACCTTGGAGACCTTATCAATGTCGGTCGCATCAAATAAGTCCCCATGTTGCCATAGGGGGTCTTGAAGTGACGGATCTCATCCAACATCTTCTTGTTGTCTTGATTAGTCCAGTCCGACGACGCTGCTTGCTCATCCGCGGTGGATGAAAGTCCTAGCTGAATGACAATGTTCCAGCAGATTCTGTTGCCAGGGGTGGTGAAGGTCACCCACTACCAAAAAGAGGCGTGACAGGTAAGTCAGAAAAATCCCTCGCAGCATTTCTTTGCAAGGCACTCTATGAGTCACGAACATTACCGGCGTGGCTTACAGTGTAGGGCGTGTCTTTATCTCCGAACATAAAGTAACTCTCGGATTCCTTCTCCAAGACACCAGGGTATTTGACGGGGTCGAGGGCGCCGGTCGTTCCTACGAGGGATGTATAACCCTTGCTCATAGCCTTGGTATCAGACTTGGGGAGAAGGCCCTCTTTCTCCAGGGTATTGTACAAGTGCCGACGAACCGCACTGTGGGCCCATCGGCTCCGACAAGGATATCACCGCGGGCGGTGGTGTTATCGTCAAAGGTCACAGTAACGCTATCCTGATCTTAGTCAAGTGTAACGATCTTCTTGGACATGTGGAGCTTTTCCTTGGGAATCTTCTTGAACAGCATGTCATGCAGCTCGGGACGAGCAAAGAGGACGTGATCTTATCCAATGCTAAAGAGAAAGAGCATGCAACATATTAGTAGGAAAGTATGAGTAAATGGGCGTATTTCCTTTGAAGAGAGAAATAGAAGAGAGTGAAACTTACATATCGGTGTCCGAGGCGACAGATTTGCCAATGAGTTTCAACTTATCGGTCAACGTTACTCCACTAACCGATGGCTTGGAGATCGACGAAAGTTCGTCCAACAAGCCGAGCTGCTCGAATGCTGGGAGGATGTTTGGTGACTATACAAAAAGTGGGATGAATGAGAATCTATGTCAGTTGAAAAGGAGTGGTTGCTCCGGTTGCATACAGTCATAAAAAGCACATGATTCCTTTTGTTACCAGACACATAATGGCGCCTATGGCCCACGGCAAGAGAAAGAGCGCAAAATTAATATGGTTAGTTGCTGTCGTATATAAATGATCGTGCAAATCCTTCGCATGTAGTTGCTCTCTAATCCATATAACTCACCAAGTTGCCTGGGTTCAGCAGAACGTTCGAAGATCTCATAGGGGATCCCAGCCCTCTCTAGAAGAATGCCGAGGAAAAGGCCAGCCAGACCAGCACCACCAATCAAGACGTGGGGTGGTTTATTGGCTGTGACAGGAGGCACGATGCTGCTGGTCGAGGGGGTGGGTTGAATGGTCTCAGAGGGTGCGCTCATTGTATGATCCGAGGTGGGTGCAAGAGGGAGTAAAGAAAGAAGAAGAGAAAGAAAGTGAATGAATGGAAGAGGATGGAGAGATGATGAGGCAGCGAGATGACGAGATGAGGCAACTTACGAACGGCGCATGCTCTCATCTCTTTTGTTTTCCTCTTTGTCCTTTTACTTTTTCCCTTCTTCCTTTCCTTTCTTCCCACTTGCCTCGATGTATTTTCTGAAAGTTACACAGCATTGCATTTTTTCTTTTGGAAGCTGTGGTTGGATGGTTGGATGAAATATACAGTTGGTAAAGGAGCCTAACTTTGTATACAAAGTGCGATCCAACATATCGAAAGATGGTGGTTGGATCGGGTTTTAAGCAAGAAGGGTGCCTTCAATGGGGTTGCAACGCTTGCATGTCAATGGTCAACGGCCATGCACAAACATGATTTGCTATCCTGGTGAATCATTCGAGACTGTCAAGATCCAGCACATCAATGGGAGAGGCGTCTTCTTGCTGCCAACTAGACGATAATAGCGCACGTGATCAAATGCAATTGTGCCTCCGGGTTGGTACCTCAAAAGAATAAAAAAGTTTATTATGAACGTCATGCGCTCTCCTACAGAGCAGTTGCAGCTGTCTCTTTCTTCGCTGCCTCCTCTTTCTCCTTCTCAATGCGCTTCGAAGGCCTCTGAGGAATGACATCCATTGTGCCACGCTTTGGCGCCAGAGGTAAAAAGTTAGCCTGAGGACGGTAAGCAGTATCCTTGATCAATTGCTTGCCCTGGAGTGACTTGGGGAGCCAGCTGAAAACAACGTGTCTGAAAACTCGCTCAAAAAATGTCTATCCAGTTGAAAGAATAACATCGGCGTTAGCGATCAATGCGCCTTGCTCTCATTTTTCAACAATCAGTATATGAATCCTTTCCCCCAATTTACATGTCCGAAGATTAGATTGGCGCTCATGTGCGACTGTGGGTATTGATCCTTGATTGCATCGAATCGATCGTTCTTGTAGTCACTCAGCGCGGTCTTGATGATCTTGAAGTTGGTGGGGCTAATGTCATAGAGATGGTTGGCGAGGAGAACAGCATCTTGCATAGCGTTCGCCGCGCCGGAACCGCTGCTTGGAAGGAGCTAGAAGAGGATAAAAGGGGGATGATATTAAGAATTGTTCAAGCGATGCCATTGATGAACCTGACCAACTTCGTATTGAATAGTAGTTCTCTTACAATGTGGGCAGCTAAGGAGTGAAATCAAATAAGGGAAGTAATCAAATGACTATGTGTTATTATGAGGTGGTACATCGATTGCATCAAAACAAGAGGTGCAAGGAGAAGGGAAAGTGGGACGTACCATCACCGATAAGAACAGTTCGTTCATGCGTCCAGGTTTCGAAGAGTTTGTCTTCGAAATAGACCCTGGAGACCTTCTCAATATCGGACACATCAAACAGGTCTCCCATGGTGCCATAGGGGGTCTTGAAGTCACGAAACTCGTCCATCATCTTCTTGTTGTCTTGATTAGTCCAGCCTGACGACGATGCGTGTTCATCCGCGGTGGATGAAAGTCCAAGCTGAACGATAACATTCCAGCAGATTCTGTTGCCAGGGATGGTGAAGGTCAACCACTACGAAAAATAGATGTGACAGGTACGTCAGGAAATTTCTTCACCACATTTTTCTCCAACACACTCCAAGAGTCACGAACACTACCAGCGTAGCTTACAGTATAGGGCGTGTCTTTGTCTCCGAACATAAAGTAACTCTCGGATTCCTTCTCCAATACACCAGGGTACTTGGCAGGGTCGAGGGAGCTAGTCGTCCCTAGGAGGCAAATGTAACCTTTGCTCGTATCCTTGGTATCAGACTTGGGGAGAAGGCCGTCCTTCTCCAGGGTCTTGTACAATTGCTGACGAACGGAACTATGAGCCCCGTCAGCGCCGACAAGGATATCACCGCGGGCAGTGGTGTTGTCGTCAAAGGTCACGGTAACGCCATCTTGATCTTGGTCAAGTGTAACGATCTTCTTGGACATGTGGAGCTTTTCCTTGGGAATCTTCTTGAACAACATGGCGTGCAACTCAGGACGGGAGAAGAGGACGCGATCATACCCAATCCTAAAGAAAGGGAGCGGTCAACATATTGATAGGAAAGTGTGAGTAAATGAGCGCGTCTCTTTTGAGGAGTGAGATAGAAAAATGTGAGACTTACTCGTCATAGCAATCGGCGACAGCTTTGCCAATGAGCTTCAACTTATCGGTCAACATTACTCCGGTAATCGTGGGCTTGGAGATCGACAATAGCTCGTCCAACAAGCCGAGCTGCTCGAATGCTGGGAGGATGTTTGGTGTCTATACGGAAAAGTTGGATGAATGAGAATCTATGTCAGTTGAAAAGGAATGGGTGCTCCTGTTGCATATAGTTAAGAAATGCTCACGATTATTTTTGTTACCAGACACATAACGGCACCTAATACCCATGGCAAGAGAAAGAGCGTAAGATGAATGGTTAGTTACGTATCGTATATAAATGAGCATGCGAATCCTTTACATGTAGTTGCTCTCTAATCCATATGACTCACCAAGTGACCTGGGTTCAGCAGAACGCTCGAAGATTTCATATGGGATCCCAGCTCTCTCTAGAAGAATGCCGAGGAAAAGGCCAGCCAGACCAGCACCACCAATCAAGACGTGAGGTGGTTTATTGGCTGTGACAGGAGGCACGGCGCTGCTGATCGAGGGGGTGGGTTGAATGGTCTCAGAGGGTGCGCTCATTGTATGATCCGAGGTGGGTGCAAGAGGGAGTAAAGAAAGAAGAAGAGAAAGAAAGTGAAGGAATGGAAGAGAGGAATTAAAAGGAGTAGGAGATGGTGAGGCAGCGAGATGATGGCGCGGACCGAGATGAGGCGAACTCCCGAATGGCGCATGCTCTCATCTCTTTTTCTTTAGTCCATTTCCTTATACTTTTTTCTACCTTTCCTTCCTTCCCGTATGCCTCGTTGTATTTTCTGAAAGTTACACAGCATTGCATTATTTTCTTTTGGAAGGTATGCAAGAAATATACAATTGACCAAAGGAGCCTGTTTTGTGCACAAAGAGCTATTCAACATATCGCCTGCATTGTACCCTTGTACTCATATACGAAAGATGGTGCGTTGGATCGGGTCTTAAGCAAGAAGGATGCATTCAATGGGGTTGCAACGCTTGCATGTCAATGGTCAACGGCCATGCACAAACATGATTTGCTATCCTGGTGAATCATTCAATGGGAGAGGCGTCTTCTCGCAGCCAACTGGATGAATATAAATGCGCACGTGATCAAAAGCAATTGGGCCTCCGGGTTGGTACCTCAAAGGTATAAAAAAGTTTATTATGAACATAATACGCTCTCCTACAGAGCAGTTGCAAATGCCTCGTTCTTCGCTGCCTCCTCTTTCTTCTTCTCAATGCGCTTCGATGGCCTATGAGGAATGACATCCATTGTGCCGCGCTTTGGCGCCAGAGGTTAAAAGGTAGCCTGAGGGCGGTAGGCAGTATCCTTAACCAATTGCTTGCGCTGGAGCGATTCAGGGAGCCAATTGAACACGACATATCTGAGAACTCGCTCCCAGAGTGTCTATTCGATGGAACCAAAGCACTGGCGGTTAGCAAAATGTCTTCTCTTGCCATCTATAACTCACTCCTTTTGGCATCGGCACATGAAAGACCTACATGACCGTAGATGAGTTTGGCACTCATATGCGATTGAGGATACTGGTCCTTGATGGCATCGAATCTTTCATTCTTGTAGTCACTCAGCACGGTCTTGGTGTTCTTCAAGTTGGTGGGATTGATGTCATAGAGATGGTTGGCGAGGAGAACAGGATCTTGCATGGCGTTTACTGCACCTGCACCGCCACTCGGAGGAGCTAGAGATGGACAAATGAGGGAAGATATTAAAAGCTATTGGAGCAATGCGATTGATGAACCTGATAAATCTTCATGACGAAGGGTAGTTCTCTTACCATGTGGGCAGCTAAAGAGTAATTCAAGTAGGGGAGTAATCAATTGACCATGTGCTATTATGAGGTGGTACATCGATTGCATCAAAACGAGAGGTGCAAGGGGAAGGGAAAGTGGGACGTACCATCACCGATAAGAACGGTTCATCCATTCGTCCAGGTCTCGAAGAGTTTGTCTTCGAAATAGACCTTGGAGACCTTCTCAATGTCGGACACATCAAACAGGTCTCCCATGTTACCATAGGGGGTCTTGAAGTCACGAAACTCGTCCACCATCCCCTTGTTCTCTTGATTAGTCCAGCCCGACGACGCTGCGTATTCATCTGCTGTCGACGAAAGCCCAAACTGAATGATGGTGCTCCAGCAGATTTTGTTGCCAGGGATGGTGAAGGTCAACCATTTCCAAAAAGAAACGCGACAGGTTTGTCAGAAAAAACCCTCACAGCGTTTCTTGTAAGGCGATCTAACCTTTGTTCGTATCCTTGGTATCAGACTTGGGGAGAAGGCCGTCCTTCTTCAGGGTCTTGTGCAAGTGTTGGCGAACGGTACTGTGGGCCTCGTCGGTTCCGACAAGGATGTCGCCGTGGGCAGTGGTGTTGTCGTCAAAGGTCATAGTAACGCCATCCTGATCTTGGTCAAGTGTAACCATCTTATTTGACATATGGAGCTTTTCCTTGGGAATCTTCTTGAATAGCATGTCGTGCAGCTCGGGACGGGAGAAGATGACGCGGTCATACCCAATCCTAAAGATAAGGAGCGTTCAACATATTGATAGGAAAGTGTGAGTAAATGAGTGTGTCTCTTTTGAGGAGTGAAATAGAAGGGAGTGAAACTTACAGATCAGGACAATTGGCAACACCTTTGCCAATGTGTCAACTTATCGGTTAACATTACTCCGGTAATCGTGGGCTTGGAGAACGATGAAAGTTCATCCAACAAGTGGAGCTGATCGAATGCCGGGAGGATGTTCGGTGACTATACGAAAATGCCAAATGAATGAGGAACTATGTCAATTGAAAAGCAATGGGTACTCTTGTTGCATACAATCATAAAAAGCACATGATTCCTTTTGTTACCAGACACATAATGGCGCCAGACCCACGGCAAAAGAAAGAGCGCAAAGTTAATTTGGTTAGTTACATGTCGTATGTACATGAGCGTGCGAATCCTTCACATGCAGTTGCTGTCTAATCCATATAGCTCACCAAGTTGCCTGGGTTCAGCAGAACGTTCGAAGATCTCATAGGGGATCCCAGCTCTCTCTAGAAGGATGCCGAGGAAAAGGCCAGCCAGACCAGCACCACCAATTAGGACGTGAGGCGGTTTATTGGGTGTGACAGGAGGCACGGCGCTGCTGCTAGAAGGGGTGGGTGGAACGGTCTCGGAGGGTGCGCTCATTGTTGTATGATACGAAGTGGGTGCAAGAGGGAGTAAAGAAAGAAGACGAGAAAGAAAGGGACGGAATGGAAGTGGAATGGTGAGAGGATGATGAAGCAACGAGATGACGAGATGAGGCCAACTCACGAACGGTGCATGCACTCATCTCTTTTGGTGTCCTTGTACTTTTTTCCTTTCCTTTCCTTTCTTCCCACTTGCCTCGTTGTATTTTCTGTAAGTTACACAGCATTGCATTTTTTTTCTTTTGGGACCTGTGGATGAAATAAACATTCGGAAAAGGAGCCTAACTTTGTACACAAAGAGCAACTCAACAAATCGTCTGTATTGTGCCCTTGAACTCTTGTACGAAAGATGGTGCGATAGATCGGATCTAAAGCGAGAATGCTTTCAATGCCACTCTTTCATGTCAATATTTAACAGCCAGGGACAAACATCATTTCACTATGCGAGTGAATCAGTCGAGACCGTGAAGGTGGCAATAGACGATGTCGCACAGATCCAGCATGTCAACGGGAAAGGCGTCTTCTTGTTGCAGACATGAAAATAAATTTGCAATTGTGCTTCCAGGTGGGTACCTCAAAAGAATAAAAAAAAGTTTATTATGAACATAATACGCTCTCCTACAGAGCAGTTGCAGCTGTCTCTTTCTTCGCTGCCTCCTCTTTCTCCTTCTCAATGCGCTTCGAAGGTCTCTGAGGAATGACATCCATTGTGCCACGCTTTGGCGCCAGAGGTAAAAAGTTAGCCTGAGGACGGTAAGCAGTATCCTTGATCAATTGCTTGCCCTGGAGTGATTTGGGGAGCCAGCTGAACACAACGTATCTGAGAACTCGCTCAAAGAAAGTCTATCCAGTTCAAAGAATAACATATAGGCATTAGCGGTCAATGCGCCCTGCTCACCAAACAGCATATGAATCCATTCTCCCAACTTACATGTCCGAAGAATATTTTGGCGCTCATGTGGGACTTTTGGTATTGATCTTTGACGGCATCGAATCGATCATTCTTGTAGTCACCCAGCGCGGTCTTGATGACCTTGAAGTTGGTGGACCTAATGTCGTAGAGGTGGTTGGCGAGGAGAACAGCATCTTGCATAGCGTTTACTGCACCTGCACCGCTACTTGGAAGAAGCTAGAGATAGACAAATGATGGAAGATATTAAGAATTGTTGGAGCGATGCCATTGGTGAATCTGACCAACTTCGTATTGAATAGTAGTTCTCTTACAATGTGAGCAGCTAAGGAGTGGATTCAAATAGAGGAAGTAATCAATGGACCATGTGTTATTATGAGGTGGTACATCGATTGCATCAAAACGAGAGGTGCAAGGGGAAGGGAAAGTGGGACGTACCATCACCGATAAGAACAGTTCGTCCATGCGTCCAGGTCTCGAAGAGTTTGTCCTCGAAATAGATCTTGGAGACCTTCTCAATATCGGTCACATCAAACAAGTCTCCCATGTTGCCATAGGGGGTCTTGAAGTGACGGATCTCGTCCAACATCTTCTTGTTGTCTTGATTAGTCCAGTCCGATGACGCTGCGTGTTCATCCGCGGTGGATGAAAGTCCAAGCTGAATGATAACATTCCAGCACATTCTATTGCCAGGGATGGTGAAGGTCGACCACTTCGAAAAGGAGACGTGACAAGTACATCAGGACATTTCTTTTTCCAAGGCACTCTAAGAGTCACGAACATTACCGGCGTAGCTTACAGTATAGGGCGTATCTTTATCTCCGAACATAAAGTAACTCTCGGATTCCTTCTCCAAGACACCAGGGTACTTGACGGGGTCGAGGGCGTTGGTCGTCCCTACAAGAGAAATGTAGCCTTTGTTCGTATCCTCAGTATCAGACTTGGGGAGAAGGCCCTCCTTCTCCAGGGTCTTGTACAAGTGCTGACGAACGGAACTATGAGCCCCGTCAGCGCCGACAAGGATATCACCGCGAGCAGTGGTGTTGTCGTCAAAGGTCACAGTAACGCCATCCTGATCTTGGTCAAGTGTAACGATCTTCTTGGACATGTGGAGCTTTTCCTTGGGAATCTTCTTGAATAACATGGCGTGCAACTCAGGACGGGAGAAGAGGACGCGGTCGTACCCAATGCTAAAGAGAGAGAGCGTTCAACATATTGGTAGGAAAGTGTGAGTAAATGAGCGCGTCTCCTTTGAAGAGAGAAATAGAAGGGAGTGAAACTTACAGTTCAGAGTAATTGGCATTAGCGGCATATTTGCCAATAGGTTTTAACTTATCGGTTAACATTACTCCGGTAATCGTGGGCTTGGAGATCGACGAAAGTTCGTCCAACAAGCCGAGCTGCTCGAATGCTGGGAGGATGTTTGGTGTCTATACAAAAAGTGGGATGAATGAGAATCTATGTCAGTTGAAAAGGAGTGGTTGCTCCGGTTGCATACAATCATAAAAAGCACATGATTCCTTTTGTTACCAGACACATAATGGCGCCTATGGCCCACGGCAAGAGAAAGAGCGCAAAATTAATATGGTTAGTTACTGTCGTATATAAATGATCGTGCAAATCCTTCGCATGTAGTTGCTCTCTAATCCATATAACTCACCAAGTTGCCTGGGTTCAGCAGAACGTTCGAAGATCTCATAGGGGATCCCAGCCCTCTCTAGAAGAATGCCGAGGAAAAGGCCAGCCAGACCAGCACCACCAATCAAGACGTGAGGTGGTTTATTGGCTGTGACAGGAGGCACGGCGCTGCTGATCGAGGGGGTGGGTTGAATGGTCTCAGAGGGTGCGCTCATTGTATGATCCGAGGTGGGTGCAAGAGGGAGTAAAGAAAGAAGAAGGGGAAGGAAGAAGAGGAGAAAGAAAGTGACGGAATGGAAGAGAGGAATGAAAAAAAGTAGATGGTGAGGCAGCGAGATGATGGCGCGGACCGAGATGAGGCGAACTCCCGAATGGCGCATGCTCTCATCTCTTTTTCTTTAGTCCATTTCCTTATACTTTTTTTTTACCTTTCCTTCCTTCCCACATGCGTCGTTGTATTTTCTGTAAGTTACACAGCATTGCATTATTTTCTTTTGGAAGGTATGCAAGAAATATACAATTGACCAAAGGAGCCTGTTTTGTGCACAAAGAGCTATTCAACATATCGCCTGCATTGTACCCTTGTACTCATATACGAAAGATGGTGCGTTGGATCGGGTCTTAAGCAAGAAGGATGCCTTCAATGGGGTTGCAACGCTTGCATGTCGATGGTCAGGCACCAGGACCCAAAAATCGTCGCGCACTAAATTTTCATCTTTTTTCACTTTAACGAGGTTTACGTAAAAATGGGTTAAGAGAGGGACTCTAGTCATGTAACGAAAACGACGCAGCATGCTTTTTTACGTAGTGTTGAGTGTTCTCACGGGTTGTCTCGTTATCATTCATGAGCCCGAAATCGACCTTTTTTTTCCCATTCTCTCTTTCTCTTGATTCAATTGGCTTTCATCTTACTCAACTTCGCCCAACCCATTCATGAGCCCTGAACTCGGGTTCCTTCATTCCTTCGACGTTGCTGAGGTTCAAGTCGCAGCCGTTTCTGCCACCGAGGAGACTCCTGAGGCTGTGGCTCGATCAAGGAAGGGCAAGACGATAACGAGACTTGTCAAGACCCTCTTTGTATAAACAAGACTCGTCATTTCTTCCGCGACTTTCACAAGATGCCATAGCAATTGACGGTCGATCCAGTAATGAGCAGGCCAAAGCCGATCTACACACATGATACCAATGGATCTGAAGAGCAAATGGAAACAAAAACAAAGGCCCAGACCCAGTATTCGATTCCCGGCGCCCCACAAAAACCCCACTCCTTTTCTGATAGTTGACGAGGATATGGATGATCCATTACACCCCTACCATATACATTGCCTTTGATGAATGTACGAGATCAAGTTCTAAATTATGCCAAGCGTATATTATTGGTCTTTCTTCTTTTTGTCGTCTACCACGAGGCACGACTCGCGATATTTCTCAAAGCTATCGTGTAAAAGCATATTGAAAATGGTAGAATAGTTGAGGTTAGCCTCTTTTGAAGGCATAGTAAGCCTTACTTGCTGAAAAAGCGTTCAGAGGCAGCTTTCTTGGTTCAATATCCAGAAATCCTGAGGCCGGTTCAGAAAATTGAACCGTTTTTTTTGGGTCATGAACCATCGACTGGCAATAACGGTCGATCCCACGGGACACCAAGTCGTTGTTCGTCTCTGAAAGAAGAGCATCCTCGTCATCGTCATTGTCAACAACAGCCGAGGGGTTAAGCTCATCTGCCATGGTCAGCAGGGTATTCTGAGCAAGTGTCCTTGCTTTGGCCAGGAAGTTAGAATCGCGACGGAAAAACTCGTAGTCAGAACAACCCCGATTCAAAAACATGGCGACAATGGTAACCTCCGGCATCTGGTGGACAGTAAACCTGAGCTCAGTCTCCTGCATCAAAGCATCAGACATCTCCTTGGCTGGTCCGGTGGTGACCATAGTGAGTGCTGGGGGGAGACCATAGATCTCTGAGTATGCTGACGAGATGGTGGGGTACTTGGAGCCGCCGACCTCATGCGTGAGCTTGGCTGCTGGAGTCAGTAATCTGCAGAGGTCCCTGACTTCCTCAAGTTCCAGTTCACTGAGACCTGCCTTCATCTTTCTCCTTCTATCCACCTCTGACTGAACCGACGACGCAATAACGACCTTCAAGGCCGCCGCCATCTCTCCAGCAAGCTCATGAACTCTCCGCATCAGGGTCAACGTCGAATCCCAGCGGGTCTCAGTAACGGTGGCAAACTTGTAGACCTCCTTGTTGACTCTCGCCCGCTCCACATCCAAGGCCTTTTTTGCAGCATCGCAGCTTTCGAAGAATCTCACGATCTCCTGATATTTCTCAAGAAATCCGCCTGTAGCCTTGACCTTGCGAAATGCGCCTTGATGCAAAGTTGAAGGGTGTGGCTAGCGCAACGAATCCAAAGCAAGCTCTGCAGCCCTTCATTGTAAAGGGTAGCACTCCTCATGTTGAAGGCGCGGTCGGTCGTAGCAGCGAGCAACTCCCCGTCCAACTCCCAATCCTTGACGATCTTGTCTAATATAAAAATGCAAAAACAATTAGAAAATAAAAGACGGGAAAAATAAAAGACAGAGAAAAAGAAAAAGAAAAAGAAAAAGTTGTCAACCTTCCAACCTGCGAGCACATATAGTCCGTTTTTTGAGACTGTGACATCTCCGCCATGCCAATCGCAACCGACTTCATCCTGAATTGATCGTCCATGAATTGAAGAGTTACGCCAAGAAACTTCTTTTCTCCTGTACTGTTGGTCCAGCCGTCCACTGTAATCGCTCCGCGGTATAGGGTGGTCCGAAGTTGCCCGACTAAATCGCGTCTGTATGTGGAGACTGTGTCACGTCGTCGACTATGGAGTGTGGATGTTGTTGAATGACATATCCCGGAGTGACATGCTTGAAAAACGCTTCGAAATGGGCAACTGGAGGGCCTGGAAGCTGAATCCAAGTCTTGTCACCGATGACAGGAGATAGTTGATGAATGCCTTTCATTTATCCGCCATCGGTTGTTGAAAGGTTCTCATGACATCCTCCCGAATGCCTTCGAAACCTCCATTAAGAGGTGGTCCTCCAAGGTTGGTCTCTCGCTGGACAAAGGCGCCAAATGCCTCTTCTGAACTAACTCCTGCGTTCCTCGAAAGCTATCCAACGCTCGGCGGATATCGCCATGGCACTTGTCGATGTGAGCCTGACGTGTGGAAGGATCCCCTCCATAGGCGAGATTATGTTCGCAGAGGGTTTCGATCTCTTCCATTCCTGTAGCTGATTCTTTCACTATGACCTCCTTGACTTGACATAACCTCTTTAATCGCCTCGTTGGTCGACGTCGTAGAAAAACGTTTCCTGTAAAAGAGTCTGTGGATGCTGCGTAGCTGCGAGGATTTCTTGATCGGAACCGGCAAGGAGTAAGGACTTCGTAAAAACGTTCTTCTGGAATGGTGTCCAAATGAAGGTCACACGCAGATTCCCAAGTCGAATTCTCGATGGCGGTGGTGGTGGGACGGGCTGGACTTTGAAAGTAGACAGCAGCTTTGGACAAATAGCGGGCATATGTTTCATCTTGGGTGTTTCCTGAGCCTCAGAAAAAGCTGAGGGAGATGGAGCAACTATCGATGGAGATAAGGGGATGGTGATGACGATAACTGAATGGTTTTTTGAGCTTGGCGGTTTCGCTGGTCCATGTGCTCCTCCAAGGCTTGTTGGTTCTCGTAGCGGGCCAGCCAAGGACGATGAGGTTTGTGTCGTTGCCGAGAGGGGAGGTGGTTGGACTGAATTAGATGGACGGTGAACTGGCTCCAGTGAACCCATAAAGGGAGATGGATCGTACGAAATTGCGATTGTTGTTCTGATGCTGGTTGGATGGAAGCGGATGACTGCGGATGAAGATTGGGAAATGGCAGTCTGTTGGATCGACGAAAGAATTGGGTGATGTTTGGTCGTTTGCGGTAATTAGTCATGGCATCAAAAGGCGTGGGAGGGTTTGGCGCTCCAGATGTTACTTTCTGACCATCCGATACCGAGATTGTTCGTTTGCTTCCACGCCCTTTACGCAGCAATCAACTAAAAAAAATGGCAAAGTAGAGGGTCGTAAGAATATCTCCATTGTTGGATAAGCGAGTGACGAAATAGATGGTCTACCTACCAGTGATTGTGGGATGTCAAAGCTGTCTTCAGCTGTGGCAGCGGCTGCGATGGGGTATTGCGCAGCATTTGCTCACAAGGAAGCGTTGTCAACATCTGGAGGGAGATTCTCGTCGTCCTCTGATGTCGTTAGAAATTCCTCTCATTCCCCCCCTCCAGGATTCTCCTCCTTGTTCCCTCGTAGTTGTCGTCCTCGTAGTTGTCGTCAAACTCGGTGCGTTCAATTGCGTCATAATCGTTGCAATCGTCCATTGTTGAAAGTTGTTTGAGTGAGTTAAGAAAGGATGTGGAGTAATTGTCCTTCGTTCGATTGGAATATGATATCGAGACTCTGGTATCAAGGTGACTGTTTTCAGCGGCTTTCTGGATCCGCAGTGGTAATTCGCATAGGCTGCCAGGCACAAAGAAATCAGTCGTGACAGCCACGATGGAAATAAACGAGTCAAGCATGTCAGGAAAGGCGTCTTCTTGTTGCCCACTGCACGAAAATAAATGCGCACGTAAACAATGCAATTGTGCTTTGGAGTTGGTTTATTGTGAACATCAGGCACTATCCTAGAGAGCAGTAGAAGCTGCCTCGTTCTTCGCTGCCTCCTCTTTCTCCTTCTCAGTGCGCTTCGAAGGCCTCTGAGGAATGATATCCATTGAGCCGCGCTTGGCTGCCTCTGGTAGGAAGTTCGCCTGGGGGCGGTAGGCTGTATCCTTAACCATTTGCTTGTTCCGGAGTGATTCGGGGAGCCAGTTGAACACGACATATCTGAGAATCCGCTCCCAGAGTGTCTATTCGATGGAATAAAAGCACCTGGTGTTAGCTAAATGTCTTCTCTTATCTTCTGTTTCTCATTCCTATCGCCATCGGCGCACCAAAGACCTACATGTCCATAGGTGAGTTTGGCACTCATATGCGACTGAGGATACTGGTCCTTGATTGCATCGAATCGCTCATTCTTGTAGTCGCTCAGTGCGGTCTTGATGTTCTTGAAGGTGGTGGGATTGATGTCATAGAGGTGGTTGGCGAGGAGAACAGCATCTTGCATAGCGTTTACTGCACCTGCACCACTACTTGGAAGAAGCTAGAGATAGACAAATGATGGAAGATATTAAGAATTGTTGGAGCGATGCCATTGATGAATCTGACCAACTTCCTTATCGAAGAGTAGTTCTCTTACCATGTGGGCAGCTAAAGAGTAATTCAAGTAGGGAAGTAATCAATTGACCATAGGTTATTGTGAGGTAGTACATCGATTGCATCAAAACAAGAAGTGCAAGGAAAAGGAAAAGTGGGACGTACCATCACCAATAAGAACGGTTCGTCCATGCGTCCAGGTCTCGAAGAGTTTGTCTTCGAAATAGACCTTGGAGACCTTCTCAATGTCGGTCGCATCAAACAGGTCTCCCATGGTGCCATAGGGGGTCTTGAAGTGACGGATCTCATCCAACATCTTCTTGTTGTCTTGATTAGTCCAGTCCAACGACACCGCGTGTTCATCCGCGGTAGACGAAAGTCCTAGCTGAATGACAATGTTCCAGCAGATTCTGTTGCCTGGGATGGTGAAGGTCACCCACTACGAAAAAGAGACGTGACAGAGTCAGGTAAATTCCTCACAGCATTTCTTTGCAAGGCACTCCATGAGACATGAATACGACTAGTGTAGCATACTGTATAGGGCGTGTCTTTGTCTCCGACCATAAAAAATGCCTCGGATTCCTTCTCCAAGACACCAGGGTATGTGACGGGGTCGAGGGCGTTGGTCATTCCTACAAGGGAAATGTAACCCTTGCTCGTATCCTCAGTATCAGACTTGGGGAGAAGGCCGTCCTTTTCCAGGGCCTTGTACAAGTGTTGGCGAACGGCACTGTGAGCTCCGTCGGCTCCGACGAGAATGTCACCATGGGCAGTGGTGTTGTCGTCAAAGGTCACGGTAACGCCATCCTCATCTTGGTCAAGTGTAACGATCTTCTTTGACATATGGATCTTTTCCTTGGGAATCTTCTTGAACAGCATGTCGTGCAGCTCAGGACGAGCAAAGAGTACGCGGTCATACCCAATGCTAAAGAGAAGGAGTGTTCGACATATCAATACGAGAGTGTGAGTAAATGAGCTCGTCTCCTTTGAAGAGAGAAATAGAAGGGAGTGAAACTTACAGGTCAGAGCAATTGGCGACAGTTTTGCCAATGAGCTTCAACTTATCGGTCAACATTACTATGCCAAACGAGGGTTTGGAGAACGACAACAGCTCTTCCAACAAGCCAAGTTGCTCGAATGCTGGGAGGATGTTTGGTGACTATACGAAAAGTCAGTTGAATGATGATCTATGTTAATTGAAAAGCAATGGGTGCTCTTGTTGCATACAGTCATAAAAAGCACATGATGCCTTTTGTTACCAGACACATAATGGCACCTAATACCCATGGCAAGAGAAAGAGCGCAAAATTAATATGGTTAGTTACGTGTCGTATGTACATGAGCGTGCGATTCCTTCACATGCAGTTGCTCTCTAATCCATATAGCTCACCAAGTGGCCTGGGTTCAGCAGAACGTTCGAAGATCTCATAGGGGATCCCAGCTCTCTCTAGAAGGATGCCGAGGAAAAGGCCAGCCAGACCAGCACCACCAATTAGGACGTGAGGTGGTTTATTGGCTGTGACAGGAGGCACGGCGCTGCTGATCGAGGGGGTGGGTTGAATGGTCTCAGAGGGTGCGCTCATTGTATGATACGAAGTGGGTGCAAGAGAAAGAAAGTGAAGGAATGGAAGAGGAATGGAAGAGGAATGGAAAGGAGGAGGAATGGAAAGGAGGAGATGATGAGCCAGCGAGATGACGGTGCACACCAAGATGAGGCCAACTCGCGAATGGCGCATGCTCTCATCTCTTTTGTTTTCCTTCTACTTTCTTTCCTTCCCACTAGCCTTGTTGTTTTTCTGACAGTTACACAGCATTGGATTTTTTTCTTTTGGAAGATATGGTTGGATGGTTGGATGAAATAAACAATTGGAAAAGGAGCCTACTTTGTGCACAAAGAGCAATTCAACAAATCGCTTGTATTGTGTTCTTGAACTCTTTCTTGTACGAAAGATGGTGCGATGGATCAGGTCTTATGCAAGAATGCTTTTCAATGGGGTTGCAATGCTTGCATGTCAATCATCAATAACGGCCAAGCATAAATATCAAATCGCAATCCAGGTGAATCAGTCGAGACAACCACACTGTCGTGCAGATTCAACATACCAACGGGAAAGGTGTTCCCACAGCATGAATGTTAACGTGCACGTAAGCAAATGCAATTGTGCTTCGGGGTTGGTACCTCAAAAGATAAAAAAAGTTTATTACGAACATCATGCGCCGCTCTCCTACAGAACAATCGCAGCTGCCTCTTTCTTCGCTGCCTCCTCTCTCTCCTTCTCGATGCGCTTCGAAGGTCTCTGAGGAATAGCATCCATTGAGCCACGCTTTGGCGCCTGAGGTAAAAAGTTAGCCTGAGGACGGTAGGCGGTATCCTTAACTATTTGTTTGTTCTGGAGCGACTTAGGGAGCCAATTGAACACAACGTATCTGAGAACTCGCTCAGAAAAAGTCTATGCAGTCCAAAGAAAATAAATCGATGTTAGCGATCAATGCGCCTTGCTCACCACACAGCATATGAAAATACATTCTCCCAACTCACATGTCCATAGCTTAGTTTGGCACTAATATAGGACTGTGGGTATTGATCCTTGATTGCATCGAATCGCTCTTCTTTGTACTCGGTCAAAGCGGCTTTAATATTCTCAAAGCTGGTGGGAAAGATGTCGTAAAGATGGTTTGCAAGGAGGACGGCGTCTTGCATGGCGTTGACAGCACCAGCGCCGCTGCTTGGAAGGAGCTGTAATAAAATATGGAGGCGAAAAGAATACATGGACAGCATGGTTATGGTGGTTAAGATGGGATGCTTCATGACCAGACACAATCTCGTCGTTCGTTCTTCCAATTCTCACCTTGTGTGCCGCTAATTGTAGGAAACAAAAAGAAAATTGTATTTTGCATTTTAGTCTACGGGACGGTGGTGGGAATGCACATAAATTGAGAAGCTGGGTGCGATTGAACAGAGTGTTACGCATACCATCACCAATCAAGATGGTACGACCGTGGTTCCATGTCTCAAAGAGCATGTCTTCGAAATAGACTTTGGAAACACCTTCAACATCGGTAGCATCGAACAAATCACCCATGGTGCCATAGGGGGTCTTGAAGTGGCGGATTTCATCCATCATTTTCTGGTTCTGCTGAGGAACCCAATCCGAGGACTTGAACTGGTCATTTGCAATCTCGGAGATGCCTAACTGAATAACGACATTCCAGCAGATTCTGTTGCCAGGAATGGTGAAAGTAACCCACTGAAAAAGAAATATGGTGGTAATGTTAGGCGAGCCTGCTGCCATTCTTTTTTTGCAACTCTGCATAAGAGAATGTCATTACTTACAGTGTAGGGCGTGTCCTTGTCTCCAACCATAAAGAATGCCTCAGATTCTTCGTCCAAGACCCCAGGGTACTTGACGGGGTCGAGGGCGCCGGTCGTTCCAACAAGACAAATGTAACCCTTGTTCATAGCCTTGGTATCAGCTTTGGGGAGAAGGCCTTCTTTCTCCAGGGACTTGTACAAGTGCTGACGAACTGCACTGTGAGCCCCGTCGGCACCAACAAGGATGTCACCGTGGATAGTTGTGTTGTCGCTGAACCGGAGCATGACTCCCTCGTGGTTTTGCTGGAATGACAACACTTTCTTGGACATGTGGAGCTTCTCCTTGGGAATTTTATTGAACAGCATGTCATGCAGCTCAGGACGAGCAAAGAGTACGCGGTCATACCCAATGCTAAAGAGAAGGAGTGTTCGACATATCAATAGGAAAGTGTGAGTAATGAGCGCGTCTCCTTTGAAGAGAGAAATACAGGGGGGTGAGACTTACAGATCAGAGCAATTGGCGACAGTTTTGCCAATGAGTTTCAACTTATCGGTCAACATTACTATGCCAAACGAGGGTTTGGAGAACGACAACAGCTCGTCCAACAAGCCGAGCTGCTCGAATGCTGGGAGGATGTTTGGTGACTATGTAGTCAGAAAAGTGGAGGAAAGAGGGACTATGTTAGTTGGATCCTTTTAATTATCGTACTTGCAGGTTAAATGGGTGCATGATACTTTATCTTACCAAACACATAATAGCACCTTAGACCCCGAAAATTAGAAAGAAAGGGGTTGTAGTGTTAACTTGACACCGTGCTGTGCACAGTAGTTTTAACGGAATCTAAGAACACTAACTTACCAAGATGTCTGATCTGGGCGGACCGCTCAAAAATCTCGTAGGGGATGCCGGCCTTCTCAAGGAGGATGCCAAGGAAGAGACCAGCCAAGCCGGCACCAGCAATCAGCACACGAGGAGGTCTATCGGTCACCAAAGGAGGCAGGTCGCTTCCTTTGAAACCGCCAGTGGGGATAGGCTTGGTGTCAGTGTTGTCACTCATTGTTGGAGGGTGGGGCGCAAACAGTGAAAGAATCGATATATGTGAGAAAAGAACTAGAGGAAGGAAGTGGCTGTAGGGGTTGGAAAGTGAGAGGGGTATGGAGAGATGGCAGCGGGATGAAGGAATGAAAGACAAGAAAGAGATGATGAGAGAATGGAATGTGAATGAGGTACGAGATGAGGCGGACCTTACACCTTGTTTTTTTTCTCATTCTCCCTTATTCTCTCTCGCCCTCCCTACCTCGTTTTTAGTTTCTCTCTAACAGTTACACAGCATTGCATTTTTTCTTTTGGGAGCGATGATAGGATGAAATACACAATAGGTGCCTTGTGTTCACATGAAGCAAATAAAGGTGGATGCTATGTTTGTTTTTGAGGGACTGGGAAATATGAATTGAGAGGTAATGTGGCGTTAGAGAGGTGTATACACTTCATAGTACCTCCTCGATGAAAACCTGGGATATGTTGTCTTCTCTTTTGTCTTTTGCTGTCGGTCCTTTCGAAGACATGTCGTTGGTTATGTTTCTGCGATAAGTGCGCGTAGTTATCATATCTTACCGGGGTTCAGCTCATGTGCGCCCCGAACCCCCAAAAGGGCGAAAAAAGGAGACTGCAAAAAAAGGTCATGTGCTCTCAAACAAAAACAAGTGGCTTCAATGAAAGGAAGGTTTCGATAGAATCAGGCACGAACCTTGTGTCAATTCTTTGAATGAAAGCGACAATCGCTCCCTCGTGTGTGCAACTTTGATTATGGGTGTTTTGGAGAAGAAGACTGCCCGACTAAGGTCCATGTACAAGGTTCTCAATTGAACGTGGCGAACCGCAAACCAACATATTCCAAGCAGCCATTCAAATCCTTGTGAAGACGGAAAGTGATAAAGATTGGGTTCATTTTTTTTTGCCCCTCGTCGGAATTGTATCATTTCCCCGCAAATGAAATCTCAATGAGGGCGGCAAAATGAAAGCGAGACAACCAGGAAAGCTTAGTGGGTTCATGGTTTGATGGACTGATGAATGGCGATAAAACAAATAACAACGAGTTGATCATGATGGAACATCCAATCACGACAGAAAGAAAGACAGAATAAAACACGACTTACTCACCATTGTCAATCAACATACCTCTAGGGAAGAGCGCTTCTTTAATGGCGCGATCAAACATCATGCTCCTTTCGATGGAGGTGGAGAGCAAAAGGCATTTTTGATTTTCGGCAAGAAAACCCGATTCAAATTTTTCCTCGGTTGATCTTTGCCAACATACACGCTCCCTTGGAAACGCGTACCGATTGACCCGCTGAGGGATATTCTACATCTGCCAGGTACGACCCATTGACCCGCCAGAGAATTTTAACATAAACAACTGCTTGGCGTATGAGCGCTACCAAATGGTATGCCTTTCTCTGCCTTCGATACCTTTTAGGCACTTCATAGGCTTGCACGCCCTCTGCCTTGATCTTTGCTTTCATCTTTCTGTGCCTGTGTCCGCCTGCCTGACAGAAAAGAAGCCCTTTGGTTAACGTTGCCTAATGTATGATAATGACTTTTATTATTAACCGTGACTTCCTGAAAAAAAATGAAAAATGAAAAATGAAAAATAATAGGGGACTCTAGGCTCTCTATCTACTTGCTAGAAAAGGGGGTCGGGTGGGAAATGTAGAGTCCCTGACGTCGTCGAATAACAGCTTTAACCGTCATCACATTCGGCAACACTAACCATTATTCTTCTTTGCCAGGGACTCTATCTGTGGATCCAGAGTTGGAGACGAATGGCTGTGGTGAAGTTGCTTGGCAGGGATCGCGAGATCCTGTAGCACGCTTCAAAAATGGCCGAGGATGACCAACTCCTGTGTGCGTCAACGCTGTCAGACGGGGTCCCCTTCTTTGGCGCGGCGGTCATGCTTAAATATTTGGATGCTCTCTTCTCTACTGCTTGTTGCCGTCGACGTTCTAAGATGAGAGGGACTATATTGGGTTCCTCTCGAGGAAGTGTGGACTGTTCCCGGGAGCTGGCAAAACTTGGTTCCTCGGTACCCGTAGAAGCTCGTCGGCCGACATGGCTGTGATCGTAGGGTACCGGAGCGCGCTCGACCAGAATGAAATGACGACCGTCGCCTTGAACTTGTCCTGCTTCTGGAGGAGTCTGCTGATCAAAGACCATGGTGGACACGCATAGACCCTGTTCATGTTGGACCAGCTGCCGTTGAACGCGTCCTGGCCCCAGGCCGTTTCCTTTTGCTTCCATGAGATGTATCAAGGAACTTTGGCTTTCGTTACTGTCGCGAATAGGTCGATGTGGTGGTGACCCCATGTCGACTCGAGGTTTTGGAAGAATGACTTGTCGATCGACCACTCCAGCTGCGTCGTCATCCTCCTGGCCGGTGCATCTGCTGGATTGAACTGTGAGGGAAGGTATGTCGTCTTGAGTCGTGTGCCAGTCGCCATGCAGTGGTTTCATATCCTGGTCGTCAGGTCGAGTAGTGGTTGAGACCTCGTCCCGCCGAATTTGTTGATCTGGGCGATGGTCGTCATGTTGTCGCAAATAACATGCATTGTCTTCCCGATCGTCTCTGGAATGTGGACCAAGTGCCAAATGACCCGTAGCTCCTTCCAATTGATGTGGTGGGGTTGTTCCGATGCACTCCACGTCCTGGACATCTCCTTTCCCTCGATCACAATCCCACATGCATCCTCCGAGGCATCGGTGTACGCGTCGACTTCCGTCCTCTGAGGCAAGAATCCCTGACCGTTCCATTCCTACAGATGAGATCGCCACCAGCGGAGATTCTCCAGTGCCACCGTGTCCAACGTAACTGAGTCCGTCCACTTGCATTTCTTGGCCAGAACTGCGTTCTGAACCCGAATCATATTCATCGTCTTCAGTCGAGCCGGAAAGACTATCACTTTCATCGCGGTCGCCTTCCCGATAAATGCCGCCAGGCGTCGAAGTTGGATGGTTCCTACCCTGTCATCTTCTCCGCCTCCCTGCGCAGGCCGCGGACCTTTGGTCTTGGCACTGATATTGTCATGTCGGCGGCGTTGACCCTGAACCCAAGATGGTCGATACATTGGGTAGGGTCGAGTGTTGACTTGGCGTCCTTGATGAGGAAACCAGTTGTTTCAGTTGTTCCCGAACCGGACGAGTGTGCTCCTGGGCCTCCTCCTTGATCCTGGCTGTGATGAGGATGTCGTCGAGATATGCCGAGATCCTGATCCCCTTCTCCCTCTCCCACTTGAGAATCGGACGGATGATCTTTGTGAAGATGAAGGGGGAAAGTGAAAGTCCGAAAGGCAGAGTTCGGAACTGATGTGATGCCCGCTCCCCATATGAAGCGGAGGTACTTATGAGATGCCGGATGGACTGTCACGTGCAGGAAGGCGTCGCTTAGGTCGGCACTCGTAAGCCTATCGCCTGGTTTGAGTATCCTGCAAACGTTGGTGAGGGTCTCCATCTTGAACTTTGGTGCTGTCAAGAATTGGTTGAGTGGGCGTAGGTTAACACTGGGCTTAAGTCTCCTGTGTTCTTGGGATTTGTGAAGATACGACTGTAAAACCCTTTCCCGCTGCAGCCTTCGATAGCACTTTTTTTTAAATAAGGAGCGGACCTCTACATCGATGGCTGTACGTTCCTCCGGAGACATGAACGGATCGTACTGAGGTGATAGGCGTAGTGGCGGAGGTCGGTTGAATATGATGCTGTAGCCCAACTTGATGATATTATTGACTCAGGCCGAATCCGCCTTCTCTCTCCATGCCTCCTGGAACTGGTGAAGTCGTCCTCCTACTAATCCGACTTCTCTCCGTCGTTTCCCTGGTCTGGTTGCTTCCTGTCTTGACCGCCACCAGACTTGTACCGAGGCTTGCCACCAGACTTGCCTCCGTCCGACTTGTAACCCGACTTGCCGTTGTCGGATCGGTATCCCGACTTGTCCTTGGGTTGCGGCTTTCCGGACTATTGGTCCTGGGTGTGTCATCTGTTGCTGACTTGTCCTTGGTAGACTTGTTGTCAGGCTTCTTGATCTTGTCCTTTGGGGGTTCGTACTTCGTGTATGTCTTCTGAACTAGATCAGCGGCTGCTTTTTTTTTTTTTTTTGGCAGCCAGTGATTCCAAAGTGAAGACTGATTCTTCCTTGTCGTTGCCATGCTTGACACCGAGATCATCAAAGTAAAGGTTCTCTCGCATCCGACTGATTCTGGAAGCGTCGTGGACTGTGGATATGCATACAGTGTTGAGGAAACCGAGTATCTTCTTGCCGAGATCCTACTGTTCGCCTCCGTCTTCAAGGACTTCAAAAGTGAAAGTGTCGAAGAATCGAGTTGATTGAGCCAACAATCCTTGGATCAATACCAAATCGCGTTCGTGTCGCTTAGCCGTGTCTATGAGGGTAACTTCGGAGTGCTACAGAACCGGAGAAGGCTTATAATCCATACCCTCGGTGTAGTGATAGTCGTTCCAGTTGAAAACGTTGTGGTTCTTGGGTAGCTCCGATCGAAGCACTTGGGTTCGCCAATGGCAGGGTAAACATTGAGAAGGTCCTGGCGAAGCTTGATGAAGGTCGCTCAAGGGTTCCTGTAGACCAGTCTGCCGTCCTGCTCAATGGATTCGGCTTCCAGTTGTTGGATCCTGTTTTGCTGCTGTAAAAGGACCTGCTTTTGCTGCATAAAGGCCTGTTGTTGCAGCATTTGCTCCTGAATAAGGTGAAGGGTCGTGTGAACGTCCATATCGACATCGGGGGCCTTAGGATTGGGTGCATGGGACATGGGGGAGGATCGATCAGAGATTCGGGGAGAGTGTTCCGGCCGTGAAAAAGAACGATAGAGATCAACAGTTCACCTGGAGTCCCCTTTTTATTTCAATTTTTTTTCTTCGGAAGTCACGGTTAATAATAGAAGAAAGATACACACAGATAGAGTCCCTGGCAAGGAGGAATGATAAGAGGTGGCGGTTGAAGACACGGCAAAAATCACGGCAACAAGCACTCTTTCACTCCCATCGTAGGCTGGATGGACGCGTTTCTGATGAAGGCAGTTGTAACAAACCAAAGTGAAGGAACTATCCACACTTCTATTATGGACATAGTTTTCACGCTGTGACCACTCGAAGGTGTGAGCGCAGTATTCATCTGGTCTATTAATTATTGCTAAATTATCCTCAGAGACCCATTTCCTATCATATTTTTATACGACTAACAGAGAGGACGCGACGTGTTTAATTGGGACTAAGGGGATTGTTACTTGCTTTGGCGTTGACCCGAGACAAACGCGCTTCTTTAAATGATCAATCACAGAACAGTTGACGTGAGATAAACGGTGTCTGACAGGTGAAAGACGCCATGAGACAGCGTGTACACCCAACATCGACTGCATCAAGGAGGAGACAATTCTATGAACTTTTCTCCTTTCTCATGAGTGTCGCCGTTCTTTAAAATGAAATGGACATAGAGTCAGTTTTGGTTGGCGTAGATGTTACTGCATGTACACAGGCAATCTTTATTATTCTGGTATGAATAAACAAGGGTAGAGTCGCAGACAGTACACTTCCTTAAACTCAAATAGCTGAAACAGCCGCCCTCTTTTTGGTCTCCTGCTCCCCCTTCTCTCTCTGGATGTGTTTCGAAGGATTTTGAGGAATCGTATCCATAGTTCCGCGCTTGGGAGCCTGTGGTAAGAAATTGGCCTGAGGGCGGTAGGCAGTATCCTTCAAGAGCTGCTTATGTTGGAGCCACTTTGGCAGCCAGTTGAACACCATGTATCTGATAATGCGCTCCCAGAGCGTCTATCCAGTAGCAGAAGGAAGTAATGATTGTCAGTATTAGAAATGCTTTTTGGTGGATTGGTGCGAAGAAAAAAAAGTGCAGACTCTCGCTTGATCGACATACATGTCCAAAGATGAGTTTGGCACTGATGTGCGACTGAGGATACTGGTCCTTGATGGCCTCGAAACGCTCGTTCTTGTAGTCGCTCAGTGCGACCTTGATGTTGCCAACACTGGTGAGCTTGATGTCGTAGATGTGGTTGGCGAGGAGGACTGCGTCTTGCATGGCGTTCACTGCTCCTGCTCCACTACTTGGAAGAAGCTAGACAAGGACAAATGAAGAACGATATTAAAAGCTGTTAGAGCGACGCGAATGATGAATTTGATCTACCTTCATGACGAATAGTAGCTCTCTTACCATGTGAGCAGCTAAGGATTGAATTCAAGTAGGGAAAGTAATCAATGGACGTGTTCTTTTGGTGGGATATCGATAAGCTTAAAAACAAAGGTGCAAGGGAAAGGAAAAGTGGGACGTACCATCGCCGATAAGAACGGTTCGTCCATGCGTCCAGGTCTCGAAGAGTTTGTCCTCGAAATAGACCTTGGAGACCTTCTCAATGTCGGTCACATCAAACAGGTCTCCCATGGTGCCATAAGGGGTCTTGAAGTGACGGATTTCATCCAACATCTTCTTGTTGTCTTGATTAGTCCAGTCCGACGACGATGCGTGTTCATCTGCGGTAGATGAAAGTCCAAGCTGAATGACAACATTCCAGCAAATTCTATTGCCTGGGACGGTAAAGGTCACCCACTACCAAAAGAAACGCGACAGGTACGTCAGGAAAATTCTTCACAGGGGTTTTTGTTAGGCGTTCTATGAGACACAAACACGACTGGTCTAGCTTACAGTATAGGGTGTGTCCTTGTCTCCGATCATATAAAATGCCTCGGAGTCCTTCTCCAAGACACCAGGGTACTTGAGGGGGTCGAGGGAACTGGTCGTCCCTAGGAGGGAAATGTAACCTTTGCTCATATCCTTGGTATCGGCCTTGGGGAGAAGGCTCTCCTTCTCCAAGGTCTTGTACAAGTGCTGACGAACTGCACTGTGAGCCCCGTCGGCTCCGACAAGGATGTCGCCGCGGGCAGTGGTGTTGTCGTCAAAGGTCACGGTAACGCCATCTTGATCTTGGTCAAGTGTAACAATTTTCTTTGACATATGGATCTTTTCCTTGGGAATCTTCTTGAACAGCATGTCGTGCAGCTCAGGACGAGCAAAGAGTACGCGGTCATACCCAATGCTAAAGAGACGGAACGTTCAACATATTAATAGGAGAATGCGAGTAAATGAGCTCGTCTCCTTTGAAGAGAGAAATAGAAGAAAGTGAAACTTACAGGTCAGTACAATTGGCGACTATTTTGCCAATGAGCTTCAACTTATCGGTCAACATTGCTACGCCAAACGAGGGCTTGGAGAACGACAACAGCTCGTCCAACAAGCCGAGCTGCTCGAATGCTGGTAGGATGTTTGGCGACTATACGAAAAAGCCAGATGAATGATGATCTATGTTAATTGAAAAGCAATGGGTGCTGCTGCATGCAGTCAAAAAATGTGCACTATTCTTTTTGTTACCAGGCACATAATGGCACCTAATACCCATGGCAAGAGAAAGAGCGCAAAATTAATATGGTTAGTTACGTGTCGTATGTACATGAGCGTGCGATTCCTTCACATGCAGTTGCTCTCTAATCCATATAGCTCACCAAGTGGCCTGGGTTCAGCAGAACGTTCGAAGATCTCATAGGGGATCCCAGCTCTCTCTAGAAGGATGCCGAGGAAAAGGCCAGCCAGACCAGCACCACCAATTAGGACGTGAGGCGGTTTATTGGCTGCGACAGGAGGCACGGTGCTGCTGCTAGAAGGGGTGGGTGGAACGGTCTCGGAGGGTGCGCTCATTGTATGATACGAGGTGGGTGCAAGAGAAAGAAAGTGAAGGAATGGAAGAGGAATGGAAGAGGAATGGAAGAGAAATGGCAAGGAGGAGATGATGAGACAGCGAGATGACGGTGCGGACCGAGATGAGGCCAACTCGCATGCTCTCATCTCTTCTGTGTTCCTCTTTTGCTTTTACTTTTTCCTTTTTTCCTTTCCTTCCTTCCCACTTGCCTCCTTGTATGTTCTGAACGTTACACAGCATTGTATTTTTTCTTTTGGAAGCAATGCTGGGATGGTTGGAAGAAATAAACAATTGGCCAAAAGAGCCTTCTTTGTACACAAAGAGCAATTCAACAAATCGCCTGTATTGTGCCCTTGAGCTCGTTTACGAAAGATGGTGCGATGGATCGGGTCTTAAGCACGAATGCTACAAGGCTTGCATGTGAATGGTCGGGTTGTTGCCCACTGCAAGGAAATAAATGCGCACCCAAATGCAATTGTGCTTCGAGGTTGGTACAGTACCTCGAAGAATAAAAAAAGGTTTATTATGAACATCATGCGCTCTCCTACTAGAGAGCAGTAGCAGCTACCTCATTCTTCCCTGTCTCCTCTCTCTCCTTGTCGATGCGCTTCGAAGGTCTCTGAGGAATAGCATCCATTGAGCCGCGCTTTGGCGCCTGGGGTAAAAAGTTAGCCTGGGGACGGTAGGCAGTATCCTTGAGCAATTGCTTGTGCTGGACTGACTTGGGGATCCAGTTGAACACAACGTGTCTGAGAACTCGCTCAGAAAAAGTCTATCCAGTCCAAAGAATAACATATCGGCGTTAACGATCAATGCGCCTTGATCACCAAACAGCATATGAATCCATTCTCCCAACTTACATGTCCGAAGATTAGTTTGGCGCTAACGTAGGACTGTGGATATTGATCCTTGATTGCATCGAATCGCTCTTCTTTGTACTCGGTCAAAGCGGCTTTAATATTCTCAAAGCTGGTGGGAAAGATGTCGTAAAGATGGTTTGCAAGGAGGACGGCGTCTTGCATGGCGTTGACAGCACCAGCGCCGCTGCTTGGAAGGAGCTGTAAGAAAATATGGAGGCGAAAAGAATACACGGACAGCATGGTTATGATGGTTAAGATGGGGTTCTTCATGGCCACACACAATCTCGTCGTTCGTTCTTCCAATTCTCACCTTGTGTGCCGCTAATTATATAGGAAGTAATAAGAAAAACGTATTTTGTATATTAGTCTACGGGACGATGGTGGGAATGCAAATAAAGTGTGCGATTGAACAGAGTGTTACGCATACCATCGCCAATCAAGATGGTACGACCGTGGTTCCATGTCTCAAAGAGCATGTCTTCGAAATAGACTTTGGAAACACCTTCAACATCGGTAGCATCGAACAAATCACCCATGTTGCCATAGGGAGTCTTGAAGTGGCGGATTTCGTCCATCATTTTCTGGTTCTGCTGAGGAACCCAATCCGAGGACTTGAACTGGTCATTTGCAATCTCGGAGATGCCTAACTGAATAACGACATTCCAGCAGATTCTGTTGCCAGGAATGGTGAAAGTAACCCACTGAAAAAGAAATATGGTGGTAATGTTAGGCGAGGCCGCGGCCTTTTTTTGCGACTCCGCATAAGAGAATATCTTTACTTACAGTGTAGGGTGTGTCTTTGTCTCCGACCATATAAAATGCCTCAGATTCTTCGTCCAAGACACCAGGGTACTTGATGGGGTCGAGGGCGTTGGTGGTTCCTACGAGGGAAATGTAACCTTTGTTCATAGCCTTAGTGTCAGCTTTGGGGAGAAGGCCTTCTTTCTCCAGGGACTTGTACAAGTGCTGACGAACTGCACTGTGAGCCCCGTCGGCACCAACAAGGATGTCACCGTGGATAGTTGTGTTGTCACTGAACCGGAGCATGACTCCCTCGTGGTTTTGTTGGAATGACAACACTTTCTTGGACATGTGGAGCTTTTCCTTGGGGATTTTATTAAACAGCATATCATGTAGCTCGGGACGGGCAAAGAGGACGCGGTCATACCCAATCCTAAAGAGAGGGAATGTTCAACATATTAGAAGGAAAGTGTGAGTAAATTGGCGTGGCTCTTATGGAGAGAGAAATAGAAAGGAACGAAACTTACAGATCAGTGCATTTAGCGACTATTTTGCCAATGGGCTTCAACTTATCGGTCAACATCGTTACGCCAAACGAGGGTTTGGAGAACGACAACAGCTCGTCCAACAAGCCGAGCTGCTCGAATGCTGGGAGGATGTTTGGTGACTATGTGACCACAAAAGGGGGGGGGAGAGAAGGACTATGTTAATTGGAAGGCCTTTCTTTCTTTTGTCGTACCTGCATGTTAAATGAGTACAGGATACTTTATCTTACCAAACACATAATAGCACCTTAGACCCCGAAAATTAGGAAGAAGGGGTTGAAGGGTTAACTGGACGCCTTGCTGTGCATAGGTGGTTTTAACGGAATCTAAGAACACTAACTTACCAAGATGTCTGATCTGGGCGGACCGCTCAAAAATCTCGTAGGGGATGCCGGCCTTCTCAAGGAGGATGCCAAGGAAGAGACCAGCCAAGCCGGCACCAGCAATCAGTACACGAGGAGGTCTATCGGTCACCAAAGGAGGCAGGTCGCTTCCTTTGAAACCGCCAGTGGGGATAGGCTTGGTCTCAGTGTTGTCACTCATTGTTGGAGGGTGGGGCGCAAACAGTGAAAGAATTGATATATGTGGGATAAGAAGCAGGGGAAGGAAGTGGCTGTAGGCGTTCGAAAGTGAGAGGGGTATGGAGAGATGACGGAGGGATGAAGGAATGAAAGACAAGAAAGAGAGACGATGAGAGAATGGAATGTGAATGGGATGCGAGATGAGATGGACCGAGGTTTCTTACTCACACCCATTTTTTTTCTTATCCTCCTTTTTCTTCTTCGTATTCCTTCTCGCCTTCCCTACTTCGTTTTTTGCTGCTCTCGAACGGTTACACAGCATTGCATTTTTCTTTTGGAGCGATGACCGGGTGAAATACACAATAGGTGCATTGTGTTCACATTGAGCAAATGAAGGTGGATGTTTATTTTTGAGGGAATGAGAAATGAGAAATGAGAGATAATATAGCGTTTGAGAGATGTATACACTTATCTTTTGTGTTTTGCTACCGGTCCTTTCGAAGTCATGTCGTTGATTGTGTTTCTACGATAATTGCGCGTAGTCACCGAAGTTCTTTCGCCTTGTGCACCCGAACCCCCAAAAGAGCAAAACAAGGGATAGAAAAAAAAAGTCATGTGCTCTCAAACAAAAACAAGTGGCTTCAGTGAAAGGAAGGTTCCGATAGAATCAGACACAAACCTTGTGTCAATTCTTTGATTGAAAGCGACAATCGCTCCCTCGTGCGTGTGCCTTTGATCATGGGTGTTTTGGAGATGAACACTGCCCGCCCAAGGTCCAGATACAGGGTTCTCAATTGAACGTGGCGAACCGCAAACCAACATGTTCCAAGCAACCATTCAAATCCTTGTGAAGACGGAAAGTGATAAAGATTGGGTTCATTTTTTTTGCTCCTCGTCGGAGTTGTATCATTTCCCCGCAAATGAAATCTCAATGAGGGCGGCAAAATGAAAGCCAGACAACCAGGAAAGGTTCATGATTTATTTTTTCTCCCAAAGACTTTTGATGGACTGATGAATGGCGATAAGACAAAACACAACGAGCTGATCATGATAGAATGTCTAATCAAGAAGAAAGAAAGACATAATAAAACATGACTTACTCATCATTGCCTATAAACAGCCCTGGGAAAGCGCTTCTTTAATGGCGCCATCAAGCATCGTGTTGCTTTCGATGGAGGCGGATAGCAAAAGGCATTTTTGATTTTCGACAAAAGCCCGATTCAAATTTTTCCTCGGTTGATCTTTGTTAACATACACGTTCCCTTGGAAACGCGTACCGATTAACTCGCTGAGGGATATCCCACATCTACCAGGTACGACCGATCGACCCGCCAGAGGATTTTAACATAGACAACTGCTTGGCGTATGAGCAATACCAAATGGTATCGATTTCCTTTGCCTTTCTCTGCTTTCGATGCCACTTTCCAGGCACCTCACAGGCTTGCACACCCTCTGCCTTGATCTTTGCTTTCATCTTTCTGTGCCTGTGCCGCCTTACCTGACAGAAAAGAAGCTCTTTGAAAATGAAGTGGTGGCGGTTGAAGACACGGCAAAAATCACTGGTAACAAGCACCCTTTCACTCCCATCGTAGGCCGGATGGACGCGTTTCTGATGAAGGCAGTTGCAACAAACCATAGTGAAGGAACTAATCACACTTCTATTATGGGCACAGTTATCACGCTGTGACCATTGGAAGGTGTGGGCGCAGTATTCATCTGGTCTATTAATTATTGCTAAATTATCCTCAGAGACCCATTTCCTATCATATTTTTATACGACTAACAGAGAGGACGCGACGTGTTTAATTGGGACTAAGGGGATTGTTACTTGCTTTGGCGTTGACCCGAGACAAAAACGCGCTTCTTTAAATGATCAATCACAGAACAGTTGACGTGAGATAAACGGTGTCTGACAGGTGAAAGACGCCATGAGACAGCGTGTACACCCAACATCGACTGCATCAAGGAGGAGACAATTCTATGAACTTTTCTCCTTTCTCATGAGTGTCACCGTTCTTTAAAATGAAACGGTCATAGAGTCAGTTTTAGTGGGCGTAGATGTTACTGCATGTACACAGGCAATCTTTATTATTCTGGTATGAATAAACAAGGGTAGAGTCGCAGACAGTACACTTACTTAAACTCAAATAGCTAAAACAGCCGCCCTCTCTTTGGTCTCCTGCTCCCCCTTCTCTCTCTGGATGCGTTTCGAATGATTCTGAGGAATCGTATCCATAGTTCCGCGCTTGGGAGCCTTTGGTAAGAAGTTGGCCTGAGGGCGGTAGGCAGTATCCTTAACCATTTGCTTGCGCTGGAGCGATGCGGGGAGCCAGTTGAATACAATGTATCTGATAATGCGCTCCCAGAGCGTCTATCCAGTAGCAGAAGGAAGTAATGATTGTCAGTATTAGAAATGCTTTTTGGTGGATTGGTGCGAAGAAAAAAAAGTGCAGACTCTCGCTTGATCGACATACATGTCCAAAGATGAGTTTGGCACTGATGTGCGACTGAGGATACTGGTCCTTGATGGCCTCGAATCGTTCATTCTTGTAGTCGCTCAGCGCAGTCTTGATGTTCTTGAAGTTGGTGGGAGTGATGTCATAGAGATAGTTAGCGAGGAGAACCGCATCTTGCATGGCGTTCACTGCACCGGCACCTGTGCTTGGAAGGAGCTAGAGAAGGATAAATGAGGGGATATATTAAAAGCTGTTGGAGCAATGCAATTAATTAACCTCATAAACCTTCATGACAAAGAGTAGTTCTCTCACCATGTGGGCAGCTAAGGATTGAATTCAAGTAGGGAAAGTAATCAATGGACGTGTTCTTTTGGTGGGATATCGATAAGCTTAAAAACAAAGGTGCAAGGGAAAGGAAAAGTGGGACGTACCATCGCCGATAAGAACGGTTCGTCCATGCGTCCAGGTCTCGAAGAGTTTGTCTTCGAAATAGACCTTGGAGACCTTCTCAATGTCGGTCACATCAAACAAGTCTCCCATGGTGCCATAGGGGGTCTTGAAGTGACGGATCTCATCCAACATTTTCTTGTTGTCTTGATTAGTCCAGTCCGACGACGATGCGTGTTCATCTGCGTTAGACGAAAGTCCAAGCTGAATGACAACATTCCAGCAAATTCTATTGCCTGGGATGGTGAAAGTCACCCACTGCCAAAAGAAACGCGACAGATACGTCAGGAAAATTCTTCACGTCGTTTCTGTCCAGAGTATATAAGACATGAGCGTGGCCGGTGTAGCTTACAGTATAGGGTGTGTCCTTGTCTCCGATCATATAAAATGCCTCGGAGTCCTTCTCCAAGACACCAGGGTACTTGAGGGGTCGAGGGAACTGGTCGTCCCTAGGAGGGAAATGTAACCCTTGCTCGTATCCTCAGTATCAGACTTGGGGAGAAGGCCGTCCATTTCCAGGGTCTTGTACAAGTGTTGGCGAACAGCACTGTGAGCTCCGTCGGCTCCGACGAGAATGTCACCGCGGGCAGTGGTGTTGTCATCAAAGGTCACGGTAACGCCATCCTGATCTTGGTCAAGTGTAACAATTTTCTTTGACATATGGATCTTTTCCTTGGGAATCTTCTTGAACAGCATGTTGTGCAGATCAGGACGGGAGAAGAGGACGCGGTCATACCCAATGCTAAAGAGAGAGAGCGTTCAACATAGAAATAGGAGAGTGTGAGTAAATGAGCTCGTCTCCTTTGAAGAGAGTAATAGAAAGGAGTGATACTTACATATCGGTGTTCGAGGCGAGAGGTTTGCCAATGAGTTTCAACTTATCGGTCAACATTGCTACGCCAAACGAGGGCTTGGAGAATGACAACAGCTCGTCCAATAAGCCGAGCTGCTCGAATGCCGGGAGGATGTTTGGTGACTACACGAAAAAGCCAGATGAATGATGATCTATATTAATTGAAAAGCAATGGGTGCTCCTGCTGCATACAGCCAAGAAAAGCGCAAGGTTATTTTTGTTACCAGGCACATCACGGCACCTAAGACCCACGGCAAGAGAAAGGGCGCAAAGTTAATTTGGTTAGTAACGTGTCGTATGTACATGAGCGCGCGAATCCTTCGCATGCAGTTGCTCTCTAATCCATATAGCTCACCAAGTACCCTGGGTTCAGCGGAACGTTCGAAGATCTCATAGGGGATCCCAGCTCTCTCCAGAAGAATCCCGAGGAAAAGGCCAGCCAGACCAGCACCACCAATTAGGACGTGAGGCGGTTCATTGGGTGTGACAGGAGGCACGGCGATCCTGCTAGAAGGGGTGGGTTGAATGGTCTCAGAGGGTGCACTCATTGTAGTATGATACGAAGTGGGTGCAAGAGGCAGTAAAGAAAGAAGAGAAAGAAAGTGAAGGAATGGAAGAGGAATGGAAGAGGAATGGAAAGATGATGAGGCAGCGAGATGACGAGATGAGGCCAGCTCGCGAACGGTGCATGCTCTCATCTCTTTTATTTTCCTCTTTGTCCTTTTGCTTTTTTCCTTCTTCCTCTCCTTCCTTCCCACTTGCCTGGCTGTTTTTCTGACAGTTACACAGCATTGAATTTTTTTTCTTTTGGCACCTGTGGTTGGATGGTAGGATGAAATAAACAATTGGTGATGGAGCCTAACTTTATGACAAGAGCAATTCAACAAATCGCTTGTATTGTGCCCTTGAACTCTTTCTTGTACGAAAGATGGTGCGATGGATCAGGTCTTATGCAAGAATGCTTTTCAATGGGGTTGCAATGCTTGCATGTCAATCATCAATAACGGCCAAGCATAAATATCAAATCGCAATCCGGGTGAATCAGTCGAGACAACCACACTGTCGTGCAGATTCAACATACCAACGGGAAAGGTGTCCTCACTACATGACAATTAATGTGCGCGTAAACAAATGCAATTGTGCTTCGGCTCAAAAGGATAGAAAGGTTTATCATCGACATCAAGCGCTCTATTAAAGAGCAGTAACAACTGCTTCATTCTTCGCTGCCTCCTCTTTCTCCTTCTCGATGCGCTTCGAAGGTCTCTGAGGAATGACATCCATTGTGCCACGCTTTGGCGCCTGAGATAAAAAGTTAGCCTGAGGGCGGTAGGCAGTATCCTTAATCAATTGCTTGTGCTGAAACGATTTAGGGAGCCAATTGAACACAACGTGTCTGAGAACTCGCTCAGAAAAAGTCTATCCAGTCCAAAGAAAAGCATTTCGACGTCAGCGAACAATGCGTCTTGCTCACCACACAGCATATGAAAATCCATTCTCAACTTACATGTCCGAAGATTAGTTTGGCGCTAATGTAGGACTGAGGGTATTGATCCTTGATTGCATCGAACCGCTCATTCTTGTAGTCGCTCAGTGCAGTCCGGATGTTCTTGAAGTTGGTGGGCCTAATGTCATAGAGGTTGTTGGCGAGGAGAACCGCATCTTGCATGGCGTTCACTGCACCAGCGCCGCTGCTTGGAAGGAGCTAGACATGTACAAAAGAGGAAGATATTAAAAGCTGTTGGAACGATGCCATTGGAGAATTTAAGCTACCTTTGTAATGAATAGTAGTTATCTTACCATGTGTGCAGCTAAGGAGTGGATTCATGTAGGGGAAGTAATCAATTGACCATGTGTTATTTTGGAGTGGAATGTCGATTGGATCAATAACAAAAGGTGCAAGGAAAAGGAAAGTGGGACGTACCATCTCCGATAAGAACGGTTCGTCCATGCGTCCAGGTCTCGAAGAGTTTGTCTTCGAAATAGACCTTGGAGACTTTCTCAATGTCGGTCGCATCAAACAGGTCTCCCATGGTGCCATAAGGGGTCTTGAAGTGACGGATTTCATCCAACATCTTCTTGTTGTCTTGACTAGTCCAGTCCAACGAAGCTGCTTGTTCATCCGCGGTGGATGAAAGCCCAAGCTGAATGACAACATTCCAGCAGATTCTATTGCCAGGGACGGTGAAAGTCACCCACTGCCAAAAAGAGACGTGACAGGAATGTCAGGAAAATCCCTCACAACGTTTCTTACAAGGAACTCTAGTAAACACGAACACGACCGGTGTGGCTTACAGTATAGGGTGCGTCCTTGTCTCCGATCATATAGAATACCTCAGATTCCTTCACCAAGACACCAGGGTATTTGACGGGGTCGAGGGCGCTGGTTGTTCCTACAAGAGAAATGTAACCCTTGCTCGTATCCTCAGTATCAGACTTGGGGAGAAGGCCGTCCTTCTCCAGGGTCTTGTACAAGTGCTGACGAACGGCACTGTGAGCCCCGTCGGCACCAACGAGGATATCACCGCGGGCCGTGGTGTTGTCTTCAAAGGTCACGGTAACGCCATCTTGATCCTGGTCAAGTGAAACGATCTTCTTGGACATGTGGAGCTTTTCCTTGGGAGTTTTATTGAGCAGCATGTTATGCAGCTCAGGACGGGCGAAGAGAACGCGGTCGTAACCAATCCTAAAGGATGGAGCGTTGAACATATTAGTTGAAAGTACCAGTATATGAGTGTGTCTCTTTTAATGAGAGAAATAGAATAACGTAAAACTTACTCGTCATTGCAATCGGAGACAGCTTTGCCAATGAGTTTCAACTTATCGGTCAGCATTACACCGGCAACCGTTGGCTTGGAGAACGACAACAGCTCGTCCAATAAGCCGAGCTGCTCGAAAGCTGGGAGGATGTTTGGTGACTATACGAAAAAGTTGGATGAATGATGATCTATGTTAATTGAAAAGTAATGAGTGCTTCTGCATTGTCAAAAAATGTGCACTATTCTTTTTGTTACCAGGCACATAATGGCACCTAATACCCATGGCAAGAGAAAGAGCGCAAAATTAATATGGTTAGTTACGTGTCGTATGCATGAGCGTGTGAATCCTTCGCATGCAGTTGCTGTCTAATCCATATAGCTCACCAAGTGGCCTGGGTTCAGCGGAACGTTCGAAGATCTCATAGGGGATCCCAGCTCTCTCCAGAAGAATCCCGAGGAAAAGGCCAGCCAGACCAGCACCACCAATTAGGACGTGAGGCGGTTTATTGGCTGTGACAGGAGGCACGGTGCTGCTGCTAGAAGGGGTGGGTTGAATGGTCTCGGAGGGTGCGCTCATTGTAGTATGTTACGAAGTGGGTGCAAGAATGAGTGGAGAAAGAAGAAAAGAAAGTGAAGGAATGGAAGAGGAATGAAAGAGGAATGGCAAGAGGAAATGATGAGCCAGCGAGATGACGGCGCGGACCGAGATGAAGCCAACTCGCGAATGGCGAATGCTCTCATCTCTTTTTCTTTCCTCCTTTTCCTCTCCTCCCCACTTGCCTCCCTGTATTTCCTGAAAGTTACACAGCATTGCATTTTTTTCTTTTTGGAAGCTCTGGATGAAATAAACAATTGGCCAAAGGAGCCTACCCCGCGCACAAAGAGCGCCTCAACAAATCACCTGTATTGTACCCTTGAACTCGTGTACGAAAGACGGTGCGATGGATCGGATCTTAAGCAAGAATGCTTTCAATGGGGCTACAACGCTTGCATGTGAATGGTCAACAGTCATCAATTCGCTATTCGGGTGAATCAGCCGAGACAGTCGCGATGGCAATGAACGATGTCGCTCAGATCTAGTATGTCTTGTTACCAACTGGATGACAATACATGTGCACATAAACAAAGACAATTGTGAGTTGGAGTTGGTACCTCAAAAGAAAAAAAGCGTTTATTACTAACATCAAGGCCTTTCCTACAGAGCAGTAGCAACTGCCACCCCTTTCTCCTTCTCGATGCGCTTCGAAGGTCTCTGAGGAATGACATCCATTGTGCCACGCTTTGGCACCTGAGGTAAAAAGTTAGCCTGAGGGCGGTAGGCAGTATCCTTAATCAATTGCTTGTGCTGAAACGATTTAGGGAGCCAGTTGAACACAACGTGTCTGAGAACTCGCTCAGAAAAAGTCTATCCAGTCCAAAGAATAACATATCGGCGTTAACGATCAATGCGCCTTGATCACCAAACAGCATATGAATCCATTCTCCCAACTTACATGTCCGAAGATTAGTTTGGCGCTAACGTAGGACTGTGGATATTGATCCTTGATTGCATCGAATCGCTCTTCTTTGTACTCGGTCAAAGCGGCTTTAATATTCTCAAAGCTGGTGGGAAAGATGTCGTAAAGATGGTTTGCAAGAAGGACGGCGTCTTGCATGGCGTTGACAGCACCAGCGCCGCTGCTTGGAAGGAGCTGTAAGAAAATATGGAGGCGAAAAGAATACACGGACAGCATGGTTATGATGGTTAAGATGGGGTTCTTCATGGCCACACACAATCTCGTCGTTCGTTCTTCCAATTCTCACCTTGTGTGCCGCTAATTATATAGGAAGTAATAAGAAAATTGTATTTTGTATTTTAGTCTACGGGACGATGGTGGGAATGCACATAAATTGAGAAGCTGGGTGCGATTGAACAGAGTACTACACATACCATCGCCAATCAAGATAGTACGACCATGGTTCCATGTCTCAAAGAGCATATCTTCGAAAAAAACCTTGGAAACACCTTCAACATCGGTAGCATCGAACAAATCACCCATGGTGCCATAGGGAGTCTTGAAGTGGCGGATTTCGTCCATCATTTTTTGGTTCTGCTGAGGAACCCAATCCGAGGACTTGAACTGGTCATTCGCAAACTCGGAGATGCCTAACTGAATAACGACATTCCAGCAGATTCTGTTGCCAGGAATGGTGAAAGTAACCCACTGAAAAAGAAATATGGTGGTAATGTTAGGCGAGCCTGCTGCCATTCTTTTTTTGCAACTCTGCATAAGAGAATGTCATTACTTACAGTGTAGGGTGTATCTTTGTCTCCGATCATATAGAATACCTCAGATTCCTTCTCCAAGACACCAGGGTACTTGATGGGGTCGAGGGCTCCGGTCGTTCCTACAAGGGAAATGTAACCCTTGCTCATAACCTTGGTGTCAGTCTTGGGGAGAAGGCCTTCCCTCTCCAAGGTCTTGTACAAGTGCTGACGAACTGCACTGTGAGCCCCATCGGCGCCAACAAGGATGTCACCGTGAATAGTTGTGTTGTCGCTGAACCGGAGCATGACTCCCTCGTGGTTTTGTTGGAATGACAACACTTTCTTGGACATGTGGAGCTTTTCCTTGGGGATTTTATTGAATAGCATATCATGCAGCTCGGGACGAGCAAAGAGGATGCGATCATACCCAATTCTAAAGAGAGGAAGCGTTTAGCATATTAATAGGAAAGTGTGAGTAAATTGGCGTGTTTCCTTTGAAGAGAGAATTAGAAAGGTGTGGAACTTACTCGTCATTGCAATCGGAGACAGCTTTGCCAATGAGTTTCAACTTATCAGTCAGCATTACACCGGCAACCGTTGGCTTGGAGAACGACAACAGCTCGTCCAATAAGCCGAGCTGCTCGAATGCTGGGAGGATGTTTGGTGACTATGTAATCAAAAAAGGGGGAATATGTTAGTTAGATCCTTTTTCTTATCGTAATTGCAGGTTAAGTGGGCACAGTTTACTTTATCTTACCAAACACATAATAGCACCTTAGACCCCGAAAATTAGGAAGAAGGGGTTGAAGGGTTAACTCGACGCCTTGCTGTGCATAGGTGGTGTTAACGGAATCTAAGAACACTAACTTACCAAGATGTCTGATCTGGGCGGACCGCTCAAAAATCTCGTAGGGGATGCCGGCCTTCTCAAGGAGGATGCCAAGGAAGAGACCAGCCAAGCCGGCACCAGCAATCAGTACACGAGGAGGTCTATCGGTCACCAAAGGAGGCAGGTCGCTTCCTTTGAAACCGTCAGTGGGGATAGGCTTGGTGTCAGTGTTGTCACTCATTCTTGGAGGGGGTCGCAAACAGTGAAAGAATTGATATATGTGGGAGAAGAAGCAGGGGGAGGAAGTGGATTTAGGGGTTAGAAGGTAAGTGGGGTATGGAGAGATGACAGAGGGATGAGGGAATGGAAGACAAGAAAGAGAGACGATGAGAGAATGGAATGTGAATGGGATGCGAGATGAGATGGACCGAGGTTTTCTTACTCACACCCATTTTTTTTTCTTATCCTCCTTTTTCTTCTTCGTATTCCTTCTCGCCTTCCCTACTTCGTTTTTTGCTGCTCTCGAACAGTTACACAGCATTGTATTTTTTCTTTTGGGAGCGACCATAGGGTGAAATACACAATAGGTGCCTTTTGTTCACATAGAGCAAATGTGAGGTTGACCAATCCCATATTATGTTTGTTTTTGAGGAACAGGAAATGAGAGGTAATGTGGCCTCGTCGATGAAAACCTAGGATATGTTGTCTTCTCTTTTGTCTTTTGCTACCGGTATTTTCGAAAACATGTCGTTGATTATGTTTCTACGATAAGTGCGCGTAGTTATCATATCTTACCAAGGTTCAGCGCGACTGACTCCTCGCTCGTCATTCGCCTTGTGCACCCCGATCACCAAAAGGGCGAAAAAAAAAGCTTTCAGTGAAAGGAAGGTTCCGATAGAATCAGGCATACACCTTGTGTCAATTCTTTGAATGAACGCGACAATCACTCCCTCGTGCGTGTGCCTTTGATCATGGGTGTTTTGGAGATGAACACTGCCCGCCCAAGGTCCAGATACAGGGTTCTCAATTGAACGTGGCGAACCGCAAACCAACATGTTCCAAGCAACCATTCAAATCCTTGTGAAGACGGAAAGTGATAAAGATTGGGTTCATTTTTTTTGCTCCTCGTCGGAGTTGTATCATTTCCCCGCAAATGAAATCTTAATGAGGGCGGCAAAATGAAAGCGAGACAACCTAGAAAGCCTGATGCGTTCATGGTTTGATGGACTGATGAATGGCGATATGACAAATAGCGACGAACTGATCATGATGGGAAGTCCAATCATGACAGAAAGAAAGACCGAATAAAACGACTTACTCACCATTGTCAATCAACATACCTCCAGGGAAGGGAAGAGCGCTTCTTTAATGGCGCAATCAAACATCATGTTGCTTTCGATGGAGGTGGAGAGCAAAAGGCATTTTTGATTTTCGACTAGAAAGCCCGATTCAAAATTTTCCTCTGTTGGTCTTTGTCAACATACACGCTCCCTTGGAAACGCGTACCGATGGACTCGCTGAGGGATTCTCCGCATCTGCAAGGTACGACCGATCGACCCGCCAGAGAATTTTTAACATAAACAACAGCTTGGTGTATGAGCGATAGCAGATGGTATGCCTTTCTCTGCCTTCGATACTTTCTAGGCACTTCACAGGCTTGCAGACCCTCTGCCCTGACCTTTGCTTTCACCTTTCTGTGCCTGTGCCCCCCTGCCTGACAGAAAAGAAGCTCTTTGAAAAGAAGTGGTGGTGGTTGAAGACACAGTAAAAATCACTGGTAACAAGCACTCTTTTACTCCCCTCGTAGGCCGGATGGGCACGTTTCTGATGAAGGCAATTGTAACAAACCAAAGTGGAGGAACTGTCCATACTTCTACTATAGGCATAGTTTTCATTGCTTTGACTTTCAATGTGTGGTGATTTGGAGTGGCTTAGCTTCTGGTGACCATTTCGCTATTTTACGCGCTTGCCTGCGAGTGTCTGGAAAAGCACCTTTCTTCCACGATACGAGCAGGTAGGCACTATGCCCTTTGACCATTGGCAGCAATAGTAGTTTCTAGCCTTTGGAGAATAGTTATTGACATAAAATACCTTTCTACCACGATACGAGCAGGTCTTGAGAATTACTGTCTTTATTCGCGATATTGAGAGGGAGCACATACACACACACAAACACACACACACACACACACACACACACACACACACACACATCACACACATATATATACATACATCCTTTTCCTCGTCTGCCGCTATTCGAGTTATGCCCGCTGACCCCGAAGATACTCCTTTGGATACAGGAGTTGCCGAAAGAAACTCCACTCTCCTTTCTCCCTCTCCCTCGACAAGTGACCCTGTTCAACCGGGCACTGACGCCAACGACTCGGCTAGCCAAGGGCAACTCCCTTCAAGACCCCCACAAATGATCAATCACATGACGTCAACGTGATGTGCATCAAAGTGAGGGTCTTTTCTCACAAGGGTTGTTACTCAGGGGAGAGGGTCGACGGCCAGAGTTGTAGGACCACTGTTAGGTCCTCAATTGGTACGGAGGGGGGGAAGGGGGTTGTAGGTTGGAGGGAGGGGAAGTGATAATAGCGTCCTAAAAGAATCACACAAAACGATACACTGCAGCGTGCCAGCGAAACTCTTGTCAATATTGCTCTCGTCCAAGTGATGTGTAAAAGGACCTTGTATTCATATTATTAAAGAGGGGGTTGTTACCTGCAGCGTGCCAGCGAAACTCTTGTCAATACTGCTCTCGTCCAAGTGATGTGTAAAAGGACAAAGAGCAGACAAGAGGGCTCGGCGCACTACTAATACTATGTCTACTAAAGAATATGACTGCTAACCTAAGGCATCGCCGCCACTGCCTAGCCACCACATCTTTTTGTAACAGGGTGAGAGAATTAAGGGGTAGGATGATTCATTCGCACTAATCCCATGTAAAGTGAGCGAAAGTCAAATATTCGGTCGCTCATCATGTCGCTCTCTAAAAAGGGTTGGGGTAGGAGGAGGAAGAGCGAGACTCGCCCATATCCTTTTCTTATCCTTCCTTCTCTCGCTCCTTCCTTCCTTTCTTTGTTTTTTGTTGATTCTAATAAGGTATACAGCATTGCATTTTTTCTTTAGAAATCGATGGATAGTTATTAAAAAAATAGGTCGATTAGATTCTTGCACAGAAGAGAGCATGGAAGGAGAACGAATCACTTGAGCTGTGTACCTTTTGAGTAGTAAGCAGCGGAGGGCGTGAGAAGAAAAGTGTAAGGAAGGATTCAGGTCTGTCAACGGTAGTAGGGGTGTGTCTCTGGGTTTGCTTTTGCCTTTATCAAGTGCTGTCTTTCTATTCTGTCAACATCGGCAGAGCGCCCTGTGAAAATATGACTCGTGTGAACTGCGACGATACCTTTTTTCTCTTAAGGTTTAGGCCCAAGCGAACGTAGGCAGGGACAGGCGTAAAAAGCATGGACAAAAACAAACGGTCTGTCTATGTGAGCACCAACAAATGAGTCTAACTGAACTCAATTCTTCCCCAACCTCCTTGCTTTTCTCCGCTCGCATGGTGGGTGTGAAAAAGGGGGAAGGTGAGGGCTAATGTCATGCCGTGTTTCTTTGTGTTCTTGTAATGTTTTTTTTTGGCCACTTGCCATGTTCTTGATGTCAAATGAGGTGCATAGTGATGGTGAATGTGGAAGTGTATGCGAATGTGAATGAAAGAGGAAAAAAGTCATAAGAAACTGGAAGAAAGGAGCAGGATGCACAAACAAGTTGGGTCCCTCCGACATCTCAGTGGAATGGGTACATGATGCATGTCCTTACTTTGCAAAAGAAAATAGAAAGAGAAAGAGACGATTTTTGTCTCTTCATCCTTCTCCTCCAACTCAACTGGTTTTCTATTCGAGGAAGACTGATGGATGACTGTGAGAGAGAGATAAACATTGAATGATGAGTATGAGACCTTTAAGCATTAGTTGATCGTTCATCGCGTTTTTGAACCGCACACTGGCTATTCTTTATTTGAGTAGAATACAAAATAACTTGAATTAGATGGCAGCGGAGTTCTTTCTTCTCGCTTCCTCCTCCTTATCCTTCTGGACCCGCTTTGAGGGTTTCTGCGGAATAACATCCAAGGTACCGCGCTTGGGCGCCTGAGGCAAGAAGTTTGCCTGTGGGCGGTAGGCACCTTCCTTTGACATCTGCCTTAATTGCATCGACCTGGGGATCCAGTTGAACAAGATGTGTCGCAACACCCGCTCCCACCATGTCTACTCGGCCAAAAAATACGAGTAAAAACAACAAAATGGAAGAGTAAGTATACGCGATCTACATCGACTTGTTCAGTGCACGCGTGAAGAAGGCCATGAACGCAAAAAGGATGTATTTCTGATATAAAAAAAACGTACATGTCCAAATTGCAACCTGGCAGCCATATGTGTTTGTGAGTATTGGTCCTTGACAGCGTCGAAACGCTCTTTCTGGTACTCATCCAATGCGACCCTGATGTTCTTCAAGTTGGTTGGCTTGATGTCGTAGAGGTGGTTGGCGAGGATGACTGCATCCTGCATTGCATTCACTGCACCAGCACCAGTGCTTGGGAGTAGCTAGAATTTAAAAAAAAGGTAAGCGGTTGAAACTATGATTAGAACGTGAACGCTCCCTACGAATTAACATTCCAGAAGGCCCTCTTTTTACCTTGTGGGCGGCTAGAAAAGGGGGCGGAAGAAACAAATGTACAAGGAGCATTAATCGAAGAAGACGTTGACAATGAAAGTGAGCAGGGAACAGCCAGCAGGAGAAATTACATACCATCGCCGATCAAAACAGTCCGTCCATGGTTCCATGTTTCGTAGAACATGTCCTCGAAGTACACCTTTGAGACAACATCAACAGGAGTAGCGTCGAATAGGTCGCCCATGGTGCCATATGTGGTTTTGAAGTGCCGGATAGAGTTCATCATCACCTCGTTCTGTTGAGGGACCCAATCCGAACACTCAAACTGCTCGTCTGCCGCCGCGTTAACTCCCAACTGAACGACAACATTCCAGCAGATCCTGTTGCCTGGCACGGTAAAGGTGACCCACTATTGAAACGTGCAATGTCGATAGATGAGTGGTTAAGCAAATGATCTTCTTACGTGTAAATTTTTTTGACATTTGAAAGACACTGCGATCCAACTTACAGTGTATGGATTGCCTCCGTCTCCGACGATGCCATAGCTCTGACAGTCCTCTTTCAAGACATCCGGATACTTGGCAGGATCGAGGGAAATGGTCGTTCCCAACAAAGAGATAAACCCCTTCTTCATACCCGTGTTGTCAGCCTTGGGAAGAAGCCCCTCCTTGTCCAGTGTCTTGTACAAGTGCTCGCGAACAGAACTGCGAGCCCCGTCCGCGCCGACGAGGATGTCGCCTCGGACGGTGGTGTTGTTTTCGAATGTCACTGTGACACCATCCTCGCTCTGCTCAAAGAATGAGACTTTACTGGAAAAGTGTATCTTTTCCACAGGAATCTTGCTAAGAAGCATGTTGTGCAACTCCGGACGAGGAAACAGTTGGCGTTCATACCCCACGCTAAAAGCAAAAGAAATGTAAAGTCAAGTAAGTTCGTGAACGATCGAACAACCTCTAAGAGAAAAAAGCAACAACAGGTGTGGTTCGCCTACACTTCAGGGGAAAGAGATTCAAAGTGAGCAATGTGCTCGAGCTTATCCGTGAGCAAGTATCCACAGTCACGGAGTGGTTTAGAGAACGACAACAGGTCCTCGTACAGACCCAATTGTTCAATGGCTGCAAGGATGTTCGACGACTATGCGCCAAAAAAAAGAGGAAATGTATAACGAGAGATCGAGTCAGAACAACTCCAAGACTTGCTTCTGGCATGCAATGGCATGGAGGCTGCTATTACCAGACACATGATGGAACCTATGCCCAAAGTAGTAAAAAGAGGAAAAAGGTTAATGCACAAGGTCGTACTGTACGTCGTGAGTCTACATGCTTGTCCTGCACCTTCAACTCCTGATGTAGAATAGACGCCGTACCAAGAGGCTTGATTTCCGCTGAGCGCTCAAAGATCTCATAGGCGATGCCTGCTCTTCCAAGAAGAATGCCGAGAAAGAGACCGGCCAGACCGGCACCGGCAATAACGACGTGAGGCGGCTTGTCACTCCCGGCAGTGGGTTTGTTGTTGCCTGAGGAATTGGCTGAAGGGGGTGCGTTTGTCGTATTTTCAGCAGAGGCGCTCATATTCGGATGGAAGATGGGAGAGTAGGGTGGAATGGGGAGATGGAAGAAGGCAATAGTGGAACGAGGAACGAGGAGGAAGAGAGAAAAGAAAATGAGATGTACAAAAAGTCATCAGAGTGAATGAATGAGGGATTCAGAATCAGCGAGATGGGGGCCCAGGTCGAGATGGCGAGATTCTGCCTTCCCTCCCTCTTGCCATCGTTTTTAGCTGCTCTCGGACTGTTACACGGCATTGGATTATTTCTCTTTTGTGATCGATGGTTGCATGAAATAAACAACTTGGACCAAGATGCACAAAGAGTAATAGAGTATGAACAACGTTGCGCTCTTTATTTTTGGGAGAAAAAGACGAGGAGGCGCTGTAGAAAATATGGGTATGTCTGTCATTTTTTGTTCGCCCTGTCAATAGTTATCATTCACCGTGCTCAAGACTAACGTCCCCTTTTTCATTGCAAATGAAACCAACACTAATGACAATAGCGTCCTGAGAATCAACTGTTCCTGCGAAAATTACCTTCTGTCGCTTTAAGTTTAAGCGCACACAGAGCAGGTCCTGAAAAGGGGCACGAAAAAGAGTTTTCCTTAATTTGAGCACAAACAACAAGAGGCTACGATTGATATCTATGCCTCTTGCAAACAGCAGAAGCAGGAGTGGTATTCCACTTGCTGACCTCAACTTGCACGGTGGGGATGAAAGATGCAAATGCAGATAAGGTTTAACGTGAGGGTGAATGTGAGGGTGAATGTGAGGGTGGATGTGAGGGTGGATGTGAGGGTGGATGTGGGGGTGGATGTGACATTAAATGGGAAGAAGACGAGATTGGTGAGGGAAAAGTTGAAGAGAGAAAAGGGAGAGGAGTAGTGGAAGAGCAGGGAAAGAAACAACGTACAGGTCACTCTCTCCGACATGCCTGTGATAATGTTATCCCCTCTTCCTTCAACAAGTTTTCTTCAAATGTCAGCGGAGTACTGTTTGATGAGTATGAGTCATTCTCAATAGAGAACAATTGCAAAGTTTTATTTTTATTTTTGTTTGTCATTCCAGCTCCACTATGCCGTTCAAAGAGCAGCGGCAGCCTGCTTCTTAGCCCCCTTCTCCTCTTCCTTGATGCGCTTCGAAGGAGTCTGACGAATAATATCCAATGACCCGCGCTTGGCTGCCTCTGGCAGGAAGTTCGCTTGGGGGCGGTAGGCAGTATCCTTAAGCAACTGCTTGCGCTGGAGCGATTCAGGGAGCCAGTTGAACACGACGTATCTGAGAACTCGCTCCCAGAGTGTCTATTCGATGGAACCAAAGCACCTGAGATTAGCTAAATGTCTTCTCTTATCTTCTGCTCTTCACTCCTTCAAGCATCGGCGCATGAAAGACCTACATGACCATAGATGAGTTTGGCACTCATATACGACTGAGGATACTGCTCCTTGATAGCCTCGAACCGTTCATTCTTGTAGTCGCTCAGTGCGGTCTTGATATTCTTCAAGTTGGTGGGGGTGATGTCATAGAGATGGTTGGCGAGGAGAACCGCATCTTGCATAGCGTTCACTGCACCTGCACCGCTACTTGGAAGGAGCTAGAAATAGACAAATGAGGGAAGATATTAAAATTGTTGGAGCGATGCCATTGATGAATCTGACCAACTTCCTTATCGAATAGTAGTTCCCTTACCATGTGGGCAGCTAAGGAGTGAATTCGAGTAGGGAAGTAGTCAATGGACCATGCGTTATTTTGGAGCGGAGTATCGATTGGATCAAAGCAAGAGGTGCAAGGGAAATGAAAAGTGGGACGTACCATCGCCGATAAGAACGGTTCGTCCATGCGACCAGGTCTCGAAGAGTTTATCTTCGAAATAGACCTTGGAGACTTTCTCAATGTCGGTCGAATCAAACAGGTCTCCCATGGTGCCATAAGGGGTCTTGAAGTGACGGATCTCATCCATCATCTTCTTGTTGTCTTGATTAGTCCAATCCGACGACGATGCGTGTTCATCTGCGGTAGACGAAAGTCCAAGCTGAATGATAATGCTCCAGCAGATTCTATTACCAGGGACGGTAAAGGTCACCCACTACCAAAAAGAAACATGACAGGTGCGTCAGAAAAATCCCTAACGACGTTTCTTGTAAGGCGCTCGCTCTAAGAGACGCGAACATGACCGGTGGAGCTTACAGTATAGGGTGTATCTTTATTTCCGACCATACAGTAACCCTCAGATTCTTCGTCCAATACACCAGGGTACTTGACGGGGTCGAGGGAACTGGTGGTTCCTACAAGGGAAATATAACCCTTGCTCATATCCTTGGTATCGGCCTTGGGAAGGAGTCGCTCCTTATCCAAGATAGCGTAGAGGTGTTTACGAACAGCGCTGTGAGCGCCGTCGGCTCCGACAAGAATGTCACCGCGGACAGTGGTGTTGTCGTCAAAGGTCACAGTAACGCCATCTTGATCTTGGTCAAGTGTAACGATCTTCTTTGACAAATGGATCTTCTCCGAGGGAATCTTCTTGAACAGCATGTCTTGCAACTCGGGGCGGGCGAACAGGACGCGGTCGTACCCAATGCTAACAAAGTATTCAAATTAAAAACAAGGTGTGAGGAATGCGATGGACGATCTCTCAAATAGAACGCAGGAAAGAAATGAAGACTTACATGTCGGTGTTAGAGGCGACCGTTTTGCCGATAAGTTCCAATTTGTCCGTCAACATAACTCCGCCGAACGAAGGCTTGGAGAACGACAGAAGCTCGTCCAACAAGCCGAGTTGCTCGAATGCCGGGAGGATGTTTGGTGACTATACGAAAAAGCCAGATGAAATGATGATCTATGTTAATTGAAAAGCAAAGGGTGCTCCTGTTGCATAGAGCCAAGAAATGCAAATGATTCCTTTTTGTTACCAGGCACATAATCGCACCTAATACCCATGGCAAGAGAAAGAGTGCAAAATTAATATGGTTAGTTACGTGTCGTATGCATGAGCGTGTGAATCCTTCGCATGCAATTGCTGTCCCATTCATATAGCTCACCAAGTGGCCTGGGTTCAGCAGAACGCTCGAAGATCTCATAAGAGATCCCAGCCCTCTCCAGAAGGATGCCAAGGAAAAGGCCAGCCAGACCAGCACCACCAATGAGGACGTGAGGCGGTTTATTGGGTGTGACAGGAGGCACGGCGCTGCTGCTAGAAGGGGTGGATGGAATGGTCTCGGAGGGTGCGCTCATTGTATGATACGAAGTGGGTGCAAGAGAAAGAAAGTGAAGGAATGGAAGAGGAATGAAAGAGAAATGGCAAGGAGGAGATGATGAGCCAGCGAGATGACGGCGCGGACCGAGATGAGGCCAACTCGCGAATGGCGAATGCTCTCATCTCTTTCTCGTTCCTCCTTTTCCTCTTTTCATTTTTCTTCCTTTCTCTCCTCCCCACTTGGCCCCCTGTATTTCCTGAAAGTTACACAGCATTGCATTTTTTTCTTTTTGGAAGCTCTGGATGAAATAAACAATTGGCCAAAGGAGCCTACCCCGCGCACAAAGAGCGCTTCAACAAATCACCTGTATTGTACCCTTGAACTCGTGTACGAAAGACGGTGCGATGGATCGGATCTTAAGCAAGAATGCTTTCAATGGGGCTACAACGCTTGCATGTGAATGGTCAACAGTCATCAATTCGCTATTCGGGTGAATCAGCCGAGACAGTCGCGATGGCAATGAACGATGTCGCACAGATCTAGCATGTCAATGTGGAAAGGCGCCTTCTTGTTGCCCATTGAACGGAAATAAATGCGCACGTAAAACAAATGCACTTGTGCTTTGGGGTTGTTATTTCAAAAGAATAAAAAGGTTTATTATCAACACCAAGCGCTCTCCTAAAGAGCACTAGCAAGTGCTTCATTCTTCGCTGCCTCCTCTCTATCCTTCTCAATGCGCTTCGAAGGCTTCTGATGAATGACATCCATTGTGCCACGCTTTGGCGCCTGAGGTAAAAAGTTAGCCTGAGGACGGTAGCCAGTACCCTTAAGCAATTGCTTGAGCTGGAGCGATTCAGGGACCCAGTTAAACACGACGTATCTGAGAATTCGCTCCCAGAGTGTCTATTCGATGGAACCAAAGCACCTGAGATTAGCTAAATGTCTTCTCTTATCTTCTGCTTTTCACTCCTTCAGGCATCGGCGCATGAAAGACCTACATGACCATAGATGAGTTTGGCATTGATGTGCGACTGAGGATATTGACCCTTGATGGCATCGAATCGTTCATTCTTGTAGTTGCTCAGCGCAGTCTTGATGTTCTTCAAGTTGGTGGGGGTGATGTCATAGAGATGGTTGGCGAGGAGAACCGCATCTTGCATGGCGTTCACTGCTCCTGCTCCACTGCTTGGAAGAAGCTAGACATGTACAAAAGAGGAAGATATTAAAAGCCGTTGGAGCGACGCGATTGATGAATTTGAGCTACATTCGTGTCGAATAGTAGGTCCCTTACCATGTGGGCAGCTAAGGAGTGAATTCGAATAGGGGAAGTAATCAATGGACCATGTGTTATTTAGGAGCGGAGTATCGATTGGATCAAAACAAAGGTGCAAGGGAAAGGAAAAGTGGGACGTACCATCTCCGATAAGAACGGTTCGTCCATGCGTCCAGGTCTCGAAGAGTTTGTCCTCGAAATAGACCTTGGAGACCTTCTCAATGTCGGTCACATCAAACAGGTCTCCCATGGTGCCATAAGGGGTCTTGAAGTGACGGATCTCATCCATCATCTTCTTGTTGTCTTGAATAGTCCAGTCCGACGACGCTGCTTGCTCATCCGCGGTGGACGAAAGTCCAAGCTGAATGATAACGTTCCAGCAGATTCGGTTGCCTGGAATGGTGAAGGTCACCCACTATCAAAAAGAGACGTGACAGGTGCATCAGGAAAATTCTTCATAACGTGTTTTTCCAAGGAACTCTACGAGTCACGAACACGACTGGTATAGCTTACAGTATAGGGCGTGTCTTTATCTCCGATTATATAAAATGCCTCAGATTCCTTCTCCAAGACACCAGGGTATTTGACGGGGTCGAGGGAACTGGTGGTTCCTACAAGGGAAATGTAACCCTTGCTCATATCCTTGGTATCGGCCTTGGGGAGAAGGCTCTCCTTCTCCATGGTCTTGTACAAGTGCTGACGAACGGCGCTGTGAGCGCCGTCGGCGCCAACAAGAATGTCACCGTGGGCAGTGGTGTTGTCGCCAAAGGTCACGGTAACGCCATCATGATCTTGGTCAAGTGAAACGATCTTCTTGGACATGTGGAGCTTTTCCTTGGGAGTTTTTTTGAACAGCATGTCATGAAGCTCAGGACGGGCGAAGAGGACGTGATCATACCCAATGCTAAAGAGGGGCAGCGTTCAACATATTAATACGAAAATATGAGTAAATGAGCATGCCTCCTTTGAAGAGAGGAATAGAATGGTGTGAAACTTACAAATCAGAGTAATTAGCATTGGCAACAGTTTTGCCAATGGGTTTCAGCTCATCAGTCAACATTACTCCGCCAAACGAGGGCTTGGAGAACGACAAAAGTTCGTCCAACAAGCCGAGCTGTTCGAATGCTGGCAGAATGTTTGGTGACTATACGAAAATGTTGGATTGATGAGAATCTATGTCAGTTGAAAAGCAATGGTTGTTCCTTCTGCATACAGACAAGAAATGCGCACTACTCTTTTGTTACCAGGCACATAATGGCACCTAATACCCATGGCAAGAGAAAGAGCGCAAAATTAATATGGTTAGTTACGTGTCGTATGCATGAGCGTGTGAATCCTTCGCATGCAGTTGCTGTCTAATCCATATAGCTCACCAAGTGGCCTGGGTTCAGCGGAACGTTCGAAGATCTCATAGGGGATCCCAGCTCTCTCCAGAAGAATCCCGAGGAAAAGGCCAGCCAGACCAGCACCACCAATTAGGACGTGAGGCGGTTTATTGGCTGTGACAGGAGGCACGGTGCTGCTGCTAGAAGGGGTGGGTTGAATGGTCTCGGAGGGTGCGCTCATTGTATGATACGAAGTGGGTGCAAGAGAAAGAAAGTGAAGGAATGGAAGAGGAATGGAAGAGGACTGGAAGAGGAATGGAAAGGAGGAGGAATGGAAAGGAGGAGATGATGAGCCAGCGAGATGACGGTGCACACCAAGATGAGGCCAACTCGCGAATGGCGCATGCTCTCATCACTTTTCCTTTCCTCTTTTTCTTTTCACTTTTTTTCTTATTCCTTCCCTTCCTCCCCACTTGCCTCCTTGTATTTTCTGAAAGGTACACAGCATGGCGCTATTTCTTTTGGAAGTAATGGTTGGATGGTAGGATGAAATAAACGATTGTCAAAAGAGCCTAACTTTATGTACAACCAATCGTTTGTATTCTGCCCTTGAACTCTCGTGCAAGGGATGGTGCGATGGATCGGGTCTTGAGCATGAATTCTTCTCCATGAGGTCGCAGCGCACGCATGTAAATGGTTCACGGCCAAGCATAAACATCATTTTGCTATCCGAGTGAAATCAGTCGAGACAGTCAGGATGACAGTAGACGATGTCGCGTTGAACCATTATGCCAACGGGAAAGGCGTCTTCTTGTTGCCCACTGGACGGAAATCAATGCGCACGTAAACAAATGCAATTGTACTTCGATACTTCAAAAGGATAAAAGAAGTTTATTATCAACATCAAGCGCTCTCCTACAGAGCTGTAGCAGCTAACTCTTTCTTCGCTGCCTCCTTCTTCTCCTTCTCGATGCGCTTCGAAGGTCTCTGAGGAATGACATCCATTGTGCCACGCTTTGGCGCCTGAGGTAAAAAGTTAGCCTGGGGGCGGTAGCCCGTACCCTTAAGCAATTGCTTGAGCTGTAGCGACTTGGGGACCCAGTTGAACACAACGTGTCTCAGTACTCGCTCATAAAAAGTCTATTCAGTCCAAATAATAACATGTCAGCGTTAGCGATTAATGCACCATGCCCTTAGTTTATCATCAAACAGCATATGAATCCTTTCCACCAACTTACATGTCCATAGATTAGTTTGGCGTTTATATGGGACTGTGGGTATTGATCCTTGATTGCATCGAATCGCTCTTCTTTGTACTCGGTCAAGGCGGCTTTAATATTCTCAAAGCTGGTGGGGAAGATGTCGTAAAGATGGTTTGCAAGAAGGACGGCGTCTTGCATGGCGTTGACGGCACCGGCGCCGCTGCTTGGAAGGAGCTGTAATAAAATATGGAGGCGAAAAGAATACACGGACAGCATGGTTATGATGGTTAAGATGGGGTTCTTCATGGCCAAAAACAATCTCGTCGTTCGTCCTTTCAATCCTCACCATGTGTGCCGCTAATTATATGGGAAGTAATAAGAAAAATCGTATTTTGTATATTAGTCAGTGGGACGATGGTGGGCATGCAAATAAAGTGTGCGATTGAACAGAGTGTTACGCATACCATCGCCAATCAAGATGGTACGACCGTGGTTCCATGTCTCGAATAGCATATCTTCGAAATAGACCTTGGAAACGCGTTCAACATCGGTAGCATCGAACAAATCACCCATGGTGCCATAGGGGGTTTTGAAGTGACGGATTTCATCCATCGTTTTCTGGTTCTGCTGAGGAACCCAATCGGAAGACCTGAATTGCTCATTTGCAATCTCGGCGATGTCTAGCTGAATAATGACATTCCAGCAGATTCTGTAGCCAGGAATGGTGAAAGTAACCCACTGAAAAAGAAATGTGGCGGTAAGGATAGGCGAGGCTGCGGCCCTTTTTTTTTGCGACTCTGCATAAGAGAATGTCTTTACTTACAGTGTAGGGCGTGTCTTTGTCTCCGATTATATAAAATGCCTCGGATTCTTCGTTCAAGAGGCCAGGATACATGGCCGGGTCGAGGGCGTTGGTCGTTCCTACAAGAGAAATATACCCCTTGCTCATAGCCTTGGTATCAGACTTGGGGAGAAGGCCTTCTTTCTCTAGGGTTATGTACAAGTGCTGACGAACGGCGCTGTGAGCCCCGTCGGCGCCAACAAGGATGTCGCCGTGGATAGTTGTGTTGTCACTAAACCGGAGCATGACTCCCTCCTGGTTTTGTTGGAATGACAACAATTTCTTGGACATGTGGAGCTTTTCCTTGGGAATTTTATTGAACAACATGTCATGTAGCTCGGGACGAGCAAAGAGGACGTGATCATACCCAATGCTAAAGAGGGGCAGCGTTCAACATATTAATACGAAAATATGAGTAAATGAGCATGCCTCCTTTGAAGAGAGGAATAGAATGGTGTGAAACTTACAAATCAGAGTAATTAGCATTGGCGACAGTTTTGCCAATGGGTTTCAGCTCATCAGTCAACATTACTCCGCCAAACGAGGGCTTGGAGAACGACAAAAGTTCGTCCAACAAGCCGAGCTGCTCGAACGCCGGGAGGATGTTGGGTGACTATGTGACCAAAAAAAGGAGAAGAGAGATGGACTATGTTAGTTGGAAGGCCATTCGTCCTTTTGTTATCATCCTTGCAGGTTAGATGAGTACAGGATTCTTTAGCTTACCAAACACATAATGGCACCTTTGACCCCGAAAAATAAAAGGGAGAGGTTGACGGGATTAATTCGACGCTTGGCACAAGTAGATTTTACGTGTCAACAGAATCTGAGAAAACGAGCTTACCAAGATGTCTGATCTGGGCAGATCGCTCAAAAATCTCGTAGGGGATACCGGCCTTCTCAAGGAGGATGCCAAGGAAGAGACCAGCCAAGCCGGCACCAGCAATCAGCACACGAGGAGGCCTATTAGTCACCAAAGGAGGCAAGTCACTACCTTTGAAACCGCCGGTGGGGCTAGGCTTGGCCTTGGTGTTGTCACTCATTGTTGGAGAGTGGGACGCAAACAGAGAAAGAATTGATATATGTGGCAAAAGAAGTAGGAGAAGGAAGTGGTTGTAGGGGTTGGAGGATGAGAGGGGTATGGAGAGATGACAGAGGGATGAAGGAATGAAAGACAAGAAAGAGATGATGAGCGAATGGAATGTGAATGAGGGACGAGATGAGGTGGACCTCATTCTCACCCAGCTTTTTTTTCATTCTCCTTTTTCTTCTTCTTATTCCTTCTCGCCCTCCCTTCGTTTTTTTCTGCTCTCGAACAGTTACACAGCATTGCACTGTTTTCTTTTAGGAGCGATGATAGGGCGAAATACACAATAGGTACGTAGAGCAAAGTGAAGATGGACCAATCCCATATTATGTTTATTTTTGAAATGAATGGTAATGTGGCGCTAGAGAGATGTATACACCTCTTCTCTTTTGAAGACAACCCCCTGTCTCTCAAAAATGATGCACAAGGCGATAAGTCACACGTACTGCGAGAAATGGTGAGCCTCCGTGTTTGTTGATAATCGCTGAGCTCAACTGCTCAACTGATTTGCTATGCGTGTGCCCATCTCTCGGACCCGTGGTCAACATGTAGTGAAGAGATGTCGCTGCTGATCATAGAATCATCTCACGTCAGACAAGGCAAAAAAGTGCACATATGCCAGTCCAAAAACCACAGGGAGAAAGACAGGCCGACAAGGGAAGAAGGTGGATAGGAAAGTATTTATTTACATGCCGATTTAATTTAACATTCGTTTAGTCACTTAAACAGCAGTAGCAGTAGCAGCGACATTTTTCGGATCCTCCTTTTCGTCTTGGATGCGCTTTGAAGGCCATTGAGGGATGATACCCAGATTACCTCGCTTGGGCGCCTGAGGTAAAAAGTTTGCCTGAGGCCGGTAGGCCGTATTCTTGGACAACTGCCTCCTCATCACCGACTTGGGCATCCAGTTGAAAATAACCTGTCGGAGAATACGCTCATAGAGTGTCTAAAAAACAAACACACCAATGAGTACAGAGAAAGGCATCAGTGATATAGCATAGCATATGACCTCATGCTCTCATATATCAAGTCTATGACGCGAGAGGTACACGAATATAACTTACGTGTCCATACATCAATTGGGCACTGATGTGCGATTGAGGATACTGATCCTTGATCGCGTCGAAGCGCTCTTCCTTGTACTCATTCAAAGCGGTCTGAATATTCTCATGAGTCGTTGGCTTGATGTCGTAGATATGGTTGGCGATGAGAACTGCGTCCTGCATGGCATTGACTGCTCCTGCCCCGGTGCTGGGAAGGAGCTAGAAAAACGTGATGTACCAAGTAGCAGAGGTTAATATATGGATCCAATGAGGACAGTCCTTTTGTATAATGTTATTGCGAAATAAGTTATCGCACCTTGTGTGCCGCTGTTGGAAGAAATTGAAAGATAAAATAAAGACAAGTTATTGGTTAGAGTGAGTTCGACAAAACGACAACAAAAGGCGTAGAAGATATAGTAGCCGCTTAGATACGTACCATCGCCAATTAAGACGACTCGTCCATGATTCCATGTCTCGAACAGCTTGTCCTCGAAAAAGACCTTGGAGACCCTATCGGACTGAGTGACATCAAACAGGTCGCCCATTGTTCCATATGTAGTCGAGAAGTGACGGATCGAATCCATCATCACTTGGTTATCCTGAGCGACCCAGTCTGAGGATCCGACTTCTTCATCAGCGATCGAGGAGAGACCGAGCTGGATAATGACGTTCCAACAGATCTTATTGCCAGGGACCGTGAATGTTGCCCACTAAATATTGTCCAAGAAAACGAAAGAGTTTAGCTCACACACACGCGGGTTGAATTTTTTCTTCTAGCGGAGAAAAAAGGGAGAGGTGCGAGGACTTACGGTGTAGGGGTTTTTTTTGTCACCAATGATGAAGGAAGTTTCGCAGTCGTCCTTCAACAGGCCGGGGTACTTGGCAGGATCAAGAACTTCGGTTGTTCCCAACAAAGAAACATACCCCACGCTCATGGCCTCGGTGTCAGACTTGGGGAGGAGCCCTTGTTTATCCAGCGTCTGGTAGAGGTGGTTGCGGACTGCACTGTGTGCTCCAT